TCTCCCAATCCATGTCGTCCCATGATGTCTTCATATCCAGTGCTGTCCATGCCAACCTTGGCATTGAGGTCTCCGATTAAAACGGTCAAATCCTTTGAGCATCTCTCGATGATTGACTTCGTCTCCTCGTAGAACTGATATTTAACGTCTTCATTGTAATCGTTGGTAGGCGCATAGGATTGGATGAAGTTCATTGTAATGCTCTCTTTGTTTTTTTTGAAGGATGCTTTAATGATCGTCGGTCCATGAGATTCCCATCCTATCAGTGCCTTTTATGCATGTTTGGACAGCATGAGTGCAACTCCTTGTCTACGTGAAGCATTTTCCTCTTCATGACCAGAGTATAGCAGCAGTTCCCCTGAAGCTAGTCTCAGTTAACTTACCTGAGTCCAATGCGTTTCACTGATGCCGAGCACATCGAGGTTGTATCTTTTCATTTCTGCCGCAACTTGAAATAGTCTTCCAGTCTCCCACAATGTACGAACGTTCCATGTACCTAAAAAAAATGGTTGCTCTGGTTGTCAGAATGGCCATCAGCCCCGTGACTTCCGAGAGAACTCGGTTTTCGTCACGCGACGTCATAATTCTTCTTTCGAACTCCCAGGGCAGAGTTAAAATGGTTTGAATTACTTTTTCTGGTCAGCGTTTTTTGGCAAGTTAGCTTTTAGTTGGGATGGGGTCGCCAAGGCCATGTCCAAACCCTCCTCCTTTATCCGGGCTTGGGACCGGCATGTAAGTATTGAATTATTTAGTGATCATAAAATAGCAGTGAATTCGAACCAATAATTACATAATTTTTTCATTAGAATTACATCAGGATCACTAAATATCCCACTGAGAGATTAATTTAACCAGTTAGGTATTAATTATTAGACTATCAGTTTCAATTGCTTTTTTGAATGAATAATTATGTATATCTACTGTGTGTTAACTATGACTAATAGGAGTATAAACAGATTTGTAACTGTTGATATTAAACGAAGTGATACTGGCTTTTGACAAACTGATCGAAGCCGAAGAATCAGCAAAAACAATGCAACACTAATAGCTGTTTTGTCCTAGTCTAAACGTCTCACAAGCAATCACTTATGAAAACGAATGTACTAAATTTAAGTCGTTATGAAATAAGAAATAAGATAGTTAATCACTGAGGAGGCTGAATTAAGGTGTGGATCAAACCAGATCTTAACTTATGTGGTCTAACAAAACTGTGTTTGATGTCAAGTGTTAAAATAATGTGTTTGATCCTGTTAGAAATTGTGATCACATACTGCTGATTAGACCCCCGATTCCACTTGGTTTCTAATGTTTTTCCAGCAGTTATTGGTTAGTGATAAACATTATTTTCATAAAGTGCATGTATAAATATAGATCTTGTTATATTGATCATAAAGAATTATCAGATTGTGTTGATGATTAACTGAGTTTCCACATAAAATATTGAACTTTCGAGGTCAATCAAACTCAACGAAATTTGGAAATGAATTGTGAAACTTCAATCCTAAATTGAATACATGACTGCACGAAAACACGTTATGAAATCTTAATGCCTGTGCATATAGGTTTAATATCCAATAAAGTTCAAGATAACTGCACACGAAGCCCTTCTTTGGCTACTGCCGGTCCCAAACACTGATAGGGGAGGAAGGTTGGGCATGGCGGTCAGCAATCTCGTGGCGTAGAAAACCAAGTTGCTAAAAAACGCTAACCAGAAAAATTATTCAAACCGTTTTAAATCTGCCTTGTGAGTTTGCAGATTTTCATTTAGAAGATTTATGACGTCTCATGATGAAAGCCGAGTTTCTTCGGAAGTCACAACGCTGATATCCCTTCTGACAACTAGAACAGCCATTCTTTTAGGCTCACGGAATATTCGAACAATTTATGAGACCTGAAGACTGTTCAGAATTGCTGCAGTGATGAAAATATACAACCTCGAGGTGCAAGTGAAGTGGAGCATCAGATACAACAAAAAAGCTCTCTGGAATCTATCGTAAACCAGAACGACCAATGAAAAGCAAGGAAGGCAAAGTAATCAGCAGTACTGAAGAACAGCGAAATAGGTGGGTAGAGCACTTTCAGGAACTCTTGAATCGACCAGCTTCATTCAACCCACTCAACACCAAAGCAACATCCACGGACCTCCCAATCGATGTTGGCGCGCCTACGAACGGTATGGCCACCAGACAAATCAAGAGCGGCAAATCAGCAGGACCAGACAACATTCCAGCAGAGGCAATGAAAGCAGATGTGGAAGCAACTGCGAAAATATTTCACATCCTCTTCAAGAAGATTTGGGATGAGGAACAAGTACCATCAGATTGGAAAGAAGGATACCTGATCAAAATACCAAAGAAAGGCGATCCCAGCAAGTGTGAGAACTACATAGACATCACTCTTCTCTCAGTACCAGGAAAAATCTTCAACAGGGTATTGTTAAACAGAATGAAGGACTTCGTAGACGCCCAACTTCGAGATCAATAGGTTGGATTTCGTAAGGATTGATCGTGTACTGACCAAATTGCAACATTACGGATCATTGTGAAACAATAAATTGAATGGAACTCACCACTCTATATCAACTTCATCGACTACGAGAGAGCATTCGATAGTGTGGATGGGAAAACTCTGTGGAATGGGGCGGAATCTTGGAGGACCACGAAAGCCATAATCAATTGATACAAGTATTTATAAAGACTTGTCTATGCAAAGTATATACGGATCCGTTGGCCAGACACGATCAGCAACAACCTACTGTGGTAGAGAACGAACCAGATTCAAGGTGAGGAAGAAATCAGGAAGAAGCGCTGAAAGTGGATAGGATGCACATTATTGAAAGCACCCGACTGCGTCACAAGACAAACCCTCACTTGGAATCGACTAGGACAAAGAAAAATAGGAAGGCCAAGGAACACATTACGTCGAGAAACGGCGACAGACATGCGAAGAATGGACAAAAATTGGACAGAACAGTAAAGGGAATCTCAGGACAGAGTATGTTAGAGAATATTGGTCGGTGACCTATGTTACATTGGAGGGTAACAGGCGTACGTAAGTAAGTAAGTAAAGTTCAAAATGAAAAAAATTTTCTTTTATTAAGTAAAAGCATCAGTTTTTAGTATTCGTACATACAGGTAAAATATTAGTCAGATACTACTGTACTGAACGAGGACAGGAGATCAAAATGATTAGGCCTCATTGTAAGTAATGCACACCTCAATACTATCACTACTTCTACTGCTTTGAAACATGCCGTCAGAGTTTCATTTTGTTGTACTTATTTAATATGAAAACTTGAACCGACAAGTATGTGTTTTAGGTTCTTTATTGCTTTTTGATCTAATAGCCGAATAATGTTTTGATTATCAACTTAATGAACTGAAGTTTTTTTCTTCCGAACAATGTTCTAATCTTCAACTCTGCTTTGATACTTAAAAAAAACATTGATTCTATTTATCAGACAAACAGGTAATAAAGTATTGCTATTGTATAAAAATTGACAAAAAAATGATTATTTTTTATATGCATAAATGAGAAAAAGAATACTAACTGCTTTTTACTCAGTGATACAATCAAGTGTACACAGTTGTTTGAGCATGGTTTCATTGATTTTTAGTGTTTCAAATTGCACACTCAATTACTACTAGTTAACAGGACCACTTGACTATGTAGCAAATGACACTACTACTCATGAATTTTCGTTGTTTGTAGCGCTGAATTGGTTCATTTCAGATCAAAATTTTAAAAAGAAAAAGAGAGCTTTCTACAAATTCTTTATTTCTGTTGAACTTTTTTTTTACTCATGAACTTAGTAAAATATATGACTACAGTAACAATATATCATACTGGTTTATATTTTTTGCAAAAAAAAAAGAGAAACATTATTTTTACAATGACTATTGTATGATAAATTAAATAGCACACAATTCGATCAAAGTTCTAATTTCAAAATTCAATAATATTTACACAGCTTTTCATGGTTACTTATGATTGTTTTTTTATTGATTTTACGTCTTTTTACTTTGTTGTTATTTACACAATCTCTAATGATTGAGTTAATATTCAGATGAATATGTTTGCATTACTTTTCTTATTCTTAATATATATATACATATATATATATATATATATATGTATGTATATAAATCAATTAAACAAAAATAGATTTTTTTGTAATGGTTTTAAACAATCTCTATCTTATATCAGTGTAATAGATAGAAGACAGTGTGCATTACAGATTATTTCATGACAAGAGAACCATTAGAGTTTTAAAATAGCAGTTCCCCACCCAAATATGAAACTCTTTAGTAGTTTGTTTCCGTAACGCAGCTATAGGTTAAAATTATGAGCTATGGACTTCACAGCGAGTGTACTGCCTTTAAAAGAAGTACTGACCGAAATTCATTCCGTAATATCAATACCCGACTAATTTACACATTAATTATAATGATACAAAAATCATAAACGTTGTATAAGTGAATGGCTATCTGTACTCAATATCTTGGAGAATAAAACAATAGGCTTTCGTAGCAGAAGATACTTAATTCTAGCACCAGAGTGAACGTGAACATAGACATAGGTGTATTCAGTTTGTGAGTCCCAAGTAAAATGAAATTGAACCTCTTCAACTCTACTGAAGTTACAGTCCATCTATTCAACCTAACTTCAAACCACTGAAGTAGGATTCATTGATTCACATTTTGACGAGATACTAACACAATTAAGCTCGAACATCTTGGGTTCAATGCCTAGAAAGTTCATGCCTGGACACTTCTAAGGAATCCCAAATCAAGACGAAACAGCTATTCAGTGCTTTCTGATTTTCGTTGATTGTTTCATCCAACTCACTTGGTGATGTAAATTATATTCAAAAACTCATTGATCTCTGCAAAAATCTCCTAAAAACGATGAGACTAACCTAAAATTTTGTGATTTTCAAATAAAACTGTTTACTTGTATTTTTCTTCAAATTTTAACATCTTATGCTTTTTTTTCTACAGACTGAAAACTATGAAAGTAAAATAACTTACAGTCAAATTTTAACCTACGGTGGTCCTATTATTTATATGTCTAATGTGAATTTATCACTTTGGGAATCCGGTTTAGACAATCAACTAGTTGCTATTGACAGAAATGGACAGCCTATTTATGAATTAATCACAGATAGATCATTGCCTGAATTATCCGGTCATATGATAGTTCGATTGACTGCAACATTGAAATCAGCTGTTGAAAGATATTATAAAGCAAATATGGTAGTTGGTAAGTTTATGAATGATGACACTTGCTTAAAATATACAAACTCAACTCATTTACTCATTGTTCCAACTGTAAATTTCCTGATGTATTTTTAGTTTAATTGATAATTAATATATGCTTAGGTTTATTTACATCATAACTAAGTTTCAGTTGAATGAAAAATTTTTGTTTGTGGTTAACGAATAGATGACGATCTTATTTTACAAAATTTTACACTGATACTTTTGATAATCAGCCGCTACGATGAAAATGAATGAACGTGGTCAGTGGAGTTCAACCCTGCAAGGTATGGGCAGTTACTACTTAGATTGATCCAAGTTATACATTAACACCACCGAATGCCAGCTCAGTGGTCCAGAGGTTAAGCATTTGCGAACAGGACCAAAGGTCCTGGTTTAGAATCCTGCGAATAGCAGAAGTAGTGGATTCGCGCTGTTAATGAGTCCCATACCAGGACAAAACAGCCGTTCACTGGCTCCAGGTTTGTAATCGTAGTCTAACAATGATTCATTCGTAATTCTAGTATATATATATTTTTTCAGAATGCAATCATATGATTTATTCTAAGAGATTGTTAAAGTAATTCAGCCGTTTTTACCTCGATAAATGTATGAAATTATGGTATAAATATTTGTTTCTGAAGGTGTAAAATCATAAGCAAATAGACATACTAATCAGTCTATCATTAGTTGGTTGACTGGCTAATCCTATCCATCCATTTCTCAATTAGATCATCAATATAAGTTACCTGATTTTACTAAATGCTATTTTGATTAGTGATGACCGTCAGCTGAAATATCTGGATAAAGATTTTGTACCTGTTGACATTCATCATTCTGATTTATTTGTCATTTCGAGAAATTCCATTAAATAACAATGTAACAGCGATAACATAAACCAGATATTAATTCTGATGAAAACACTTAATGACTTCGAAGAAACATGGAGTTCATTTTGATTTTTAAAACAAGCCTCACATCCAAATATTCAATGAAATTTTTTATATGGAATAAAATCTATACTTTTGAATTTTATTAAATCGTATATGTGGTTGTATGAGTAAGCTTCCAAAAAGACATAAGGTAGTTTAAAATAGTAGTACTTGGTTTCACGCTATTTGGCACCCATTATGAAGTGCGCATGTAACTTTGAGAGAACTGAAGCTCTCTGGCAGATTCGGTTTCATATGACTCAGCTTCATAGTCAAAGATGTCACCACGGAGTTATTCAGGCCATGACTGACCTCATGTAGAACTCAGTTGTATCCACAAATGATTGATCACCAAAATTATTTATATCTAGTCCTTGATCAATTAAGATGCCTTTTACACCTCACTGACAAATTCCGAGATGGCACGAAACCAATGTCTAAGGTTTCCTATCAACTACTTTAAACATATCTCATACATACTAACATAGTGAACGCGATTTCGAATCACGTAGACTAGTGGCCACACTGCTTTACTGATCGACAGAATGTGATCAGCGCTAAGGACATACATGACATTATAAATATATTAGTCTCCTATAGTAGTTACTTTTATTTGTTATCACTGACCGAATGGTAAGCTTTAAAAAACCTGGATTAGTGACTATATCTGAATCGAAAACCTAATTACCGAAAGGTCATTCAAACATCCAAAGAGGGTATCCGGTTTCATATTATGTCTTAACATGAATCTCTAGACGCTTTATTCAGAGGTTGATGTGAATACAGAGTAGAAATTGTCGACTAGGATAGTTCCAGTTACACATTATTTGATAAAAACATTTCACAACATGTATCAATTCAAAAATATTTATATTTTCTAGTCTCCTGAATGATTAAAATATTTTAGATTATGTTTGCGAGGTGACGACTTAATATCAAGTTACATAGTGTTTAATCATATAATTCACTGACAGTATTGTCTGATTACGAATTAGTTTTTTAGTCATGAATATATGAATGTGCATCTTCTATCTTAGTGAAATGTATATTCTGGTTAGCCGCTTCTCAACAATACTGACGCACAGAGACTACTAGTACATGACCAGTGCATTACCTATCATCCACTCAGCATCCAATGGATTATATTCCCGACTTCAATCAATCGATGATATCAAGCTATCGATAACCATATTCTTATTAGTACATAACTTCCGAAGTCCTAATAATAAGCCTTCATCATTGAAGTTCATCTGTATCGGATATTAGATAAGTGTGACAGATAAAAATAAATAATAGTGTGATAATGACAAGACAATGGAAGTGTTAAAAACCAAATACCAACTTAGCAATCTACAGAAAATGCAATGACTATGAAATTGAAAAGTCTTCGCTTCTATAGGAGATTTATTCAATAATAAGTGAATTTTGTTAAAATGTCGTTCTTTTTTTTATGTGATTAGATTGTAAATAATAATGCTCATATTACACTTATTGTTTCAGGTTGCATGAATCCTTTATCAGTTTTTTATGATAATGAAGCTAATGTAGCATCGCCTGAATGTGATCTACAAAGTAAACAAATTACAAATTCCACTTTATATCTTGGAGGAGTTTATCAAAAATGTACTGGTCCAGATGATTTATGTCTTGGTGAAACTATACCGAATCCACTTACTGGTGATTTAACTTGTTCACCAGGTTACACATCGATACAATTGTTACCACAACAAATTAGAAAATGTTACAGTGTATGCAATGAGAAATCTTGGTTTAAAAATTCCGAATGTACAACTAATTGTGCTATTACTGAATCTTATTGGTGTTCACGTGATCCATCGTTACCCAATACATTGGACGATTATGATAATGGTTATTTATTTGGTGGTCTATATACAGATAAAGAAGTGAACAGTTTAACTAAACAATATAATTGTCCACAATATTACTGGCCAATTGCACTTGGTCGACGTATGCGTATTTGTCTATCAAGTGATCGTGAATTAGGCGGCAAATATTCATTACCATTTGGTGGTTTCTATAGTTGTTATTCTGGGAATCCTTTAACTGTTTTAATTAATACCAATCAAACGAAGGATATAGATGGTAATATAAACCAGTCTCGAATGCCGGAATGGTTTAAAATGCAACAACATCGACACCAACAACAACAACAACAACAAAACCATGAAACAATGCAGTCAATGTCACGCAATGATGATTTGACACCTTTCAATGAACAATTTGTACAGAATGATTTTTCACAGATATTTACGGCATTATGGCCGAAAAAATGTCCAGTTGGATATACAGCACATCTAGCTGCTATGGAAGATATATGTCAAGTAAGAAAATCAATTCTTTTAATATTTTGATGAGAAAAAAACGATATTAGTGAAGTGAATTTACTTTTCTGTTATATTATCTGTCATAAATCATTGTTTTTGTTATTATTACTAGGCATTGTTATCATTTTACTTCATGGGCCTATATGATGCTTACATGATGCTTAGCTTTCCTAGATAAATTGAAATATTTACTATTGTGAAAAGTATTTGTGACTTTCAACGATACCAGTAAACTATATTGTATTGAGCGCATTTTTCAGAGAATTGACAGCACTGCCCGACTATGAATGAATTCAATAGTGAAATATCAGATACTTAAATAATCAAACAGTATTGACTATGGTTATCATTATATTTATTTTTTTGCCAATCTTACAAACATTTAAAAGGTCTTTAGAGCAGATGAATTTTATTTGGTAGTGGAATCGTTCAACATGATACCACAATTCATCTGTTCTATAAACCTTATAAATCAATATAGTTTTGTATATTGAGACAATCCCTGAAAAAGTGTTTGTGACCACAATGGACCAATCAAATTTCTGTCTTTTATTTTGACAATTAGATAAATTAGACTCTCATATTGTTCTTATTGAAAACAAAAATTTATTTTGAAAATGTTTCTATTTCTTTTTCATTGAGATGATTTGTAATTGTATCACAATGAAAATGAATTATTCTTTGCATGATGATTATACTGTTCATTTAAGTTTCATCTGACTAAATAATATGTCTGTAGTCAATTTGAAAAAAAAAATGATTAATTCAATTATATTTGGAGACAGAAATTATTGACTGGAGTTATTTTATTTTGTAAAACAAAACTTTAAAACAGCATTCTTGGTTTAAGATAGTCCTAAATTTCAAAATTTTATGCAATTTTACAGTGATTAACTTTTTCTGAAAATAATTTTAGCACTTTTCTTTTGTCTTTTCCACCCGTTTTGAAATTTTTTGTAAAGATCATTAATTCTATTGAATTCTTCGTATTTTTAATGCTCATTCATTTTATTCATTAATATATATATATATATATATATATATATATATATATATATATGAACTTGTAAAATTACCTACACTGTAAGACATTTTGTTTGTAATAGGATACTGTACTGATACTGTCTGATAGATAAAAAACAGTTATCATTGCTGCCTGATATTTAGTAGTCGGAAGTATTGTAGTGCGTTGATTTCGAGGTGTTCTTAGGCTTCGTAATTAGCTCGTCCAGAAAATCGTCACTAAATAGCGTCTGTCGGTTTAAAAATCAGAAGGTGAACTCGTAGTGATGAATACGTTTATTTGAGACACACCACAAAGCGAAGCGGAGAAGCAGTGAATAAAACGAAAGAAGTGACGTCAATCGGAGAAGGCTGTTGAACCAACTCCAAGAGATATAGACTAAGAATATATCGTCACCCAAAAATAAGACAGACATGTGATCAACGACATGGGTGTGCACACACATGAATAAAAGCGACGAATGGTTGACAAGGTCAAATGACAAGTGGGACACGTCATTTGAGCTCAATAATAAGAACGAATAATACATATAAGTTGTTGCTATACAAATGGCTTGTTTAAACGAATTAATCGATAAGGCTTAACCAAGTTAGATGTAAGCGAACCGGAATATATGTGGAGGCACTACAGAATCATTGAAATAGGGAAATGACTACCTGACAATTCTGATCATAATCCAACACTTTAATGCAACGAAATATAGCAGCTATGCATGTAAGATCGTTTATCTACTGGATTCGAATTCGATGATTTACATTTCCGACTTCTGACTATTTCTCTTAGCGATTTCACCATTACGTAAATGCTTGGTTTGTAAAATTGATTGATTATATGGTTTATAGATTTCTACAAGAATTTCACAAAATTCATATTGAAATCAAATACTAGTGAGGAAAAACGATCGTTACTGGGATATATAATTTACGGAAATAATATTGAGTTTAGTAGTAGTTTGTATTGTTATTATAAACTGGTATTATTTAGAAAGCTTTTGAGAATAAAACAAAAAGTAACACGGAATGTTAGGTTTCATGCAAATGTGAAACTTTTTATCGGTGCTCATCCAATGCATCGAAATAGGATCTCTTAATGGTCAGATGATAAAATAAACATACACTTATCATATAAATAACAGTTGTAAACACAGAAATTAATTTGATTTCACTATCATGCTCATTATTTTGTTTTACTTTTGTGAACGCACACCCTATCCAATATGATTCAACAATCATTTTGAAATCCCTTGTTACACTATAGAAGTATTCACTTCCGGAAATCTTCCCGATTCATAGAAATTTTGTTTATCACTATGAGTTATTTGTTGGTTCATTAGTAAACTAAAAATCCTAATTCGTAAAACATCCTTTTCGGTTTAGATATTTACATCATATTACAAAAAACATATGTAACATAATATTATTTTACAAATACGTGATCATGATCACTGTGATAACCATTTATCTATTGTTTAAAATTAAACAAGAATAAGGTCACTTCAAAATCAATAATATTCCGAAACTGAAACAAACTAAAACAAATAGTTAACTTTTAATAACATTTATTTATAAATTAGTAAAATGCTTGCCACATGAATATTATTATTATGATTGAATTTTTTTAATCATACTAACAGGTAAATTACTGTGTTCAAGCAAATTTCCTAAAAGAACAAGCAAGACGTCAACTGAAACGACCTCCATTTGTCTTACCAGTAAGTTTTTAATGACATATTCTATCTGAATTGAAAATGTTCAGTTCAAATTTAATTATATGAGATTTATGCAAAAAATGTTTTAAAATGTTTTATCAAGTTGTTATATCTAGTAATTTTGTCGGTATTCACTATGGAGAAACCAGTGAATATTCATTGATCATAGTTAGTGTAGATTATACACAAAATTAATTCAGTTAGTGTATTTTGAAACGCTAAAACATGATGCCCATGTGCATCTACAAAGTATGGAATTACATTTTAAAACTGTACTTGAAACGCATATGAAAATAAGTCTATATTGATTGGAGACGATGAAAACTTACAGTCTGTCTGTACAATTAGAAGGATGTATTAACTCCCTGAGGCTAGTAATCTATTGTCCAAGTATGCAATGATTTGATGTATTATGTACTAGTAGGGGGAAATCTGCATCAAACTATCAGATTTAGTTATGTTTCTTAGAGAATTTATGAAATGGAACTGTAAATTAGTCTCATCACCCAGTCGTTTACTCAACCTAGTTTCATTGTAGTTAACACATCATAACAAAATAAGTCATAGCTTGGTACTATGTATGTCATTCTCTATATTTTCATCTAAGTCTATTACAATACGAAGGAGAAAATATGCGTTGTGTTAAAAAAAAGAAAAGGTATAGAAAATTTGTGTGAATAACATTAGTATGTGGTTTGAAGTGTTTTGTAAAGTTCTTTCATTAAAAAAAAAAGTCATTAGAAATTGGAAAATCATAAATATGGCATTTTCACTTTTCCAGATAATAGAAATTTGTTTGAATTCAATAATCAAATATTAACATTTTTAAAGGTTTAGATAAAAAGCCCCATACATAGAAAGATAATAAATACATATCCACATATCTAACAAATTCTTACAGATTTATACAAAAGAAGAAAAATTACCATCATTTTCCAATGAACCACATGGTAGATCTGAATTAAATGAAGTAAGTAATTGTCAACTATGCACCATAAAAAACAAAAAAACAAGGCACAACTAGAGATTGAAATGTTAAGTAATTATTGTAATTCGATATTCATGGGTTTTGGGACACATTTTTCAAGCTTAAAGTATTTCATATTCATTGTGTTTGGATTCTTATCACATAAAACTTAAAGACTTTGTTTGTTGCTTGTGACCATTTAATTTCACTGTCCCGAATTTATATATTAAACGTTCGTTTATTTTAAAACAACGTAATCCTTGAGTGTATTTTTTCTGGTGAACGTTTTTTAGCAAGGTTCGTTTTCGCACAATATAGTTCCTTACCCTCATTTATTCAAACGTTTATTCACACATACCCCATGCCCAATTTTTATCATTTAAACTTATTCGGGAGCAGGAGAAGTTATCCATTGTATAATACGGCAAAATTCAGACTAAACTATTGAATAGTATGGTTTTCAACTTCTATTTAGTAGGTTTAAAATGCCTCTTCTACAAAGTCAACTTGAAGAACAGCCTAGTATTTTTTACCGATACAGGAAATGTGTGACTCAAAGATTATGCTTCGTTAACAAGTCACAAAAGACTATGTGAATTGCCTCGAGATGGCTATTAGGTAACAAACATTATAAACAGAAATAGATAGTGGCTAGTAGTGGAATCCGGGTTGTGTGTATCGTCCTACAAAGACTCATCAAATTTCATTCAAAATATCAACAATGGGATAACCCAAACCATTTCAAACTAACATGTATTTTGCCTTAGTGAGTGGCCGCCCGCAATCAGCAGCTAAGTGGATAAGGTGATTGTGTTTGGAAAAAGAGATCGGGTTTGAGTCCCGAAGTGAACATCAACCCTAAGATGCGGATACATCCAGGTGACTAGTCCCGATTACGGTAATAATGTCACTGGTTTTGGATAAATCAACAAACTAAATATTTTTTGAAGAAGTAAACGCAATCGGTATTGAAAAATATAAGATAATCTGAAAAATCAACATTTAAAGGAACATTAGGACATGAGTCCACTGATAGAGCTGCGACTGATCTCTAGAAATTTCACTTCATCGAATAAGTTTACTTTTAACTGACCTTACGGGTATTTTCACTACAAGCGATTGATGCTTCAAAGAGAAGTAACAGAATAACTACAAACACATTATTTTCTATATCCTCAAATGTCATTTATTACAATTATAAAGCAGTTCAGAAAGAGATTTTTTTACAGTATAATCAGACTTTTGATCAGTGGGTGGACGTTTCATCTTCTACAAAAAGCATAAAGTTTGAAAAAGCTGAGTAACTATTTAGTATTCATAATAAAATTTCACCAGACACAAACTAACTGGATTCGATCAAACTTTTACGATATGTTAGATGATCAATGCTCTCAATCGTTATTTTGTTTTATTTTTATCATGTTGGGTACTACTGACTCACATCATTTACCAACCATGAATTTAATTATCACTGTTAATAATAGTCAAACAAAAAATGTTGGACAAAAATTTCACAAAAAGTTAATACATCTTTTTTCGCATTTCAAAACATTATGTATTCTAAATTATAAACCTTTTTAGCACATAATAATACCAGACAAATAATGGAAGGTCAATGCCTAGTCATGGTTGATCGTATGTCAGAGTATAGAAAAAATATTACTAAAATATGGAAATGTGTTAAATTAAAGTAATCTAGTGCTCATAATAAATTTCTACTTAAAATCATTTATCATTTCCAAGTACGTGAAGAAAGCAAAATACATCATAGGGAATCAGTTGGTGAATATTTAAAAATTTTGACACAATACATTTACAATTAAATTATCAATAGTATACAATCCTATGAGTTATAGAGATTGTTTAAATTACTAAATTTTCAATTTTAGTTACATTAGACTAAATCTGATCTGTGTATTTTGAAAATGTAAATGATTAATTATCAACTCTGTTTGACTTAGGTAAATTTACTCTACTCTAATTACAGTTCAGTGATTTGAATTTTGAACAATTCATTTCTTTTCTTAGTCAACTTTTGTTCTTTTTTAGAAACCGGAAGTATCACTTGAAATAATTATTGTTTAGATTAAATTTACAACATCAATAAATCTTGTATAGGTAGTAATTTTCACATTAGAACAAGTGTTTTCTCTATGAAAACTATATATATGTATTTGTTTGGTAATCTTGTACGCAGTCAGAAATGTAGGGTTTCCTGAATAGAATGAATTCATCATTCTGTTTCAGGACTTCACCATCCGTAAACAGATAGGATCCGACTAAATTCATTATGTAATCTGTAATTCTAATGGATGTTATTCCAGCAAGTATTTTTCCACACCGTTTGACCCATCCCCTATTATGTAAGGATGATTCAAGTCGTTACTATTCTTATCATAAAAAGTACACTTTTCATCCTATCCAAGTGGTCTCAATCACTGGTTGTCCCGATCTATAAGAAAGGACAAAAGTCTTCTTGTGACAATCACAGGGGAATCAGTCTAACTAATATAGTAACTAAAATATTGGCCTCAATAATAGTTTGACGCTTAACGAAAGCTCGTGAAGAGCAGACTCGAGAAAACCAGGCTGGTTTTCGACTTGGACGTGGTTGTATAAACCACATCTTCACACTACGACAGATCCTGGAACACAGATACACATTTAGACGTCCGACAATAGTTGTCTTCTTGGACCTGAAGGCGGCATTCGACTCTGTGGATCGTGAGGTTCTGTGGCAGTGTCTGTCATTGAAAGATGTACCAAAGAAGTACACTAACCTCATATAAGCTCTCTACTCGAACACCAATCGTCGAGTGAGAGCTTATGGCGAACTGTCACCGGAATTCTTCACTTCAAGTGGTGTCCGTCAGGGATGTCCACTCTCTCCATTCTTGTTAAATTTTATCATATACATGCTGCTAGATATAACCTTATCTTCGTCTGAATTTTCAGAAGTAGACCTTCTACCAGGAGGCTCGCATATCGACTTAGAATATGCCAATGACATAGTCCTACTTGATGAAGACGCTGACAAAGTGCAGAGTCTTCTGACTACCCTAACCAACAATGCAAGCATGTTCGGTATGCGGTTTTCACTCTCGAAATGCAAAATGTTGCTTCAAGATTGGGTTTCATCGGCACCTGAACTAGTGATAGGGAGTGAAGTAGTCGAGCGTGTAGACCGCTTCACTTATCTGGGGAGTCTCATCAGTGCTGATGGCCAGGTTACTGACGAAATCTCAGCTCGGATACAGAAGGCTCGATTGGCTTTTGCCAACTTGCGTCACCTATTGTGCAGGCGAGATATCCGCTTGTTAACCAAAGGGCGAGTGTACTGCACAGCAGTTCGCTCTGTCCTACTATCCGGATACGAAACGTGGCCGTTAAGAGTAGAGGACATTCGTAGGTTACTAGTCTTCGACCATCGGTGTATCCGAAGCATTGCTCATGTATCCTGGGACGACCGAGTAAGCAATCCTATCGTTAGGAAACGGGTGACAGGTAAGGATGGCAGATCAATAAATGAAGTGCTGAAACTTCATCAGTGGAGGTGGTTGGGACATGTGGTACGTATGCCTAACCACCGACTGCCGCGATGAGCTATGTTTTGTGGTGTAGGAGTAGGTTGGAAGAAAGCTAGGGGCGGGTTGGGGTCCGCGAGACGAAAGTCACCAATGGTTAGAGACCTTGGACGACATGACTCAGAATCGTTTACAATGGCGCAAGTGCATCCACTCTTTGTGTGCTTTTTAATTCTAATCTTCTGAATTCCTCATAATCTCTATCTTTCTCTTCCTAAATTTATCTTACTGAATTATACTTTTCGAATCATATCTTCGCTCTCTATTTTTCTCCATTGCTGCTAATAATTCTACTATCGCTATCACTCTTGGATTACAGTTACGTGTCTGTGCTGACGTGTTATGGTAGCCTGAACTGATGTACTTATGTACGAAGTTCTGCGTTGTATCTGTCTGTCTGTCATCACACTATCAATTTGTGATTTTTATTCCACTGTTATCATTGACTCATATATGTGCTCGCTTATTAGAATAGAGCGTGATGAAGATCTAATTGAAAATACCATTCATTGTTTGATTATAAATGTTTTCTTAATACACAATATCAGGATTCTCAATAAGTTTGTCTTCAAGTTATCGGAAATGACCGTTTACACCTATTATAATGGAAACAGTTTTGACTAAGTGTACGAAGTGAACTATGTTCAGCTATATGAATGAGGCCAAAAATTACAGATTAGTTATTCTTAAACTGTTACGGAATTGAGAGATACTGGTTGAATTAAAATATTCAAACTATCATTTTAAATCATTTGGTGTTAAATGTAAATTATTTTAAAAGTTATACCACTGATATTATTGCTCACTCTGTATTCAGATCATTTCTACGTAATCAATTAGTATAAAATGCACAGTTGTACACTTTCATTTGATTCGAGTTATAAATGTGAACCAACAATGTTAGCTATTATTTACATAAACCTTTTAATGTAAACTGATATTGGTATTTGTGTTTTTTTTAGTTGTGTTTCAAAATTTTAACTCAAATTAACTGTGTCAAGTAAAATTTGATATCCCATAAACAATAAAAACAATTTCGTTAGAACGAATCGCTGGATGTCAATCCAATAATCTGGCAGTTCGATGCCTTGATAGGTTATAGTTGAAGACTTATAAGAATTCTTATTTACGGATGGGTCGAAAAAATTCATAGACCCGTCATCCTACAACCAACCATGTGTTCAAAAGTGATAAATTTTGAGAATGACAGTTCTGATTTGCATTAGCTGGATGATTATCGTTGGCGACTTTAATAAATTACACAATAAATTAAAATATTGGGTTTGATGTTGTCAACTATGTATGTGATAAAATTATTTCCCTATTACAAGTATAGCATTTTGTAAGAGATTCTAAGTTGAACTATATAAAAAATGAAAGTTTCCACAGCGCTGACAGTCGTCAGTGTCATTAGTTTTCATTTACTTCAGTAATATAAGTGATAAACATTTTCATTTGATCCATGGGTTCTTGAATAAGTTATTTGTTTGTGAAGTGTATTTACATGTCATGGTACTCAATATTCATTTTTTTGAATTGTTTTGTTACATTTCAGTTTACATTCTATCTGCCCTGACCATAGTTGCTACTTTGTTGTGGTGGTCAGGCTTGCCTATTGTGATGACCCAACCGAGTTATATTGGCTGGAACATTTGCTCCTATAGGTTCTACTATGAAAGGCAGGTAGATTGGAGAACGATGAGACTAAAAGCAGCTACTCTAGGTGCAGGTATAGTATTGAGTCACAGGGCAGAACTAGCTCTCCTAGACTGGGTCCCAGTAGATAGTCGCTTGTGTGCTGTCCAACTGAACGGGACAGTGAGGACTCGGAAAGATAGGGACACTCACCGTTGCCTCTTCGTCGTGACTGCCTACGCCCCCACTGACAACAGCTCAGACGAGATGAAAGATGAGTTTTGCAGACAGCCTTCGGACCTCCAAAACGTTAGGCACTCTGATATAGTAATAATGACTAGTGAATCCAATGCTCAAGTAGGTAGACTAAGTTAAAATGAAAGACACCTGGGTGGATCTTATGGTGTCGTGGCTGGTCGCATAGATAATGGCGACCGTCTGCTGCAACTATGCTCAGATAACCACCTATTTGTAGCAAACACTAACTTTAAGAATAAGGAAAAACATCTTTCGACCTAGCGACCCCCAAAGTCGTCCCAACACTGGACCCAACTAGATCACATCGCTATCAGCCATCGATGGAGGAGTTCGATAAAGGACTGTTGTTCGTTGTGGGGCTCATGTGCGAGCGTGTATTTGTTTGCGACTTACTGGACCTAGTAAAGATACCGCGAGGAAACCTCTTAGGGTTCTGCTAAATGATAATAAAGCTAAGAATATATTTCAGGAATAACCCGAAAAAGAGTTAGGCAGCCACGTAGAAAGTGATGCCCATCTCGAGACAGCTTGGAATGATATCCAAAAAGCTGTGGAGACAGAAGTGATATCCGTTCGTAAGGTAAGCCCTAGGGTTAGGGATAAGCTGTGGATATCAGTAGCATCTACCGGACTGATGGATGCTCGAAAACTCACCCCTCTAGCTCTGCGTACAATGTGAAGCGGAGTCAGCCTAGACGCCAGCTGATAAAAAGCATACGCAATGATCACGAATGGTGGTAGGTGACGAAAGCAAGAGCGATGGTAGGCAATAGTAGACAAATTTTCCGCCTTATCAAGGAATCCGGCATTAGAAATACATCTGTTAGTAAACTATCTCAGAAAAGGATGGTCTTATTATTCAGTCTCAACCTAGGAGATCGGATGGATAGGCAAAACAGTCACCTGAGTGGTGAATCGATATGTCCTCGGAATCTTTACAAAGTTGAGAAAGCTATAGGAAATCTGAAGCGAGGGAGAGCTCCAGGGCCTGACAGGCTTACTCCTGAGATTTTTAAGGATTGTGGTCCAGTCTTGACAGTTAGATTGACTGAGATCTTAGGTAGAATCTGGGATCTGGGCATAATACCATCTGACGTGTCTCAGTCTACAAAAAAGGACAAAAGTCCTCTTGTGACTGTTACAGAGGAATCAGTTTAACGAATATACGATCTAATACCCCGACGCCTAACGAAAACTCATGAAGAGTAGACTCGAGAAAACCAGGCTAGTCTTCGACCAGTACGAGGCAGTATAGATCGGTCTTCTGACTACCCTAAGCAACAATACAAGCATGTTCGGAGTGAGATTCTCACCGTTGAAATGCAAAATGTTGCTTCAAGATTGGCTTGCGTCAGCATTTGAACTAGTGATAAGAGGTGGAGCAGTTGAGCGTGTAGACCGCCTCACTTGTCTTTGGAGTCTCATCAGTGCTGATGGCCAGGTGACTGACGAAATCTCAGCACGGATACAGAAGGCTCAACTGGCTTTTGCCAACCTTCGTCACTAATGGCGTAGGCGAGATATCCAGTTAACAACCAAAAGACGTGCACTGCGCAGTTCGCTACGTCGTACTTCATGGATGCGAAACATGGCCGGTAGAAATTGAGGATATTCGTAGGTTATTAGTATTCGAGTACAGATGTCTTCGAAGCATTGCTCGTTTACCCTGGGACAACCGAGTAAGCAATCCTAAAATTAGGAAATGAGTTCTAGGTAGGGATGGCAAATCAGTTGATGAAGTATTGGAACTTCATCGGTTGAGGTGGTTGGGACATGTGTTACGTAAGTCTACAATCCGACTGCCTCGATGAGCGATGTTTTGTGATGTAGGATTGGGTTGGAAGAAAGCCAGGGGCGGCCAAACCAAGACATGGCTTAAAATCGTTCGCAATGGCGCAGGTGCATTCATTCATTGTGTTCTATGAATTTGAACCTTATAAATTCCTCATCATATCTATCTTTCCACCGAACTACACTTCTCGAGTCATACCTTCGAACCCTAATCTTCTCCATTACTCCTCATACTTCTACTATCGCTACCACTATGGGATTTGAAGTGACAGCTGCGTCTCTGTGCTGATGCAGTATGGCAACCTGAACTTATGTACTTACGTACGAAGTTCTGCGTTGTAAGTGACATTCTATCTGTATATTTGTCTAAAACGATCAATCAATTAGTAAACTGCTATATATCAACTAAAACGAGTTTAAATTTTAGTTTACTGTGTAGTCCTGTCGACTCAGGTTTCTAAGACTTCTGATTTTTCCGCTGCTGAAACCAGATCCTACAAACAGATGTCAGAAAGCAAGAAGTGAAGGTGAAATATTTAATTTTCGTAGTATTGCCTCGATCTGTTCAACAGTGATACGTCGTTGTTTTATTATCAGAGGCAAAAACTATTTTCACATATTTCTACTAAGTATATGTATTCTTTTTGACAAAATCATTATCGATTTCTTCTTTCTTTTGAAAATAGCTCTCGTTTAATTCACGTTTATTCAAATTAAGTGATTCAAACAACTTCATTGGATCAAGTTCAAATGAAGTACACGATAAAAATGGTAATATAATTAGAAAAATAAATGGGCGTTGGGAGGAGCCTAATCAATTCGATAATGAAAGTAATGATTGGAAACCACAAAATAGTCAATATGCATTCATTGCAACACTGAGTACATTATTACCAATTATCACTGTTTTAATTATTGTCATATCTATCCTCATATTTTACCATGTTCGTCAACAAAGCAGGTTTGCATCACGTCGTAATTGAGCATAAATACACATACTGAGATGTCAACATAACATATTTGTGAGAAAGCAAATAGTTAAAAATTAATCCCTCATGAGCATAGGAAATTCAGTTGATTTGCACATGACATTTTACACAACTTTCTTAATTTGTAATCAGCTGAGTTGTTCCACGGACTTATCATTGAATTCGTTAACTCATTTGTGAAACAAATACATTTGAATATATGCATCGAAAAAAAATTGTTCGGAAATATCATGGTTAAGTTCTTTACACAAATTTTGGAAAGGAATTTAAACTGCTTCATAGATTTCTTTAGAGTTCACCGATCCACGCGACAGGTATGAGTTGTATAAGTGAGTTCAGACTAGTCTGTTGGGGTCTTAAAGATAATCATGAGTAATAGCTAAACAGATTTCAGCGAAATGATGCAAATATTTCGTGCTAGATTATGGGTTTCAGCATTGTTTCATACTTTCTATCTTGTATCTCTAATCTTTCATACTATCATACTGCGTACTTTGAGATTTACTTAGTTAGTTTTATCTATGTTATTCTGTGGCAACATTAACCAATGAATTTTTTTGCCAAGTTTCTTTCATCAAGGCCAGAACTAATTATAGGCAGCGGAGAACTTGAAGGCGTTGAACGTTTCATTTAGCTAAGGAGTATCATTAGCCTTAAAGGTTTGGTGTCTAGAGAAATATTGCCGCAAACTCAGACAGTTTAGTTGATGTTCGACAACTAGAAGCACATGCGGAGTAAGCGAGGTGTCTCTTCTAATTAGGTGTATATGCCGTACCGCAGTCCACAGTGTATTATTATATGGCTTTGAAAAATGGTCTCAATAGGTTGCAGTTGTGCGTAGGATGTAGATTTCCGATCATAGGTGTATTCGAAACAATCCTCGCGTTTTGTGGAACTACCAGGTTAACAGTGTTGAGGTACTAAACACAGATGGCAAACCGGTTGATGGCGTAAGTACAGACTAACAATGAAAGCTCCGCAAATGAACTATTCAATTGAGAACGAAACTGTACTAAAAACAACTACTAGTAAAGTACTGATTACATACTACTATTGCTCAAATCTTCAAGTCATTCGTGTAACTTCCGCTAAAATCTATTGATAATTATGCATTTAAACTGGACGTTATCTACTGACAGACGAAGGTCTATACTGTCTAACGATGCAAGTTAGATGTTAACTACACAGTAAGTACTAAAATAGCAAATAATGATAAGAAAAATTCAATTTTGAAATGAATTTTGTTTACACTGGACAGTTATTACTGTTGTTGTTGTTGTTTTAAACAGATAATATTCAAGACAATGTTTAATCATTGTCATCATCACAATAATAATAATAATAATGATAATGATAATAATAATGATAATAATAATAATAATAATAATAGGTGTAATGGGTAACTTCTCATTGCTCTAAAAACAATAAAATAATGAAATAGCCTACAGTGAATATGTGAAAAGAACAACATTATCCACACAACAAACAAATTGTTCAAAATTAATAATAATAAACCAGGGAAAAATAGAAAGTTAGTAAATTAAGGACTTACACATTCCAGTAAGCCTGGAAGTAATATGAGAGCCACAGTAAAAGTGATAACAATAACAACAGTTCCAGTAATCGATCAATCAATACAAGGGATTGATGACAATAAGGTGAAAGGCAGTTAAACGATAAGAATTAATTCGTCTGGACAATCTCATAATTGTACTAGTGATGGACAGAAAACTAGAATAGAATGTTTTATGCTGTCCAGATTGAAATTAAATGTTATCATGCAAGCAGAATATCTATCATACAATGTTCACAAAGAAGCAAAAAAAACAACATAACATGACGAGAGAGAGAGAGAGGGAGAGACAAAACACAGTTACATTTAATAAATGAAAGAAGTACACCGAAAAAAAAACATAATTCCTGTAAGATGAATAATATCTTTGTAGAATCACACAGCCATTTATTGACAAGGAAGTAGAAATTAGTGAAATTACAAGAGAAAATTAATGTGAACAGATACACTGGATAATTATGATAGAATGTTCACATTAGTTTATTTCGCTTAATTACATATAGTGATGATTACGATGACGATAGTCAATAAAGGAGAAGATAACAATGAACACAGAATGATTTGCAATTCAAATGATAATAAATATAGGATAGCGGATTTTCGTCTAAGTATTCAGTTAGACAATGTGTTATGCCAGTTAGTGTGTAAAGAAAACCACTAAACAGTTATTTATCTTAGCCTTCTTTTTTGAGACAAATAAAAACATCATGATAAGTGATTTGTTTCAAATTGAACAAGAATACAACAAATTATCATCATTATCATCATAATCATCGATTGATCGATCAATGATCAAGTTTTTATTTCATAAAAGGCACTGGATTGAATTCATTTATCAAATAAACAAATATATAAATGTAGGCATACTATTATTATTACTGGTTGTCATCTTTTTCCCCAAAAAACAACTATTATGTATGTATGTGTGTATGTATGTGGTATTTTGCTTAATAGTTTTAAATCAATCAAAAGAAAAAGGAATACCAAATAAATTTATATCACAAATTCTATGGAATGTAAGCTAACCAAAGAGAAATTCACTGAGGAAGAAGTAACAAAAAAGATGAATACACAAAATAGTGAACATGATGACACATTTCTGAGCTTTTGTTATAATAATAATAATGATAATCAAAGCCCACGAATAATAAAAGATGACAGAAAATTGTAAGAGACAATATAAAAGAAATGTATAGAGTAAGTAAAGTTATTGAATCAGAAACATACTACACATACCAGCCCTTTTGCATAGGGACAATTTTTGGCACTTCAGTTGGCTTCATATGGACTCTCTAATAATCAGTCAAAACAGAAAGGTATACACCATGTAGTTGTGCTGTTTATAAAGAATTATCCATTTTCGTTACAACTATTGTTGTTGAGGTTACTAGTGAGAGCACTACCACCACGAACACCACCATTGTTCATAGGTATGAAGAAGGCTCCACAACGTAATAAAAAGATACGAATTAAAGCAGCAACTTGCGGTGAAATTCCACCAGCCATTGCAACTAAATCACACAGACCAGGATATAGACAAGTAGCATGTTTATGAAATCTAGACGAAGGTGACAATTGAATTAATTGTGTAATAATTAATATTAAACAAGGATCCCATGCATGTCGATGTCCATCAATAATTAAACCATGATAATAACGAAAAGCATCCAGTATTACTTGATCTAGTAATTCATCAGCCTATAAATAAAAGACAAGTATAACAAAAAAGAAATTAAACATTTTATTCATTATTACAATGTAAAGCAAATGAATAACTAAAAGTTTCCAAATACTTTAATCTATTTACCTATCTTGTTGGTCTTGATAACTAAACAGAGTATCATTGATTCTTGCCTGGTGTATGAAGTTATTAAGTAAGTGTACAAGCTCATAATAAGAATACACGGTTCGATTTACAGTAATATATTTGAAAAATCACAGTAGTAATTTCAATCAACACAAATTGCATTCATCATTCAAGATCCATTCATTAAGATGTGATGATGATGAGACAATAGACATAGATGATTATCAAAGAGAAGAGAGTTTTTTAAAACAAAAAAGAAAGAAAGAAGTTCATCATTTGAATTGACTAGTTAATAGATTATGATACGAAAACCTAATCCATTGAAGCTACTAATTTATAGTGAATTTTTGTAATTTTATAGCAGTTTATACTGACACCAACCAAATATGATCGATGTATTAGTTTTATTGTTGTTAGTCAAGTAACCGCTATAATAATATTTTTTTAAATCAATCAAGTCAATTTATTCATAAAAATTGGAATTCTGTTGTCCAGTTGTAGTTTCACTGGTCCGCTTATTCAAAATGTCTTATTTCACTGACCCAGATCTTTCTTCCTTTAACTAATCTATACGTGACTTCTATTAATTTTATTGTGATTTCTTTTTTTCAATGAATTGATTAATCGATATCTGTGCTATTTGTATGCATACTAATGTCTTAGATTGCAGAGAACTGAGAAGAATTTACAAAATAAATGAATTTATATTGTTCTGAATAAACAATAGTAGCTAATGGTTTATTGACATTTCTAAGAAACAACAGAAACAATCGCATGAAACAAGATCCGATTTGCAGATGACACTAAAGAAAATTCTAACTGCATCCAACTGATTACATTACCGTGGAAATTTTAAAATCTTCTTAGCTTAAGAAATTGAAAATAATGGTTAGGATAGCCTAAAATGAACATATTAAAATGTATTACACATCATTTATCAAGTACCGGTTTATGAATTCATTTTCCCGCCAAATCTTTGAACGTGACGAAAATCGATACAGCTCAGTAGATGACAAACAGAGGTCTGGAACCTGGACTAACGAAATGGCAATCCAAATCCACTAAACACTAAATAACTACACTAGACGTTCATTTTTCAGTACATTACACATATACTACAATATCAAAATACATCTTAGCTGGAAAAGAGCAAAATGACAGAACCAATAAAAAACTTCAAGATGTCTTCAGTGAAAAAGTAAGACCACAAATTTCAAAGAAGAAATTTATTGATTGAATACTCACCTGTTCACGTATATCACTTGCCTCTTCAGCTAAACGAAACAATATACGCAAAGCACATGATAAACTATGTGTTTCTTGTTTTAATAAATTCGGTTTAGCTTTCACTTTGAAGCCTAGGACGAAAAAACAAAAGAAATAATAATACCTATTAAGGAATTCATTTAAATAATATATCTACAGAGTGGATACAGTTTAATCGGCTTAATTTATTATTGTAACATTCAAAAATCTGAGGTGGCGGACATTCGGTATACCTCTGCCCTAACGACCGTTACTACAGAACACGAGCAGCTGCCACAATTTTTTCACTATTCAAAATACATAATTTGGTAAAAAAAAATATCGGATTATATATATATATATAGTCGATATTGTTATCGAATTATTTAAACAGTTAATCGATAAAGCTAGTCAAATGACGATATGAGTAGGCGGTAAGCGATGCCCAAGCATACATGCGCATACAAGCTCAGTAATCATAAAATTACAAAATATAAGTGAGGTGCTACAAATCAATAAAAAGCACTTGAAAAAAGCAACAAATTTCGCTCAGAAAAGACTATTTAATTTGTATATCACATCTTGCTCAAAACAATTATTATTACATTTACCCTAATACTGAGTTTATGTAAATGCCTAATGAGTAAAAAACTAATTTGTTCTAGACAATAAGTAATAACAAAATGACAATAATCATAATTCGGAAAAGGAAACAACTGATCATAAGACCAAGAGAAAATTGTAGTCCTTCTGCTATAATTCTCTCTTTATTCTAACCCAGCTATTACTAATGCTTAGTATTCTCGGACACCAATTCATTCCAGACGTCCTCCCAAATGAGAACACGGTTGAACAGGAAATAGATTATGTTCCAATGACAAGGTTAGATGGAAGTCAGAGATGTCCAAAAGGTTAGTATATTCATAGTTTTCTACATGAGAAGATTCTAGAATGTTCCCCCAGTATCGACTAGCGCTGATTGGATATGGAGGAGACAATCAGCTTGTGACAATACAATCGTATATGGAACACTCCTTAATCCAATCTATATCCCGCTGACACCTCCAAACAGGTAAACCCAACTTCTTGATTGACTAAGACAAAATCGATAGTGCTATTCCTACCTTTTTTGATCACCAACTTGAACTTTGAGGGGCTTCCTTGTCGTGACTTTTTTACGTCTAGTAAGACACAGACAAACAAGTGCTCTTACTAGAGTATGGTCCGAGTCGGAACAAGTGTGATATAACTTCACAAGTGAAGCCGAGGGTAGTAACGGGTGGGGTCTTCAGAAATGTGAAGCGTAAATTACCACAGTTCTTGGTTTTGACAAGGTGGGGTCAAATGAATGACCATACTCGGATCGTGTATACGTGTTTCGTAGACGCAGCATAAACCAATGGCACGAGATTCCAATGTGCTACCTTCCTAATGATGCTTATTGTCCTGTCTGGTACAGGGTTCGGACATAAAAAGCTCCAACATGTGGTTTAGAGCGGGGGTTTCAAAAAAGCAGAAACGACATTTCCTGAGCCCGAATTATTAGCATTAGTGTCGTGAGATGATATAGATTTGCGAGAAGGGTTGGTTGTGAGGATGAGGTTTAGTAATATGTGGGAAAAAGATTTGATCGTGAAGAAATTGATCCCATGTGTCGTTAAAGGTACGAGGGGGGATGCCGCTTCCCGGCTGCTCACACCGTGGAAGGGTATTTCTTGAGGGACCTAAAACGAAATCCGGGTTGGCGTTGATCTCAACGACCTGGGAGCATGACCGCAGAGCCCAAGGAACAACTAACTACTTGAGGCCGGTTGCGCACGGCCTTTTTATGGAAAGTTACAGGAAAAGCCATAGAATATTTAAGGGAGTGTAGAACGGATGTCATAAACTAACCAGCATGACTGGTGTATAATATTCGGATAATTTGTAACTTACAGGTTACATAAACTAAAGTGAAAGAACGGACTTTATTAGTACAATTATTAAACAGTGTATGTTCTAACAATGACTGTACTTACTAAAATGAAATCAGATAAAAGGACTGAGTACTAATAGTGAAGCAGAATTAGTTTACAAGAGTTAACCTAATAAAAATTGTTTGGTTCCTGAAGTATTTTACAAAGTAGGACTAGTAATATAATATTGTATGCTGTAAATAAATACTGGTTCTATAGTAAAGTGCTTGTTTAAGAAAAATGATATTTCGTCATTTTGACAGGACTACATTGAGCATTAAGTTTAGAAATTTAAAAATTTGTTAGAAATACAACATTGTTAGTGACAGACTACAATAAAAACAATATAAAACGAAACTAACCTGCTTGAAACAGAATATTTCGTTGTTCATCATGTGAATTAAATTGTTTAGCAAATGCATGTGAATCTAACAGACATTTTGCCAAAGTAAGACGTTGTTGTGGCGATAAATGAGGGTACATACCTCGGGAATCAGATGGTAATGGACTAGCTCCAATTAACTGAGTTGTATTATTTAAATTAGCTTCGAAAAAGTATTGAGTACTAGCCTTTCCGTTTTCTAGTATATTGACGTTTTCGGAAGAATCTAACATATCTACAACAGAATAAACAGTAGCAAATTAGAAAATCGTTAAATAAATCGTCAATAAAATGCACATCCGAAAACGAAAACAATTTCGACAATTTCAACCGATTAAGATCAGATATAATTGTAGTTGTTGTTGTTGTTGTTGTTGTTACTCCCCTAAGTCACTAGCCATAAAATAATTAACCACTATGATCAACTATTTTTATTTCGAATAAATAAATGAGTCCCTAGTTCAAATCTCATCTAAATAGTGTAAAAGCAAATATGAAATAATCCAAGCAACTATCAAAATAACCATCTTCGTATCACCATTACATAGCATCATCATGATATGTTGTTTGAATGAAGAAAAGTGTGATTCATCGGCAAATTCAATTCAATATTAAGAATATTAAGCAGCGTAATGAGAAGTGTTATTTTTTTAATCTATCTACTTGTTAAGTAAATAAAGAAATGAATCTAACTGTGGAATCACTCATACTGCAAATTATTCAATGCACAACATAGATAACAGAACTGTTTTAAATTAAAGGAAATTACACAAAACTACATGATAAAATTAATGTTCAAGGTATTTGGACAGTTTTTCACATCCATTAAGACATTGTGTTAAGCGTAAGTTCCGAAATAAAATGAAGTTGGCATATTTATAGAAGTATATTAACAAAAAATTCCTTTTAACAAGGATGAATGGATGTATTTACTTTCGTTTACATAGTAAGCCTACAAAAACAAACGTCGATCATAATTTACTTGTTTTATTCGGTTAGAAGAACTCAGAGATTCGTACCATGTTGACGAAAGCTAGGGGGCGACTAAACTCCGCCAGTAGAACCTTCGGGGCTACTGCCGGTCCCAAGCCCGGGTAAAGGAGGAGGGTTAGACATGGGGTTGGCGACCCCATTCCGTCAAAAACTAACTTGCCAAAAAAACGCTAACCAGAAAAAATAATTCAAACCATTTTAACTCTGCCCTGGGAGTTGGAGGAAGAATTATGACGTCGCGTGATGAAAGCCGAGTTCCCTCGGAAGTCACGGGGCCGATGCCTCTTCTGACAACCAGAGCAACCATTTTTTTAGGTACATGGAACGTTCGTACATTGTGGGAGACTGGAAGACTATTTCAAGTTGCGGCAGAAATGAAAAGATACAACCTCGAGGTGCTTGGAATCAGTGAAACACATTGGACACAGGTAGGACAACTGAGACTAGCTTCAGGGGAACTGCTGTTATACTCTGGTCATGAAGAGGAAAACGCTTCACATACACAAGGAGTTGCACTGATGCTGTCCAAACACGCACAAAAGGCACTAATAGGATGGGAATCTCATGGACCCAGGATCATTAAAGCATCCTTCAAAACAAAGAAACAGGACATTGCAATGAACGTCATCCAATGTTATGCACCTACCAATGACTACAATGACGACGTTAAAGATCAATTCTACGAAAGGCTGCAGTCAATCGTCGAGAAATGTTCACCAAAGGATTTGACGATTCTTATGGGAGACCTGAATGCCAAGGTTGGCATGGACAACACTGGATATGAAGACATCATGGGACGACATGGACTGGGAGAAAGAAACGAAAACGGTGAGAGATTTGCAAACCTATGTGCCTTCAACAAACTGGTCATCGGTGGCACAATATTCCCGCACAAACGCATTCACAAAGCCACATGGATTTCACCGGATCACACTACTCAAAACCAGATTGATCATATCTGTATCAACAAAACGTTCAGAAGGACTATGGAGGATGTGAGAACCAGGAGAGGAGCTGATGTAGCCTCAGATCACCATTTGCTAATCGCCAAAGTGAAACTGAAACTAAAGAAGCACTGGACAACGGGACAGACAACATCACAGAAGTTTAATACAGCCTTTCTTCGGGATACTGTAAAGCTCAACGAATTCAAGATAGCCCTCACCAATAAGTTCCAGGCCTTACAGGATCTACACAATGGAGAGGACACAACATTGGAGAACAATTGGAAAGGGATTAAGGAGGCAATCACTTCAACATGTCAGGAGGTCCTTGGTCGCAAGAAGCAGCATCATAAGGAATGGATCTCTGTTGATACTCTCGCAAAAATTGAAGAAAGGAGGAACAAGAAGGCATCAATCAATGTCAGCCGAACAAGAGCGGAGAAAGTTACCGCACAAGCTGCATACACAGAAGCATGCAGACAAGTGAAGAAGAGCATCAGAGCTGACAAACGAAAATACGTGGAAGATCTAGCAATGACGGCGGAAAAGGCTGCAAGAGACGGAAACTTGAGACAATTGTATGAAACTACAAAGAAGCTCGCCGGGAACTATCGTAAACCAGAACGACCAGTGAAAAACAAGGAAGGCAAAGTAATCAGCAACACTGAAGAACAGCGAAATAGGTGGGTAGAGCACTTTAAGGAACTATTGAATCGACCAGCTCCTCTGAAGACACCCAACATCGAAGCAGCATCCACGGACCTCCCAATTAATATTGGCGCACCTACGATTGAGGAGATCAGTATGGCCATCAGACAAATCAAGAACGGCAAAGCAGCAGGACCAGACAACATTCCAGCAGAGGCAATGAAAGCAGATGTAGAAGCAACCGCGAAAATATTTCACATCCTCTTCAAGAAGATTTGGGATGAGGAACAAGTACCATCAGACTGGAAGGAAGGATACCTGATCAAAATACCAAAGAAAGGCGACCTCAGCAAGTGTGAGAACTACAGAGGCATCACTCTTCTTTCAATACCAGGCAAAGTCTTCAACAGGGTATTGTTAAACAGAATGAAGGACTTCGTTGACGCCCAACTTCGAGATCAACAGGCCGGATTTCGGAAGGATCGATCGTGTACTGACCAAATTGCTACATTACGGATAATTGTGGAACAATCAATTGAATGGAACTCACCACTCTACATCAACTTCATCGACTACGAGAAAGCATTCGATAGCGTGGATAGGAAAACACTGTGGACTCTTCTTCGACACTACGGGGTGCCTGAGAAAATAGTTAACATCATACGGAACTCTTATGATGGATTCAACTGCAAAATCGTGCACGGAGGACAGCTAACCGACTCTTTCGAGGTAAAGACCGGTGTCAGGCAAGGTTGCTTACTTTCACCCTTTCTCTTTCTCCTGGTGATCGACTGGATTATGAAAACGTCAACAGCTGGAGGGAAGCACGGTATCAACTGGACAGTTAGGACGCAGCTGGACGATCTGGACTTCGCAGATGATCTGGCTCTTCTATCGCACACTCAACAACAAATGCAAGAGAAGACGACGAGTGTAGCAGCAGCCTCTGCAGCAGTAGGTCTCAACATACATAAAGGAAAGAGCAAAATTCTCCGATGCAACACAACATGCACCAACCAAATCACTCTTCATGGAGATGCCTTGGAGGACGTTAACACCTTTACATATCTGGGCAGCATCATCGACAATCAAGGTGGATCGGATGCAGATGTGAGGGCACGGATTGGCAAAGCAAGGGCTGCATTTCTACAGTTGAAAAATATCTGGAACTCCAAACAGATATCAATCAACACCAAAATAAGGATTTTCAATACAAATGTCAAGACAGTTCTATTGTATGGAGCGGAAACATGGAGAACTACCAAAGCCATCATCCAGAGGATACAAGTGTTTATTAACAGCTGTCTACGTAAAATACTTCGTATTCGTTGGCCAGACACCATCAGCAACAACGAACTGTGGGAGAGAACAAGTCAGATTCCAGTGGAGGAGGAAATCAGGAAGAAGCGGTGGAAGTGGATAGGACACACTCTACGAAAAGCACCTAACTGCGTCACGAGACAAGCCCTCACATGGAACCCTCAAGGCAAAAGGAAAAGAGGAAGGCCAAAGAATACATTACGCCGTGAAATAGAGAAAGATATGAGAGGAATGAACAAACATTGGACAGAACTGGAGAGGGAAGCCCAGGACAGAGTTGGTTGGAGAAAACTGGTGGGCGGCCTATGCTCCATTGGGGGTAACAGGCGAAAGTAAGTAAGTAAGGGGGCGACTAAACCAAAACATGGCAGAAATCCATGAAGTAACTGACAAGTGGACTGAGTCATATTGGTAGATGTAGGCTATCTGGTTAGGGTCCACGGGACGAAAGTCACCGATGGTTGGAGACCTTGAATAGTATGGCTCAAAATTGCTTGTAATGTCTCAGGAGCATCCACTCCTTGTGTTTTATGAAATTCTAATCTACTGAATTTGTTATCACCTCTGCCTTTCTCCTTCTAAACGGATACTTGATTAGATTCATTTGACTTATGTAATTACGGGGAAGAGAGGATTTTTAAACAGGAGAATAACATACATAAATCTGATTTACATACATGTGTGTATACACTTACGTTGATCATCTTTATTGTTGTTCGTCAAACTTTTGTTTGTTGCAGTTGAATGATCATGATTAATGATATCTACTGATATTCTACTTCCTGTATTATTACTAATGTTATTATCTTTAGTGAGAAAATACGAGGGAGTGAATACTGTTGGTTGATTAGGTGATGTAGCTGCTTGTAGAGCCGCTTCAAATGCTGGATAGGATGCAGCGGCTAATCGACGTGCTTCATGTAAATAATGAATATCTTCACTTCTACTATGCGATGAATAAAATAAAATATGATCAACTGTTTGTATTAATTCATATTGCACTACACATTTATTGAGTAGATCAGCAAACAAATGTGCTCTAGCAACATGACCGGGTACAGATTGTTGATTGCCATTTACAAATGGGGTGATAATACTTTGATCATTGATCTCAATCGGCATTTGTTCCTGTTTACAAGGATGAAAACAAACAAGCATGGGAATTAAAGAATAAAAACCACATTCTTATAAGTTTAATGTGAAAAGACCAGAACTTCATTAAGCAGTTCAAACATCAAGATATTTTCTATAAGTAGTAATACAGTTTGCGTGACCACTATACGGAAATAAAACTTCAATGCAATAATTATCAACAAAGTATGCATTAAAAGAGTATATCTCTAATCATTTGCATGTTGCTAACTGGATTAAAGTATTCGGTTCACATAAATCTATATGAAGAAAAAATGTCTTAGGTATTATAGAAACTAAACCACTAACTTAATGGCAAAGTAAGATAGTTAATGTGACAGAATGCAAATGACGCTACATTTTTGTATCATATGACATAAGTGATTTGCAGCAGTCAGAGGAAAGTTAAGCTCAGCTTCAGAAATCGAGACCCAAGAAAGTAGTAGCATTAGTTTCTTTCTAGCCTGACAACTGTTCAAATTACTTAAGCTGTACATTCGTATTTATGATTGCTTAATAAATATTCAAATCTATCGAGGGATAGAAAAGATAGCACCATCAAGTGAATTCTCTTCATTTTTATTCAGCAACATAATGAGTTACTTTAATTATATTCATAAATGTCCCATCCTCAATGATTTTTTCAAGTTCTACAGAACAACTCAAAGTGCTGACAAAACTAGGAAGTAGTTGGATTTCATCACGAAATAGTCTAATCCAACAAAACACTGATCAATTGAAACTAGCCCACTAATATTCTTGTTGACAGTCATAAATGTTATCGATTAGGTCATTAAAAGGAACCCAAGGAGAAAAAAAAGCAGCTGTTCAGTGCTATTTCTTCGTTAAGTGATATTAAAACATCAACATTATGATGAGATATTAAAAAAATTACCATCCCTAATCTACTCATCCTATTCGATAACGAAACTGGGAAATATTATATTCAAAATACTACTAACTGTTATAAGAATAAAGTGAACATTTTCACTTACTGGGCGCCATGTTAGCAATTGATGTGGTACTGTAGACTTGAAAAGATCAACAATTAAATTTACTGTAGATTCCCAAATTTTATCATTGAATCGTTTACCATTAGATAAAATTAAGGTTTCTAAACAACTTGTTCCTGAACGAGCCAACTGTTCATGTTCTTGTAAACAACACAATCGCAGTTGTTGATAAATATCATCTAAAGTAAAAAAAATAGGAAAATAATTGTTAAATTGGATTAATCAACCTTTTGTTGAATAAAATTTTGCTTAACACGAACGATGAATTTATTTGCTAACAGTTATACTACTATGGTTTGTCAAAGTGCATGAAACTGAGTGTAAGTGAAGTGAGTCTTAAGTTAGCATTTTAAGGTCCTAGAGTGCAGTAAATCTACATATATAAAAAAAAACGAACTTAAACAGATTAAATCAGAACAGGGCATCAATCTGCAAAGTTCTTAATTGATGAACTCAGCACTCAGTAGGTAATGAAATAGATAAATCTATATTTTTGGAGATTACTTTAGCGAATGTCACGACGTAGCAGTGGCGGCGGCATTCGGCAGATTTCTAAAAAAAGTTAGATGGAAGATGTATTAAAATTCTGTTTAATGAAACGCTTCTACTAAAATGTAAGTTTGATATTCATCCAAATTCAGTAAAAGGAACACTTTCGAGTACGTATAGATGAAACTGATGTTATAAAATAATGTATAATAATTTATCAGGAGAAGCGATGTTTGATCTTTAATACTGGCATTATCACAGATTTCTGTTTTCTACATGATCCTACTATGATACAGTAACACGAATGGTGTACGATATAATACTGTCACTAGACTGAATACTCAGTTGACAGGCTATGCAAAGGCTGGAGTATCATGTAACGCCGGATACAAGATTTACAACCGAATATAGACAATTCTTTATTTAACAAAATTAGAAGCAGTCTATGTTCAGTGATTCCAAAGTAGAAATCAATAATAGGAGTGAGTTCACATTTTAGTAGTCTCAAGTTGAGTACATATCTGTCCACCCTAGGTGGTCATCAATCAGTTCTTACTTTCAGTGGACATATATCAAAACACACACTATCGTGAAACATTCTAAAAAAAGGAATGTTAAAATTTGAATGAATCAAAAATGAGAACCATCAACTGTAGGATTACTGAATTGAAAATATCAAATACACTCAACTATAGAGTATCGATTTGCTTAATTGAGATAAGTAATCAACTCGATTGATACTTATATCATAATAGTTATATTATACATTTCTATAATCGATGCACAAAGTTAGCACCTAAACATGTGCTTAGAACATCACACTGACGATTACATCACAAGCATCTAAATAAACAAATTTAGTTTTCTACAAGCTAAACTTAATAAAATAATTATAATTCCTGTAAAATGACATTTTTTCTCCGTAAACCCTTATTAGAAGCATGTGTATTAATTTAAAAATAAATACTAAAATGAGATCGGATTCATATTATTGTTTCTTACTGACTTAAAATGGTATATATTTGCGTGAACACAGTGAATAACATTGATAATTAAAGATTTTTTATGTACTACAATAGACTAATTTATATGTGACAATGATAGCAGGTACCAATCATTTACCGAGGTGTCTTTTGAAAAGATGTTTTCAGTGTAAATATGGTTTCTATGATAACACGAGATCTGTTAAGCAACGATTAACAGAAACAAGGTAGTATAAGACAGGTGTGTTGTTTTAATTTGGAACTTTTCAAATATGTGCCTTTATGACCATCTTTCGATGAGATTGAGGATAGGATCTCCAGAGTCTGACAGAATGTACAGGGTAGCTTCTAGCCACTTAGTCACAACTTAATGTTTCGTATGTTTAGTATCAGTTAATTTGATAGAAAATACATTAAATGTAATAACTACGATAAATAAGAATAGCTACGTCAAAGAATATGCATTAGTGAATTCAGCTCACAACTCAACGCCTTGCTAAAATTGAATAATTTCATTAGCCTTGTAACTTAAAATTAAAAGTTAGAAATGAGGTGTTTTTACCATTCAGTTTATTATTATTATTTATTGAATGAAATAAGAGATTATATTATACAAAACTCTATCAGAAAATATCAATCTAAACTATTACCATGTTCGTAATGATAGCATATTGGGAAAAAAATCAATACAGTAAAATTAAACAGCTATATATGGTATGTGAGAAAAACTCATAAACTCGTTTCTTTTTACAAGGAGAATGTTCCTTTTTTTTCTTGTATACTCCATGGTATTAACAATAAAAAATATTATTTAGTCATTAAGGTATTAATTTTACATTTTTACATAAACATGAGAACGAAAATATTATGAAAATTATTGACATACCTAATAGAATATCATGTAACACGTCATAAAATTGAGTGAATATATCCACAATCGAAAATAACGTATGATTACAAGTTGTATTCATCCATTCAGTACGTTCCATATTTGAAAGAGTTTGATGCTGAATAACACCATTATTAACAGTGGCTTCTTCATTCCATGTATTCAAGTGTGACAGTGTTTTTATCGAATCGATATTTGTCACAGTCTCATTATATTCTGATGATACTGAAGAGATTCGAAAATGTTGAAAAACTCTAAAGATAACAGCAAATGTTTCACGCCACCATAATGGTTTAAATTTATTACCGTGTGATTTTAATATATCGAAAAATACAGTAAGACCACGAGTACGGACGTCTAGTTTACAACTAAAGAAAGATATTATTTTAAAAAAGGGATATATTTATTTATTATGACAAAAAGTGAAGTAAGAAAATATAAATTCAAAAAATATTATACAATACAAATAACTAAGTGAAGCTTCAAAATTGGCATGCCAGTAGGACGTGAAGAGTATGATTCGAAAGTATGGTTCATTAATTAGTCGAGATACAGTTTACATCATTTTCTAAGAGTAACCCCATAATTATTCTTAATAGACAGAAAGATGAACAGATGAAAAGATGAGTGCAGTGTTACTCATCAATAAACCTTTATCAGGGTCGAATAAGCATACAAAATAACACCAGCTTCATTAGAAAGAAAAGACAAAACTGTGGTGAAATATCAGAACGCAAACTCCAATCAAAACAAGAGTAAATATGTTGAAGTAATATTGAATGAAATATCTGACTAAAGAAATTATGTCAAAAAAGAAATAGTAACATCCACGTAATATTAAACATTAAGCAATTTTATAGCCTACACCACGAACCAACCTTAGTTAGACGATTTAAAACTGCGAAGTAGTGGATAGCTATTTCATGCTGATATAGAACGCTCATCAGACTGCCTTGTTTTCAACATGACTAGGACTCATGAAATTAGCTTTCAAAACTAGTTACTAATGGTCACATATTGATTATTAGTAAAAATGGTTTACGGAGATTGCAGGACAATTTGTTAAACTTAAAAACACAGAGGATAATTTGGAAATAAAAAACTACATACCTATTTATTACACGAAATAATTCACATAACACAGGCATCCAACCTCTTAACCAAATTTGATCATCTTCAGGTAATAGGTAAACATATTTCAAATCAGAATTAGGTAATTCCATTGAATTATTATTTAAAACAGATAATTCGGAATTTTGTAAACCAATAAAGACTGACTCTTTTTCATCTACTGTATGTGCACAAATACGAATTAAACGGATACTTTCCATAGCTGTATCAGGAAATCGAGGATTGCATGAAAATTCCGCTAATGCTTTCACTAAAGACTAAAGATTAATTAGATGAAACAGGGAAAAATGAATAGATGAAAAGGAATCAAAGTTCTTTTTTTAGTAATAAAACACAATACATCCAAAGCACGATAATACTAGTATGTATTTAATGAATCAGTCAGATATATACACTATAAATAACCAAATAGCTGTGGTTAATACCACTCAATAAGCTGAACTACTACTGCTACTGTACGTTTTTAACTGTGTCATCTAGCTAAAATATTCAAAGTAGCATGAAGCAATTAGAAACACTGGTTTATTTAATTAGAAATTACAAACAAAGAAACAGACAAACAGCTAAATGATTATAAATATAATTTCATCATTAGGCACAGAATAATAAACTGCAGTTGAAACAAAATTTCATAAAAAGAAAACAAGTTACAGTTACCCTTCGAAAACTGAAAGCAATCTGGCAATAATGTGAATTATTTTTCGGCTGCAGTCAACAACGTCTGTTGACAAATGGAAAGTTATTTCTCAAGTGAATTAATGATTACTAGTCAACCCAGTGCTTGGATGTTTTAGGTTCAATTAATTTTGATTTAGGTTTTTTTTAAAGTCAACACTAGAAGCTGATAACAAAACGAATTATGCACAAGTACGTCAACTAAAATTTGTGCATCATCAACCGAATAGATAATCCAATAGTATTTGATAAGTTTATAACTAGTTTAACCGTTGAATTTTGTAGTAATGTCATAAATGTACAGGTCTAGTGGATACTATACGCAACGTGACTTAGCAGTAGTATGTAGCGGAGTGTCGCCTAGAAGTTACAGTCAAAGTGAAGAGAGTCGGATCTGGATGTACAGCATGATCAAAGTATTTTGAAGACTAGAAGATATGTAAAAGAAGATAGTTAATAAACTGCTTGTTTCGCAAACGAAATTTTGAAGATAAGGTTTACACAAATCACCTACTTACCTGAAAAGCATCAACTACAACATGCAAATGTTCTTTGAAAACATCTTTCACAGTAAAATGACAAGTTTCAAATGCCATATCAACAATTCCTTCATCTAAAGATGATGCTACTGAATGTAGTACAGTAAAAATATTTGTCCAACCAGAGCGTATATTTGCATACTGTGAATGGACCAATTGATAAATACAACGAACGATCATATCTTGAACTTTGTGACTGACATTTGGTTCAATTTCCAGTATATTTACAAAAGGACTGAATTGTATGTGAAGTTTCGTTTTTTTTTAAATGAAACCAAGGAATGATTATTAGTAACAAATAAGTATCCATAAGTGTGAGAGAGAAAAACAAAATTAACGACATTATTAATGATAATTAGGTTTGATATTATTGAATGGCGTATGATATTCAACAGTAATTACACTGGTATCAAATATATGTTCACGATCAATAAAAACTAAGTACATTTGTTGCTTGAGGCTTGAAAAAAGAAAAACTTACTACTTTGTCTGAATTGATTCAGACAATGTGCAACAGAACTTTCAATTCTATAGTAACCGAAATTGGGCATACAATAACACAAGTGATTCTTAATTAGAAACCAATGAAATATGAAGATGATTTTCGTCAAGCATTGAACAACTGTTTCGTCCTAATCAACCATTCTAACTCAACAGTAAGAAACTACGACACAAATCCAAAGCATTCTTATATTTATATTCCTGATTTGGAGCCCCATTGCTTCTACATTCAGCTTTAGATAATTTAAATAAATTAGAAGTTTGAATGATAAAACGAATTATTATCCCTGGTCGCTGTGAGTATTACTTATGATAATGTTGTTCCATAATAACTATATATATATATATATATATATATATATATATAATGGCGAGGAAACAAATACAAAATATCCGATTTATCAAAGAAACTACATATTTGTAAAATCTTGATAAAGTCATAGGAAAAAAATAGAGCATTCTTGACATTTTAAGATCATGTGAAAGCTAATGACATCCAACAAATAAAGAATAGAATAGAAAGAACAGTCAATGATCTGTACAAACGATCACATGTTTAAAAACAAGTATGACACTTCATCTGGTGTTACTTTTTCCAGTGATTTTTATTCTACACAAAAAATACCATTTGAATAAAACTAGAATTGTTTTTCTTTTTAATGACATGAGGTCAATAATTTAAATGATTAGTTTTGTCAGTCAGTTTTTTTATTGCAAAGTAAAATGTTTCTGTAAAATGAAACTGACGAAAAAGTTGCAATTATGTCCAGCTAAGTGATTGACAACTAACTTGGTTTTAGATTAAAACAAGGCGATAAACAGATGCAGAACAATTTGCTTACTTGTTATGCTATTCAAGTACAAATCCAAATACACAATAAAAACGAAGGACTATATTTGAAGTGGATCTGGCTTTTTTCATGTAAATTTGTAACTTGACCAACTTTAGAACTAATAAGCTAGTAATCATATCTCTTATGAGATGGCAAGAAATATTTATTTTTCTGAGGCGATCCTCAACGTTTTCAATATTCGATTATTGTGTTGCATCCAGCATTTTTAGTCACTTTTCTATTCATTTAATGAGTTGGTTATATAATTTTATTTGAGATTTCATTTCCACCCTTAGCTTTTACTATTTTCATTTGAAATACACTACAAACCGTTACAGATACTTACAAACTCTTGAAATTCAATTCTTAGGTTAGATTACACTCTGATGCTCAGCAATTACTTGCAGAATGAAGGGAGAAATAAATAAACAATGGATAATGTTGAGGATATACGATTCCTTCAGAAAAAATATTCACAACTGAAACTTTTAAATGATTTAGTTACTTATAATTCATAAGTGGTTAGATAATTTACGAAAGACTCAGTTTAATTTCTATAATTTCCTCATCTATATCATTTCGTGCGTTAAATAATTTATGATAGAAGAGGTGAATCTCGGTTAGGGATGATCTTTTTAAACTTGGAGGCTGACAGAAGAGCTCAGAGGACAACAGTTTGAGGCCGGTCACACATAAGGCATTTTTTCGAATACTTTTAGATGAGTTATCATCGTATTTTAGCGCCACCACTACCTGTGACAGAAATCCATGGGTTAAAGTGAAGTATACTGGTTTTAGCATCCACCTTTCCCAGCACTATCCTTCTGTTGTGGGAAGGAAGCATCAATGCAGGTCCTGATTGACTGAGAGGAACACCTTACTGCGTCATACCCCTATTCGGTTAACAATATGAAATTATCCTTAGAACACGCGCTTGTTGCTCTCAGTAATATATAATAGAATACTTGATTTAATTATTAATCATACTACTCATTTATTTGTTTTACGCAATTAACATTCATTCCAATTAGTTGCCTTTCAATTTTATTTGATTAATAACGTGATTCAAGTCATATTAATATTTACAATCGTCCAAAAAACACATTTACTTTATTAACCCTACATCTATATTGTGCATTTTAAAATAGATTAATCTCAAACTTTAAAAGAAAATTAATCTGGACTCATGGTATAGGAGGAACTGATGATAATTTGTTGGGAAAAGTATTTTTCATTCACAACAGATTGAAACTGAAATGTTTACATGTTGAGAAATTTAGCTTCATTGTTAATAATGTTTCCACAAATGGATGATTTAACTAAGAAACTTTTATACCTTCATTTTAATTGATCTTCTCAAACGGAAATTACTTTGTTTGAAGCAATATGTCTCAGCATAACCATCAGTGTGATTGATAGATTCGGGTTGTACTTTATTGATTCTGCATACCTTTTAAATGGTTCCGCAAAAATTATTTCACAATCGTTTTGCTTTTGTTGAAGTGTATACTGACTTCAAACAAGTCTAAAAGTAAACCCTACGGTTTGATTTTTAAAATCTATTAACAGAAGTTCTACAGTGTTTCACTACCAAATATTATTGCCTTTGTCAGCATTAGCATGATGATGAAAAGAAAAGAGGGATGTTTCATAACACAAGTCAGCTGAATTTCCAACTAAATTATTTTATTCGAAGGACACCAAAATCATCGATATTGTGTAAATGTGTTCACTAAAGGAAATTAACTAATATGGAGGTAGAATGAAGAATCACTGAAATTCAAAGAATTATTTAGTTTCGGTGTTTAGGACGCCATAACACCGTCTACTTACGAAACCATTATAGAGTTAACTTAAAAATCTTTATAATGGTTCACGATAGTTGATATAAATGTCTGTGATATGAAACTAAACATAAAATGAACTGTTTGTTTAAGTTTCTTTTTTAAATAACAAAGTAAATTATAGTTAATGTTTGTTTAACAAAATGCTTACCGAAGAAATTCTTTTTGAAAATGGAAATTAGGCAATTCACCTTTTTCTATTAATTTTAATGACAATTGACGTAAAGAATCAATAACAAATTCAGCAACATCTTCATCAATTGATCGACCAGCTGTAGTAAAATGACTACCAATATGTTCCCAAATACGTGACCATTGTAATCGAATACGACCCATATTATAATATGAAATTTCAACAACTTTTTGAAGTGAAAATGTTCTTGGTTGAGGAAGATTTAATTCTTCTCGACTAACCTACAGTCAAAAAAAGAATTACATACATATACATATATTGAATCTGTGGTAGAACGGTGGCCTAGTGGTTATGATGTGCGACTTTTAGATATTAAGTTCCAGGTTCGAGCCTTGCTCCACCAATTTCGACTAGGGAAACTGAGTGATAGTATCATTAGCTAAAATACACTTAGTACGGCTCATTTTCAAACAAATAAATAAGTAAAAATTTATTCCTAATACACAAGAAAAGGCGAGAAATTAATCATAACTTACTTGACACAAAGCTTTCACAAATTCTACAATAGCATCACCATCCAAACGGATTGATCCAGTGAAAATTTTGTCAACAGCAACTACAACACTTTGTGATCCGGTTTCTCCCATTACTTCTTGTAGAACAGCAGCTTTTTTAGAATCCACAACAGCAGCAGCCAAACTTCCTGGGGCAACAGGTTCATTCAAATTATGGCCCATAATTTGATTAGATGTAACTGTTGGACTAGCTGATACTAAATTACTTGATCTGACTGATGCATTTTCTGTTGTTGGTGAAGTGATCGTAGATGATCCATTAACATTTTGGTTATGAGAAGGGTTATATGAATCTAAAAATAATCAATATTCAAAATGTAAAATTTAATGTATTCACTGAATGAAATATGAAATAAATATCTTTAATTAAAAGACTGTAGGTTAAGAGTTAGAGAATTTGAAAAAAAGATTAAAATCTAAGAAGGGATAAAATTGTGTAGGGTAATGTAATTTTTTATACGGCTGAGCACTGAAAAAGAAACAGATATCCGATACATAATGACCTTTACTGTTCATTTAGGTAGCTTTAGATGATGGAATAATTTAATGGTAAAGTAATCAAATACCTTAAAGTAAATATTGCAGCTCAGTATTCGATGGCAATGAAAACATTAACCATTGAAATCAAAACTAACTATTCATTCTTGGGAGAATATTTTCGCAAACTTGTTTAATAAGCGAAAGATAATGTAATAGGTAATTTAATATAAGAAAATTGAGCCATTATTCACTTAACACAAATCACTAAACATTCAAATGCAGCAGCGACGTGCTACGAATTGGAATGCAACATCTATTAAGTGTCCTCTCCTTTTTTCGTAGATTCCTTCTAGATGTTAAATTAAATCACTCACTATGTATCGCTAATCTATGAAATAACAACTAGACTAAACACTATTACTTTAAATAGGAGGTAATAAGTTAAAAATCGCTTTTATTTTCAATAAGTTTTTAAAACATTAATTTAGTCACTGGTATTAATGACGTACAATAATTGTGTTGAGTCAATTGTCTACATTGTCTGACTACAAAATAAGTTTAGAAATTACTATTTTAAAAGCAATGAAATACTAAATATATATCTGTTTGACAAGAATTTACATTGACCACATTGAATCTTGTTTAAATTAACTGTTATAAAAAATAAAAGGGAATCATTTGAAATGAAAAATGCCAGAAAGAAGACAGTTTATTTACTATTAGTAAATATATTAGTTTAGTGTTCATATAAATCAAACCTTTGAATGTTATGATATTAGCATATTTTGTGCACTAATAATGCATACTATGTTTATTATTACGACTAGTATTATTATTCCAAAAAACAATCATAGTCATTCGAATTCCAAGCCTGAAGACCACTTAAAATGAATATATTTTTACTACTAAAATTCCCCTCTAGCTATTTTTGAAGTTTTGATTATGAAATTCTACACTAAAAACATTGAAAATTATCAAATAAATATATACACTTGAAAAAGTGCGAATAATCTATACTTTCTTTTGTTAGATGTACGAGTAAAACAGAGTACTTTGATGAGTATCTGTAAAAAATTCCTGTTATATATTAAAGTTTACATGTTTTTTGAACAATTACACATGAGTGTTTAGTAGGAATCTTTAGTTAATAAGAAGTTTGAGTGAATTCATTCCTTTCCTTTTAAAGTCAGTAGACGACAATTCCAAGAAGCACATTTTATGGATTAATGGATTGATTTTAACCATATTTACAATGTCTATCACACATACTTCATGAATACCTATTATTTTCAATATTCAATAGTGAATTAGAAATTTTATCTCTTCCGTTGGGCACAGTTATGATAATGTAGTTGGTGTCACCAACTTTAAAAACCGACTTCGGTGGATTAGATATGTACTGCGAATGTCGTTCAGACAGATCCCATCTCATACTTTATTTGCCGCCACTAGGACTCGTCAGAAAAAGATAGGCGATCAGTTAAATGACCCCGGGATATGAAAAAAAGCTGTACAGAACCAGTGCTTATCGGTTTATCATAATTCTCTGGTTGGGGTACTAGAGAGTGAAGTGAGGTTCAGAACGATGACCTTTTGAAGGAAAGACGAACCAGTGCTCTATAAAAAGTTATGTGGAAGTAAAGTACACAATATATCTCAAAGAAAATATAAAGAACTGAAAAACAATTTTCATGTTGCATTAAGGCAACTGACAACTAACTATTTAGGTTGAAGGTCACAAAAACAAACAAAATTTAGTTTGGGGTAGATTATTTTTCTACAAATGGACATTAATCCTTTGTGATTTAATGAAAGAGTAAACCAGTAAGATTAAAGAGATGCTTCCAACTTAGTATACAACAAAATCATCAGATATATATACACTATGGTGAACAAATCATATTATTGTAAACAATAAAAACCAGTTGTCATGGCTTTTTAAAACAATAGCGATAATCAATGAAAGAGAAAACCATGGTGATACATATAGATAGTCAAAACTAGCTGTGAAATAGTTGTAAACAACATAGAAAATATTTATTTAGAAGAATGAAGTTTTTCGGTAAACACAGAAAACAGCAACAGCTCTCTGAACTGGATAATCATCAGTCAAATAGCAAAATATAAAATCTCCTATATTATCCATTGTTAGGACTTCAATAAATATTTATGCAAAAATTAGGCACTGAGTACATAAAAGATATCAGATAGGGATTTTCTATGTAAACAGTATTTGAACCATTACATGCACTATCAGTATACAATTTGAAACAGCGTGAATAGTAGAATCAGCTAATTACCTAAGCATATTAATTAAAATATTCTATCTTTGACGAGATCCCTACTGTAATGGAGTTTTATGAAGTAAACAGAGGTTGATAAGTGGTGTAAAGAGGTAAACGACACAAAATGATACAAAAAATCGACTTGAAACCCGTGATCTGATTATAAGATTACTGAAGAAATATTGATAGCAGTCAATCCATAGATCACACATTGGCATTATTTAATCTGCTCAACATTTTTACTCATGATGATCTCAATAACACGTTATGAATGAGTAAACCTGAAAGCAAAATTATCAGTGTAAACAAAGTATAGGATTACAACAAAAGTTCAAGAAATTAAAAATATGAATTGATTCAAGGTATACTCTATGTATTTAGAAATATGATTGATTTACATCTGGCTACTATTTAATGAGGAAAAATTAATTTAATTAAACTTACTGAAATGTGCTGGACGATTGACAAAATGCGGATTATTTGTATTTAAACCATTTGCCGATGAAACTGCATGAGTGATTAAATGCGCTGATTCCAGTTGAGATATACACCGTAAAATTTCTAACCATGAACGTCCTAAATAATTACCATCTGTTTGAGCAACTGTAATCAATGTACGTATTGTATCAATATTTTTTTGTTTCATCGCTTCTGGAGTAGATAAAGCTGGATTTGATCCTAATGCATTTGTATAAGCAGTGGTAAGTGTAGTTGATGCATTCGTATTGAGTTTCTCCGATCGAAGACGACGATAATTAGCATTCTGATGACTATTTCCATTTATACCTGATGAATTTCCATTTATAACAGTAGGATTTACATATGAAGTTGTTAACAGTAGTGTGAATCGTGCTAGGGCTTGTACATAAGCATCTCGCTCTAATTCCATATGAAATATACATGCTATACGTATAGCATATCGAATACCTTCTAAACACAGATGAGTTACATCTAAAGCATCGGAATCCTATGGAAGACAAGAATATTTTGGAGAAGTTTGGATTTATGTGTAAAGTAAAATATAAAACAATATAAACGCAAAAAGTAAAGACAATAGGTCACCGGTTAATGTTAGAAAGTATAAAAATAATTGCATTTATTTATGCGAGACTACATGGTCCTTTTCGTTCAGCTTTGAGTCATATTCTTTTTGAGTATGAGCTGATGATACTATTCGGTTGAGAAAACCCAAGTAGGAAGTGTGAAGTTTAAAATTGTAGCATCCTGATTGAAAGGTGAGTGTCTTAAAAAACGGGAAAACGCTTGTTAATATCATTATTTGAGCATTCAAAATAGCAAAATGTATGAGAATTTTCGGATATAATCATGTAATGATTAAAATCTAAAATTCGTATCACATACTGATAAAATATGGCTACTTGAACTATAAGAAAAACAATACGTTAAAAAAGTTACAGTCATAAGTGATGCACGATGGCGAAAGCCAATCGAGCCTTTTCTATCCGTGCTGAGATTTCGTCACACACCAAGCTATAAGCACTGATTAGACTCACCAGATAAGTGAAGCGGTCAACACGCTCAACTAATCCACTCCCTATCACTAGTTCAGGTGCCGATACAAACCAATCTTGAAGCAACATTTTGCATTTCGATGGGCAGAATCGTCTCGCGAACATGCTTTCATTGTTGCTTAGGGTAGTCATAAGACTCTGCTTTTGTCAGCATCTTCACCGAATAAGACTATGTCATCGGCATATTCTAAGTCGATAAGCGAGCCTCCTGGTAGAAGGTCTACTCTTGAAAATCCATTCGAAGATAGGGTTTTATCTAGGAGCAGGTCTATGACAAAATTAAACAAGGATGGGGAAAGTGGACATCCTTGACGGACACCCCTTAAAGTAACTAATTTCGACGACAGTTCGCCATAACCTTCCACACGACCTGTAGTGTTCGAGTAGAGAGCTTGTATGAGGTTACTGCACTCCTTTGGTACACCTTTCAATGACAGACACTGACACAGAACCTCATGACCCACAGAGTCAAACGCTGCTTTAAGGTCCAGGAAAACAACTATTGTCGGACGCCTAAATATATATCTGTGTTCCAGGACCTGTCTTAATGTGAAGATGTGGTCTATACATCCACGTCCATGTCTGTAACCAGACTCGTTTTCTCTGGCCTACTCTTCACGAGCTGTAGTTAGGCGTCATATACTATCGAGGCTAGCAATTTAGAAACTATATTATTTAGAGTGGTTTCTCTGAGATTGTTACAAGAAGACTTTCGTCCTTTCTTGTAAACTGGGATTCCCGAATTCTACGTAAGATGTCAGTCAATCTTACTGCTAAAACTGAACCACCATCCTTAAAAATCTCTGAGGCTCTGTTAGGCACTGGAGCGTGACTTATGTCGATTTCCTATCCAGGTTGACTGGAAATCGTGGGCAACCGAAGTGTCGCTGAAGGCCAGTTGGACTGATTCCTAAAGTGCGCTGCACATCCACCTAATTCCCCTGAATTGAGAATGAAGACCATCGTTTTCCAAAATAGTCTCACATTTGGGTTCTTAATACCGGTTTTCCTGATAACTCTGAGTAGTTGCCTACTGTTGCCTATCGCTGCTGCCTTTCCCATCTCTCTTGCTTTCGCTACCCAACACTGTTCGCAATCAATGCGTAGGCTTTTTATCAGCTTGCGCTTAAGCTAACTACGCTCCTAATCGAACTCAGAGCCAGATGGGATGTCTGCGAGCATCCATCAGTTCGGTAGATGCTACTGAGATCCACGGCTTCATTCTAGCCTTATGGTTTACCTTACTAGCAGATATCACTGCTGTTTCCACAGCTTTCTGGATATTATTATTTCAAGCTGCCTCAGAGTGAGAATCACTTAAATGGCCGCCTAGCTGTTTTTCTACTTGTTCCTGAACTATATCCTTGGCCATTAAACAAAACCCTGAGGGGTTTCCTTACGGTGTCTTTCCTACGTCCGGTAAGTCGCAAACAAATACGCGCTGACATAAGAGCATGATCTGAATCTAAACTGTGCACCAGAACGAGCGACAGTCTTCTATCGAAACCCTTCATCGGTGGCTGATGGCGATGTGATGTGATCTAGAAGACAACATTATTAAAAAAATTAGTCAGTCTGCAACACTTATCTATAGAATTTTTCTCCGAAAAGCACAGTATGTTTACCAGCTAAGTATCACAGCAAAGAAAACTCCAAATCGATCAGAACAATCGACAGTAAAAGAGACATAAAGAACAATTACTTCGTAAAAGTCTATATACCACATAATTCCCATCATTTAATGATTATATAGTTGAAAATATCGTTATACAAGTAATAATCAAAGTAAAATGAATGAGAAAAATATCAATGTTCGATAATACAGCATTTTTGTAAATAGAAAGTTATCGTATAAACAAAAACGGACATTAACAAAGTCAAAAGAATATAATTAGCCATCATTTTTTTAAAAATAATGTTTACCTGAATGTAAATTAAATGGACAGAGAGGGAAAATATTCAAAAAAACATCAAATCAATCAACAATGAATTTCGAACGGTTTGCAGTAAACTTTGTTTTAGACTAGAGTATATATATATATATATATATATATATATATATCAATGAAAAATGTTTTCGCTTAGATCAATCATGTAAAATCAATGGAAAGGTGTGTAAGCAGACAATAGTTTAAGTACAAATCTTACAACAATTAAAAGGCATCGACCACTAGAACTTTACTTTCAAAAAGTTGAAGACTTAAATAGTTTATGAACTTGTTTAGTTTGACAGGATTGGAAGATTGAAATGATAACATTTAGGACATATTCCATTTAGCATATTGTAACTTTAAACAACATCTACTAAGTGAAGGACTTCTCGATCGTTTACAGGATTAATTATAAAACATGAAGTAATCAACAGCTTTCAACTAAAATATTCTGCATTTTTCAGCCTAAATCTAACGTTTAGTGATGGTAGAAATGTTTGGAAAACTAGATAATGATATTGCTTGATATTTTTTGAAAACGGAAGATAAAGAGATAAGACGGAAAATTCTAAAATACTGTGTCCATTTACCTTATATTTATTCTAAACAAATATGGCCAACCAAAAAATGTAAAATATTAGAGTGCATTAAAAAACATGTAAAGGAAAAAGGAAATATTTATCTATGATTGGGCTTACAACTCTAAAAATAGGTCGTCATCGAACTTCTAGGAATTTCCAAGGTCTCGGGATAAGAAATTCATTCCACAAAATTAGGAGGTACAAACGTATACACCTATCAATATGTTTCACAATGTTAAGTAATAATACTAACATCGAACATCTTTCTTAACATTACCGTCTTTTTATTTATCTTAAATGATGGATGCGCTTATGATCTTAAAATGAATCTAAAATGTCGATTTTAGGTTGAGAAATCATGTCAATGTGAAGGGACTTGTAAGCATTTACGTTTGGTGATAGCTAATAAAAATTTACAATTTGTTTGGGACACCAATGATTGAGCTTAAAACCTATCTTTTCAATTAAAGAATACTGTTTCCCTAATACACTTAGATACTTCAAGAATTCAAGATTTAGAACTTTGGAATCAATTAGTAAGACTGATTTTTCTGATGTATCGTAAGTGAACTAGAGTTCGTTCTCTAAGTTTAATAATCAATGTGGTCAGTCACGTCAGCACTAGGTTAAAGTTTTACACACCGATTGACAACTCAGTCAATCCACTATTTTTTAAATTGAATGGATACAATTTAACGGTACTAACGGTATTTACCTCATACTTGGAAATTTCATGCAAACACGGAGAATTGACATTAGTGATCGATAGGTGACGGGATTAGAACGTCTACGGCTGAGAACAAACTGAATTGTTTCTCGGTATACCACGAAGCTCTCCAGTCACCTTTTAAGAAATCTGTCATCAAGTGTATTGCCTTTTAATAGTAGTTTCGCTAACCATTTATTAAAGACCGAAAAACCGTCGAAGAATATTTGAATAACTAGAAAATTCCTATCATATTAAAACGTAGGTATATGAACGAAGATTATTCTTTTCAATAGATTCTCTTTGGGTTCTGTGTTCTTAATATTTAGAAGTCGATTTACGCTGAATCCAAGATTATTTCATTCGTATTCATCATAGATAACAGTGAAATAGATTGGACAATGTATAGCTTATGTTAGATCACTTCAGCACAAAAATAATTAAAATATTCAATCCAAGCTGTGAGGTAAACAACTAATTTTAAAAAATTATTACCTGTAATCCAACACTAAATGCAGCCAGAAACGGTGTCCAAGCTAATTTGAACATTGGACGAACATGCTCACAATGGGTTGCACAGGTAAATTCAGATGAACCAGATATTACCTACATGATAAGAAATTAAAATTGAAAAGAAAATCATGGACAAAGAAACAAGATTAACGGTTAATTATTATAAGTATTCAGTTTAAATTTCCCGGTATACACTAATTTTGTTATAGGGTTTAGAACACTACAATCGCGTTGAATGAAAACTGATCCACACAGAAGTTGAAACAATGATGTACATGAAATATTTTTTATGCACTCATGTAACGACTTTATCGCTTTACTGACATAAACAGTTGTTTCATAGGGTCCTAACATGCCAACTAAATCGGTTAAAGAACGGTACAACTGAAAGCAACGATTTTCAGGTTCAAGAACGAAGTCATACTACTGACTGCATTCAAACGAGTAATTCTCATTACTAGTCGGCATGTATGATGATGCTACGTTACCACAAACAAGAGCGATTACAAAGGATTGATTTAGCGTTATGATTGAACACTTGACTGGTAAAATAGTGGATTGACTGACGGGCATAAACTGATGACTCATTCACATAACCAAATACGTCAGTAATTGAACCATCATAGTTTTAACATTTTTAGACTCCAACCTTCCTTTATCAACTTCCGTTAAGCTCCGGACTACTTAGTCGTTCAATGTTCATCCAAAGACTGAAAAGGATATCAATACCCCAACTTGCTAAGTTGAGAAGACTGTAATCAATCTGACGCGAAGTAGATCAGTGAGATCCGATCTCGGAGAGAGGGGTAGGTACAAATAGATCAGCTGTGATATTAATTTTGTGACAGAGTTAGTCGAAAATAATGATCAGAGTAGATGAACCTACTGAGGAACAGTTACTGGGACATTCGTACTAAAACAGAGTTTAGCTTTCAGTATAGATTAGAATTAGCTGAAAAGAATTTGAAAACTGGGAAGCATTGGAAAGTTCTTTCACACCACTTTGCTACAAGTTAGCGATGTACAGCCACTAACTAGAAATAAACTGAACAAAGGATTTTAAAATACCATAGCCATTCTTCGGTCTGGGCATCTGCTCAGTATTCCAGCTCGCTCAAATATTCAGTTAATGTATTTTTCGATAAGTCTTTGTATCGATAATTATGTATTTAAATATGTCACAGCGAGCCCGTTACCATTTAGCCCATTAGATTGGAATTCAGTGGTAGAAACTCCAAAATTTATTCGATTCCTAAAATAATATGATGATCATCCAACGCTATCAGTGGTTATTCAAAGTAATTAATATGAATGGATAACATATTTCTTGTAACTATACTTCCATTCCTTATTTATTTAGCATTCTGTTCGTGCTTAACATCAGCTGTGTTCAATTCTAATTAATAATTTTGTGAGATAACTAATTGATCAATACCACTCAATACTATTTAATTATTAACTAGATTACAGATAAAATTGAAAATGAAATCTTATTTACAAATTTACTCATTTTTGACAAAATAGTAGTTTTTTGTTATCGAAAATAGATTTCACTCATAAAACTAAAGACAAATATGTGAAATATGTATTACCAAGCTGACTTCAGTCACACTAGAAAATCAAGACAAAAAATTTAAAAACTTAAAACAAGTAGTAAGCAGTAAACATCAATTCGGTGTTTCATTTTGCTAACTTTTCTATGCTGGCCTTATTATTGATTATGTGCAGCTGTAATTAGGTGCATTGTTTGTTTTTACAAGAAATAAAATAAACACATGACTACATGTGTTTGTATAATCATGTCAAAAATATTTAATCACATAAAATCTTTTCTTAAGTAGTTGATATGTCTATTAATTAAGCACAAGATCCGAATTCCTATCCGCCTCTAATAACTGCAGACTAAATCTACACTGCAACTCGAACGAAAGAGAAAAGGAGCAAAGTACGAGAAAAACGCTTTACTCTAAAGTTAGTTTATGTACAGAAAATGAAGGTATTTATAGTTGCTCATGACCTTGGGCCTCTAGAAGGTTCGAAAATCACGCTAAATATCCAATTAGAATCATTGTATGTGATTATACATTTTCCAGATATTTCTGAGAAGGCTTTATTCAATGCTAATTGGATGAAAAGTTTCTTGGCATTTCTGGGCCTTGATAGACTTTTCTGAGGGATATTTTAGGGATCCGCAACAGTAGCATATAAGTATTATTCATTCAATGTTTATAGAATAGCAGGATTGCAAATGGAAGACTAAGTAAATACAGTAAACTTTTCCCGAAAAAATATTTAACTTGATTCGGAAACTAATTCAGTCGTTAATGACACTGAATAATGAGCAAGTTATATGGCAAATTGTTTGTGGTTGAAAATTATCATAGGATTTCGGGTCATTGGGTCCAATGCCTAATAGAACCATAATCCCAATATTCAGTGTTTTCAGTGTCGTTGTTGCTACCTTCTTTAGTTCCTTTACTTAAACGCATCTCATGATCCTGTGCTATGGGAATTCGAAATTCCAAAAGATTGTATAAGACTAATGTATATATGTTTTGATGAAGATTATGAAAATTATGTTGCCCATGGCATTTAATTTTGTGTATTTTTCTGTTAGCATTTTGAATATAAGTATGTTATTTTATTAGGAATAACCTAATCTGCTAGAATGCCATCTTGTCTTCTGACATTATTTCATTGGGGGCTTACGTGGGTAATCATCATTCCACTATAATTAGGATGATTACAAACCATTTATCGAACAGCATTCTTCTATTTTTTTTCATTTTAATAACAAAATATGTTTACTGTGATTTGTAAAATCCTACTTCAGAACAAGATACAAACCGGACTAATTGTTGCAGATGTACTAATCTATAAACTGAAATACACTTAAACATAGTTTAAAAGAATAGTATTTCAAGCTTATTGAGATTGCCTTAAAAATTGTAAGATAATGAGAACTATGTAATACTCGTCGATTAATTTGTCTCGATAAAGTTAAGATAAGATTTGATTAGATATCAACTCCAGAATAATTATCATCATAGAATAAACACTTAATGTATGATAGTCTAAGAAAGTAAAAGAAAAAAGTTGTTACTGGTATATACGGATGAAGATTAAAGTGAATCGTAACTAAAGAATCCAGTTTATGGACTATTGTTTTGTATAGCCTAATCGTATAATTACGAGGTAACTAGATCATTATCTATGTATATTACTTGTATTCTGAGCTCTTAAATAACTTAATAACTATGGTTGCATGACTTATTATTTTTAATCTGTTGCTAGTTTCTACTACTAACAGCCATTTTTGGTTTTATTCATGTGCAGTTTTGAATTTTGGTGCGATCTGATTTAGTTGAGTGTGTATGTAAAAGAATGTTCGAAATATAATAACGGGAAAATCTTGGACTGGTGGTAATTACTTTTTGTTCATCCAATTCGATTGAGGCAAGTTAATAATGAGCTGTCGTTCGAGCATAGAATAGAATAGTGAAGTCTCCTGTCTTTGTTGTATACTGTGGTTACTAAAAGATGATCTGTAAAATTGGTTCGTGAAAGGCCATAACAGTTAAAGACAAGTGACATAATTCACACAACAATAAATGTTCATTAAATGACTGAAAACAATATAAAGAATAAACTTACAGAATCTCCTAAAACCTCTCCATCTACTGTTTTTCGTCGGTTATTTAGTTTAGGGCTGAATTCAGTTGATGCAGAAACTTTTGTAAGTTTGGTAACGTTATCATCAGTTTTTAATTTTATACCAGCATTAGCAATTTCATCATAGATTTGAGCTAAGTAAGATTCTGGTAAATCTTGACTATCATTTATACCACGGTTCATGCGTATATAATCCTCCTTTTAAATATAATGATAGAATGATAACAAAAAAATAATCAACCAATCGACAATCGGTTTCATCACATTGAATTAAAATGACATTTTACAGTAATGAATATAAACTACTGATCTGAATAAAACAACTAGGTTTTTGTCATTTTTTCCGCATAGTTTCTATTGATTTAGTGAATCATATGCATATAAATAAGGAAGGTTCTCAGTGAGCGTACCTTTCAAGGATGGACGTTTTTTGATTTCACTCCTATGTTTCAGTGGATCTTCAAATAAATATTGACTAACAACAGAAATTACTGAGCTGAAAGTCCCCTACCGAAAAGAAACCCGCAAGTGAAGATTCATGAATATAATTGAAACTTATAAATTCATCCTAACTGTTGATTTACTCAGCATCAAAGCGGGCAACAAGAAGTTTTGTAAACTAATAATAAATTTGAGATATAATTATTCTATAAGTATTATGTAAAAGCGTGATCGGTTTAAAGATAAACTTTATTTTTTCATGACACTTGAGATTGTTACAAGGAATTAAGTGTTTTAATTGATTCATAATAATAAGTCAATAGTTCAAACGGTGTGATATGTGATCAATAAAACTGAGAAAAAAAGATAAGAATGTGATTTGATAATGCTCAGCGTTGTGGTAACAGGTTAATTCAACAAACGTAAAGCACTGAACACATATTTTTATAATTTATGATGTTTTAATGATTGATCGGATTAAAAATTGACAAAAACAGTGAGATCAAATATGCTGAAATATAGTCAAAAGAAATAATTCTGTGAACTGCTTACCTTACTCATACGATTGTGTGGTTTAATTTGAGAGCTATGCAAATCTGTAGTCAACATAATAATTGAGAAAGCCAAAACGTATGCAGTATCGGCTGAAGCAAATAAATTATTACTTGGATTGCATGCAAAATAACGTGCAGCAAATTTTTCCATAAGTCGATCAATCTTCTGTGCTTCACCAGGTAATCGAAATCCAGATAAAAATTCCCTTTTGATTAAAATTAAAAAATTAAAAAACATTTTAGCAGCTATGTCAAGCGAGTTAGGAACTTATTTCGAAATGAACTTTTTTCATATCACTCACCAGGTGATATCAGCTGTTGAACTATTGGAAAATATAGACAGTTGTTTTGTCTTAGTTAGAAACTTATCAGTAGTGCACAATAACAACCTAAGAAAGGGGCATCAATTTCTGGATTTCCATATCTCGTGGAAAAATTCCAAACTAAGACGAAACAGCAGCTCTTTAACGATTATTTGTTTTCAATAGTCACTAGTTGATATCGAAAATGGATTTAAGTTATTTTTCAAATTGAAACGTTGTCTCTATCTACCTATCTACAAGTCACCTAACCAAGAATCATTTTATTTGAAAAGTTTGTATATCTATATAATTTACCAACCAATATAGACAGACTCTTGATATTAGACTAAGAGGTGAAAAATGATGAACTATTTGAACTATCTGTTGAATTACTATTAATAAAATAAATGTTCTGTCGTTTGATAGGCTGATAAAAAGAATATCAACAGCTAATGAATCGTACATAGGTTATCACTGAGTACACTGACATGTTCATTTGGAAATTCAATTTTTAAGTTACAGAAATGAGAGGACATTCAACATATAATCAAACAAAGTGTTAACAAATCAAATTTCACAATTATTTGTTATAGGGGACTTAAAACGAAAACATTTGACATACTTCAGTTTTCTTGTATGGAAATAATGATTGTAAGCAAAACATTCAATTCAATAGACAGTACACATATCTAGGACATTATGATGCAACAATTAGCATCAAGGAATCAAATGATGATGAAATGAAATGACCAACTACTTTTTTTAACAATTACAGAATGTTCACAAAGTTCCAATCCTACAAGGAAGTGTAACTACTTTATTGAATATACATTTATTAGTAAGACGATTAACTGTATCTATTGTGTGAGCATATTTTCACGTATTAATGATACTAACTAACAGATAAACCCACATTTAATGGAGTGTGGTCCAAAACTTTCGAATGGCTGACAAATAAATATCACAAGAACACCCTGATTGGCTGAAAATGATAGAAAAATACTCACCTCATAGCTGGAACAAAACTCTTGTCAGTGAAATCAAACTGATCAACATATGCGTACATAACACGAAGGTTGTACGGATCATTTTCACCAAGGAAATCGCCAACATGTGATTTCGACAAACGATCTTCAACTAAGAGAAACTGTGCCACTGACTCAACAGATTCTCCAATCAATTCATTTTCTTGCAGTAATCTCAAACAACGAAGAGGTTGATTTTGATTGAACAGTGCTAAACCAGATTCATAAATTTCTTTCTGTGCTTTACGACATTCAAATGCCTCAGGGTCATCGTAAGGTTTAACAGATCCTGATTTCAATATAGACATATACGTAATAATTAGTGATAACAGTTACATACAAATTGAAATAAATCTATTAAAATTATCTTTAGCAGTAAAAAATAAAGAAAAGATCATGAAAAATCACATAACACTAAGAGGTTGGATAGAAGTTAGGTTCTTTTAATCTATTTATCACTCAACTATCCACAGTGAATTAATAAATGATCGTTACCTTGAGGTCCTGCGGACAATTAGTTGAGTAGCACACAAGATATAAGGTAATAGCATTGAATAAGTGCTGTTTACAAATACTCACCTGGTAAAGTCATGTTATGATTAGCATCGATACTGGAATTCACTGTTGTACCAGTATTACCGCCGTTATTAACCAACATTGGTTCAGAACACAAAAACGACTGGGATTCTGGATTAGCATAAAGTTCTTGTGACCATTCAGTCATACAACGTAAAATCAGCACCAAACACTCTAAACCATTAGATCGTAGTATTTGTTGCTGTTGTTGTTGTTGACTTGATAACGATGAATTATTACCATGTTCAGCGACCGAACAACGTCCTTGAGCAATTTTAGCTAAATCTGTTGTCAATCGTTCGAATATGTTCGCCATACTTATATCACAATCATAATTTAGATAAATATCAACTAAACATTGTGCATCACTACATATGTGTTTTATTGCATCAATAACAATTAATTTATGCCCATATGATGACTTGGGTGACTCCAAAATGAGCAAAAGGACATCTTTAAAGAATACTTCAATTTGTCGCTTCAAATGTGGTTTGAAATATGTCAATAAGGCAAGAAAAATAGCAACAGATAACTCGAATATCTCCACAATTGGTGAAGTACCATTTTTAAATAAAGCTACGCACAAATATTGCTTAATAGCGGCTATAAATATTTCGCTTGTTGAAAATAACGGACCAGGTTGTTGTAACAAGTTGAGTAATAATTGCAACGATAAAGATTTTGAGCGAACGGCGTGTGATTTGGGATCATTTGAGTCGGAACCTGTGAAATCTTTCACTGCCAAACGACATAAACTACGAAAAACAAGAAATGCATCTTTTTGTGTAACATGCGCTGAAGTGACAACTTCAGAATTATTATCCACGACCAGTGCAGAATTCGGATCTTTTAAATCTGACTCATGTATGTTATTGGTAGCTGGAGTAGTGACAGGAACGATACTGGGAGTAACATCACAACTTGGCCATTCTTGATTAGGGTTGGTATTTACTGAAATTGAAAGGGATGAAGAACGAGATGAATTTATGGATGATTTACGCATATCAGGTAGCGATTCAGAATTCGGTATACAAAGTGATGATGACAGAGAATTACTATCTTCTTCGTCATCTACTGCGACTTTTTGGATTATTTCATTTAGAATCTCTTCAACTATTTTATCAACTTTTGATTCAAGACCTTTGTCTTCTTTTGTAGGTATATTAGAATCATCAGCGTCAGGAGAGTCACAATCGTTGATATGGACATCACCATTCAGTAATTTTTCACCAGTATTATTTTCAGCCTTTAAAAGAACAAAGGGAAACATATACTAATACGTTTGAAATCGTTCATATTTTAAGTTTAATATGATGTTTTCTTATTATTTAATAAACCAAACCTAAGAACTTCCAAGATAGTTTAAGACTAGAAATTGAATGCCATTTTAGAAATATTGTTAGTCAAATGGATGGCCATTTGTTAAAGTTCAAAAGGTTACTTTTAATGGAAAAACCACATCCAGTAGTAAGCATCGTGGACATGACCTAAAACCCATATGGGCGAGACGTTAAGAAAAACATTTTAGATACAATGAACTGGTGCATTACTCGAATTGTTGTTAAATAGAGGTGCAAATAATATGAATAGAGGTACATTGTTTCTATCTCCCCCAATTTTTCACACAAGCTGAACAAATTGTCGGTTGTGAAAGATCATTTTTAATGATTTCGTCGACAGTATCCAGAACTTTTATGCTCCATGAATTTACTAACTACAATAAAATAAACTAATCTTTCGGGGAAATAGTATTTGTCTCACTGTAACTTTACACGAATCGCACGAGTCTGTAATTTTGATAATTAGTTAACTTTTGCAGCGGTGTAAGCGCAACCAATTCCTATTTTCCTTCATATCTTAAACTAAGTATCATGCTTAACTTTTCATGCTCCGTCCTTATTTTCTTCTTAATGAACTACAATTTTTAATTGGTAGCTATTGAGAGTGATGCTTTACGCCTGCTTTTACCAGTTAGATTGAATTACTTAATTTATAAACTTCAGTCGACACTAACGGATAGAGTACATTGACAGTTATCCCTTAACCACCAACTAGGAATAGTGAAGACTCATAACAATGATGTATGTTTCAACGAAAATCAGCAGGTACAGTAGAAACAAAGCTGTCACATCTAAACAAAATATTTTTTTGTAAATTCGATCAAGAAGTAACCTACTTTATGTGAACCCGATTCATTTTCAAATAATACTTGTGTTGAATTCTCAGGTGATTGCTCAGCTTTATGACATGCATCTATTGTAGCTGAATTAGAAGTAGGAGAAATATGTGCATTCATTGCAACTGCTGCTTCAAATGCATTTTGCTCCATCCGTTGGAATAATACACTGATAATCTGTGTAAGAGTTGCACGTGCTGTTGCTTGATTAATTGGGTTTTTTGTAGCCATAAAAATGTTATAACAAGTTCTTACAACAAGAAGGATATCGGCTTCGTGAATTTCAACGACTGGGCTTGTTATCACAGTTAAGAGTGCCTTTAAAATTTGTAATTGAATGCCATCATCAGTTTGCACACCCTGTATGGGAGAAAATTCGACAGAATACTTGAGTAGATTTGCTCCAAAAGATGGTTGTGATTGGAAAAACAATATGAAAATACAAGATTTTTTATCAAATGTCGCAGAGTCAAGTTACAGTGATCATGAATGTTTCGAAAATGCTAATTATTTCCCAGATCAAAACAGGCTAAATGGCTTAAAACAAGTAATCTGATATTTGACTAGAAATATAGGAGATCTCCGCGGACTGAATCAAGTTTGTTGATACAGAGAGTCCATTTCGAGAAGTTGGGAGACCTCAAACTGACGATGCAGATGGGATCCGGAGTTATGAGGTAACGAATAATTAGGAGTTTGTTCTTTCTCTAGGATGGAGAACAATTTCATTGCAGAAGAAATTGGGTGGGAAACGATTACTTTATAATCTAAACCTACATCCCGATGGCTTGAAACCCAGGAGCATTATCAGCCAAATGGTTTCAGAGTAGCAGGTCGGGCATCTATGTGCAAAGGAGTCATTTGGGTGACCACTAGGAACCCGGTTATCCTAGATTAGATAACGGTCACCACTTTTCGCAGCTTTATCCAGACAACCTATTTCTGGACAGCACACACACACACAATCGTCGCTAATGCAGCACCCGACATCTTTTCTATAAATCAAGCCTTGACTTGTGTATTACTGTTATTTACCATTTAAACACAATTACTGGTACAAAGGGGAACCTACATATTCATGTCACAAATCAATGAACTTTGTGTGGGCTGGGATACTACCTAGGTCCCCAAACCGGAGCAGGTGGTTTTCTCGGGAAACCATTCCTCGAACTTTTGACAGTGGGGCAACGTCCGATGTAGTCTTACGGTATCCAGCGTTCTATTACGATCCTGCAGCCCATGTGCATCAGTGATTTGGAATGGGAGTCTTTTAACTTCCGTAAGTAGATCCTCCGTACCAACCAACCGGGTTTATGCCGCGGCCGGACATTCTTTTATCGTCTTCTCCCACGAGAAGGAAGTGAGTAGGACTCCTCTCAAAGTGGCTACGTACATGTGCCCATTCGAGAGCATTTTGAAGGGGTGTGGATTATTCCTACTCTCAGTCATACCAGCGCTTTGTGATAGCTGTTCATGCAGTGGATCTGTGCTGGAGTGCCGCTGTTTTGGATGCACTGATCTACGTTCTGACTATACCCTGGCACGCCCCAAATGTACCTATTGTTTTGGTGGACTTCAAACTTGTCTTAAACAGACTGATACGAACAAACTGCCCACGCCTTGAGTTGCTGCCAAATATGAAAACTGATTTCTATGACTTAGGTATGTTTTACGAATGGCATTTCGGAGATTTCCACGTTGTGCATAGCTTGCCAACACAGATTAAATGTATGATTCTTTTATATTTCATAACTTCATAACATTATGAACCTATTCATTTTACGCATTTTATGATAGTCCGCTGTAGGAAAAACTTTACTTGGCATGAAAATGAAATATTTGTGGAAAAAATACATGTACAGTTACTTTTTGATGTAGGAAAGCTGGAACACAGACGGTATATATTTATCCACTAATCTAATGTCCTATAAAATATACATGTTTCACATAGAATATTATTGATAGGGAACAAGTTATTGGTTACTAAATAACTGAGATTATACTTGTATAATTAAGGTTCAGAAATACTGTATTGATGATACAAATTATGAATCTTAGAGCTCACTTGAAAACATGAACATATTGTAGTTACAACCTGTTCGATTATGCGAACTTTTCCAGAAGAGCAAACCGCTGTGTTCGGGATATGACCATAAGCAATTAACTTCTGCAATGAATCGACTGCGGTACTGACAATTTTTGGTGACTTCATTGTGCAAGCCAGTTGGAATGGACGAAGAAGTTTTTCATCACTCAACAATATACCACAATCTGACTTTAGAGGTGGCAAGTGTGTGCTAGATTCGTCTGTTGACGAAAGTGCATTGTTAGATGAAACTTGTGGTTGCTCTTTTAACAGGACGAGAGCCTCCTCACATGCCTTTTTGACACCTGAATTGTGAGACTTACGGGTTTCACGTTCGTTAGCGATTTTTTCAATAGACCTGGTTAGGAACATATTAAAGGCTTGAGATGATATTGAAAACTGAGGTTGTGGTAAATTTGTTGTGTTGTCAGCTTCAGAAGTAGGAGAACTTGGGATATGGCGTTTTAAAGAGTTGTGCAATGGCAGTTCTTGTTCATTTGAATTTTTGGATGAAATCGCCAGCATCTCATTTACCTCTCATCCGAAACTGGACATTTAGTTCAAATGGTCAGACATTAGACACGAAGGCGCAATTATGACATTTCTGAAAAATCGAAGTTACAGTTTTTAGAAATAGTTCGATAGCGAATGACAAAGAAACCAACCAAATAGCCAAAACATTTAGAAAACCTTTTTACCTCAAAATGAGCAACCATAACGTATTTATCTCTCAAATTACCAGGAGTCACTAAAATTAGGTAGAGCAGTTTTGCGGTAAAAAGGTAAGACAATCAGATGTAATGTGGACATAGACTAGTAGATGGGTGAGCAGATCCAAGAACTTGATTTTCTACAAACAGGCTTTAAGCTTGAACTTCACTCTAACCACTTCAGTTTCGGAAACTGTGGATTTTAACTAACCTCCACTCGATATTCTCCAAATTTTAGCCCTTAAAGCGAGGATGAATTACATGGGTGCTAGCTAAAAAACAACCTAAAAAACAACTGAACTAAAGATAAGCTTTTTGTTACCTTACGGCCATGTAATACTCTGTGGATATTTCACCGCGCATACCTTAGGAATAGGGTTTAGGATTCGGGAAACCGAAGAGGGAACAACTAATTAAAACATGCAGTAAGGCTGTCAGCCTAAATATTTACAAAAAATGATGACAGGCAGACCAAGCATATCAATTCGAAGTTAGACTGAATATCCTGTAAGCTGATAAAGCTGCTGAATTTCTAGAGCTCAAGTTAACTTGCTATGACAAGAAGACCGAATTCAGTTAGCAAGCATATGTTTCTCTTCAGATAACAATGAGGAAATTTAGAACACAGAAATAAACATGGCAAACACCAGCTTCGAAAGTGAAATCCAGCTGATGAGTATTCCAAGGTGTCAGTAGTCACTGGCTTCTGAAGACCAGACTAAACAAAAGATATTTTATTTGCTAGATTAGATGTTCTGGGTTATTATATTCGAATATAAATGCACAATGTACTTCATATGCGCTAATTCACAAGTGAACAAAAGTTGTGTTGATTCGTAGCGACCCAATCATACTATAAACTACTAGTGAACAGCTTCCCTGCTAAAGTTGAATCTAGCTAGTTAGTATTAGATGAATCGCAGATCATGCATCTACAGTTAAGACCTATCTTCGAGGGGGAGGTTGATTACAGAATATTACCTACGCGTACTTATCCAGGGTGGCAGTCATTGACATTAATATCTTGGCATCAGCTTGTAATTATCCAAACGCATTAAAGGTCCATAAATTCAAATAATACGTGGGCTGATTCGCGCTAATATTTACAGCAAGCATCTCTGTAACTACCCAACATTTTACTTAATGGGATTGCTGAAGCCTTTTGTGCTGGTCTAGATTTTTAATTCCATTCGAGATGTGCCTCTTCAGTTTGGTTCAAGTGGTACAGTGAATTAAGTTGTAACTTCCCAATGGATTTAGTTTTTATATGAAAAGTCACGTTATACGGTAAGCTAAAACTAAGTTTCGAAATTCTGTACGCTTCATAGATTTATGATGTTTATAACAAATCCTGAGATAATATGAAAAACAACTACGGCTTCATTCTGCGCCTAGATTTATCTTTATGGCGTTATCATATAGTAAACCGAAGGAATACAACCACAACCTACGAATCACACCGACGTCAAGCAACGTTTATAAATTCCGCTATTTACACTCAATACCCAATGAAGAACTTTAAGTTAACAGCCTCTTGATAATGTGGGGGAACGTGTGTTTACAAGTGGTTATCTATGAACAGAGTATTTTCCTAGTGATAGATTCCAAAACTGCTTGTTACAAAAACGTAATTTTGAGAACTTACCGGTATATATCCAATATCCAATATCTTTTTCACGAGCTAATGTAAACCAATTTGATTTCTTCTCGCTCGATTCTTGTTCTTTCGGTACGGTTCCAGGTGTTCGGTAATGTCCAATGGATGGAGGTCAAGCCACTCGACTATCTAATTCTAGTCAGTTGGCAGTTGGTTATGAGTTTGCATATCGCGGGATTTGAATGAAACATTTGTTTCAGGGCAGTAGGGTTTCTGGATACTAGCAGCCGTCACATTGCCAAACCGGAGATCAGTCTCTTCTTAAAGCAGTCCACTGAGAGGGCTGTAACTACCTCGGCTGGGAGAGCATTCCAAGTTGCGACGACTCGCAATGAGAAAAAGTGTGCACGAATCTGAGTATTCGCTCTTTGATGTGCAATCTTTCGAGGATTGCCTCGAGGGGAAAGGTGGTGATACATCGGTAAGATGCTCACATTGGGATGGTTTGGCGTGTTTAATATGGTGTATGCCATAATCAGATCACCTCTGATTCTCCTGTAGCTCAGTGGAAATAATCCCAAGAGCTATAGTCTATCGTCGTAGGGTTTATTTTTCAACCCTATCAGGCATTTCGTTGCTCGTCTCTGCACTCGATCCAAGAGATTTATGTCTCTTTTAGGCAGAGGGTGTGCGATGACGTTGTGAACCTCCAAGTGTGGGCGCGCGTACGTCTTCAAGAGGGTTGAAAATAATTTCGGGGTTATAGAACCAAGCTGTCTTCGCATAAAGTGAAGAGTTGCATTTGCCTTGGCTGCATCCCCTACATAGTTTGGATTGGTGTGAGGGCTTTCTGTGGTTATTAGACCAAGATCGCGCTCTGAAGAGACATTAGGGAGCGGACTTACATTGAGGGTATAGGTCATTTGCGTCATATGAGGCAGGAAATGCATGACGTTGCACTTCAGTTGGTTGAGTTTTGCACCGTTTTTCACTGCCCATTTCTCAATAGATGTAAGGTCCTTTTGAAGCTCAGTCGAATCCTCTTCGCTTCTAATGGACCTCCAGATCTTCGCATCGTCTGCGTAAATCAATGCCAGTGAACTTACTGAGCCTAGCAGGTCGTTAATAAATATCAGGTAGAGAAGTGGGCCTAGGATGGTCCCCTGTGAAACTCCCGATGTGGATACTCGCCAACTCGCGTGCACTCTGTTTACCTTAGTGCGAAACTTTCCATTCTCAAGGTAGTTTCTGAGCCAAGATAGGAGTGGGTCAGTGAAGCCCATTTTCACAACCTTTTCGATTAGGCACTGTGTCAAAGGCCTTTGCAAAGTCGAGGAATATTACGCGTACCGGTATTTTACGGTCTAAACAGGATGTCCAACTGTCCCATGCGATGAGGAGATTAGATGCACACGACCTGCCTTTCCGAAACCCGTGTTGAGCATCATGGAGTATTTTATCCTTTCCATGTACTCCCTCATTTGTTTGTCCACTAGCCCTTCCATAACTTTTGACAATATTGGTAGTAGTGCGACTGGTCTGTAACAGGCTGTGTCCTTTCTATCTCCTCCTTTGAAGATTGGAGAGAGAGTAGCTTGTTTCCATTCAGCTGGGAATTGGTGTGACTCCAGTGAATGCCTGAACAGGTCGCATAACGGTGAACAGAGGACTTCAGCACTTGTTGCAAGACTATAAGGCGGATTTTGTCACAACCTGGTGACTTACCTGGGCGTAAGGATTATAGTTTCCTTAATACCAGGTCAGGAGTGATACGGATGTTCCCTAAGCCGTCAGGTGGCATTGGGTTGGCGTAATACTCTGAATATGTAGGCGACTGACTTAATTGATCAGCGAAAGTGGTGTTGAAGATCTCGGCCATCTCTAGGTTGGTGAGGTCTTCCCCATTTGGTCCTTTTAGAGAACACAACCCCTGATTAGTAGGCTTTCTTTTCGACATGAACCTAAACAGATTTTTCGGGCTTGCCTCTATTTTGGCGGCTGTGCCATGGTCACTACTTCCTAAAGCTGCGCGGACGTGAACATCCTCAACCAGGAGCTGGCCATTAGTTAACAGACAATCCAGGTTTGAGGACTTCCCTTCCTTAGTCCTCCTAGTGGCACTGCATACGTGCTCAGTCAGCCCAGAGCTTCTAATGGCTGTACCAAGTTGTCTTTGGAACCAACCAGTCGGAGTTACACTCTGATTGCAGAGATTTAAGGATGGGGTATTGAAATCTCCAGCTAAGAGTGGCAGTCGCAGTATTACCTCAGTCAGTTTGCTTTTCTGGGCCTTAGTCCTCGAAGGAGGTCGGTAGATCCCTCTGATCAAGTATTTCGTGCTATTCGAGTCGAAACAAAGCCAACATGATTCTGTCACCTCAGTTAGTTGGGTGTCGTATAGTCGCTCTGCTTTTAAGTTGCTGTTCATATATATAGCCACTCCACCTACAGTTTGGTGTACCCTATCGCTTCGGAAGAGTGTCATGCCTGATGGGCTCACTTCTGCCTCTGCAATGTCAGGGGATAGCCATGTTTCAGTTAAGATTATGATCTTCAGATCCATCTGAGAGCACATATTCCTGATTTCTAACAGCTTACCCCTTACGTTGCTACAGAGGCACTTGGTGGTTTGTCTCAGCACCTGGCGCACATTTGCAGCATCAGCCGTTGTCAGATTTTCAGACCAGTTATTCAAACCGAATCGGCCAGTTCTGTGGGAACTGGCCTCTGCAGGTTTTTTGCTTGCGCGGTTGGTTCAATCATATCTTGTGCCAGAGGTAGTGGAACGAGTTTAACTATCAGTTTTGTGCGTTCATTTTGGCCTCCCTGCTGTTGTCTAACAGATTTAGGTCGGCTCTCGCAACAACTGATATGGCTAGGCAGATCGTTCCTCCAACTGTACCAAGCTTGTACTGTTTCGGTCAGGTCTTCCCGGTTCTTAAATGTTACAGCCATCAGGTGTGGTGACTTGATAGACGTAAAGTGTGACGGGCGGGGCAACCTAGTCTCAGATCCTAAATTTAAATAGAGTTAACTAGACAGTAGCGCTTCTTAAATGTTTTAGGTTTCAAAGAAACGAGGAGGTACTATTAATCCTTATTACCCTGACCCAGCAACTAATACTTGGTTTCCGCGTCTGACTGCTAGACGTGACACCAATCTTCAAGGTTTGACAACGCTATGTCCGTATTATATGACGTCCCATGATGAAAGCTGAGTTCCCACGAAAGTCACCAGCAACAGTGCCCATTATGACAGCCAGACCAACCATTACGTTTAGTAGATAGAATGTTCTACAACATGGGAGACTGGAAGATTGCTTCAGGCTGCTGCAGAGATAAAGACTTAGAAACTAAAGGCGAATGGAAAAATTAAAAATAAGAGCGAGCTCGCTCGAAAACTCAGAATAACTTCTGGAAAGCTGCTGCGCTAAACTGGTCATGAAGAAGGAAATGCCTCACAAACCACGAGTTGCACTGATGCTGTCCAAACAAGCACTGAAAGCACTGATAGGATGGGAATCTCATGGACCCAGGATCATCAAAGCATTCTTCAAAACAAACAAAGGGAGCATTACAATGAACGTCATCCAATCCTATGCGCCTACCAACGATTACAATGAAGACGTTAAATATCAGTTCTACGAGGAGATGAAGTCAATCATCGAGAGATGCTCATCAAAGGATTTAACCGTTTTAATCGGAGACCTCAATGCCAAGGTTGGCATGGACAGCACTGGATATGAAGACATTATGGGACGGCATGGATTGGGAGGAATGAACGAAAACGGTGAGAGATTTACAAACCTATGTGCCTTCAACAAACTGGTCATCGGCGGCAAAATATTCCCACACAAACGCATACACAAAGCTACATGGATTTCACCGGATCGCACCACCCAGAACCAAATCGACCATATCTGCATCAATAAATAGTTCAGAAGGACCATGGAAGACGTGAAAACTAAGAGAGGAGCTGATATAGCCTCAGACCACCACTTGCTGGTCGCCAAAATAATACTAAAACTCAAGAAGCACTGGACAGTGGGGCGGACAACATCACAAAGTATAAAACGGCCTTTCTTCGGGATACTGGAAAGCCCTCAGCAATGGGTTCCAGACCTTTCACGATCTACTCGATCGAAAGGAAACTACCATCAAGACAATTGGAAAGGGATCAAAGAGGCAACACTTCACTTCAACATTTCAGGAGGTTCTGGGTCACAAGAACCACCATCACAAGGAATGGATCTCAGTGGATACTCTTGATAAAACTCAAGACAGCAATCAACATCAGCCGAACAAGAGATGAGAGAGTCAAGGCACATGCTGAATACACAGAAGCAAACAAGCAAGTGAAGAGGAGCATCAGAACCGACAAACGTACATGTGTGGAAGATCTAGCAATGACGGAGGAAAAGGTTGCAAGAGAAGGAGACATGAGACAATCGTACGATACAACAAAAAAGCTCTCTGGAAACCATCGTCGACCAGAACGACCAATGAAAAGCAAGGAAGGCAAAGTAATCAGCAACATTGAAGAACAGCGAAACTGGTGGGTAGAACACTCTAAAGAACTCTTGATTCGACCAGCTCCACTCAACCCACCCAACATCGAAGCAACATCCATGGACCTCCCAATCGATGTTGGCCCAGCAACAATCAAGGAGATCGGTATGGCCATCATACAAATCAAGAGGGGCAAAGCAGCGGGACCTGACAACATTCCAGCAGAGGCAATGAAAGCAGACGTGACTACAACTGCAAAAATACTTCACATTATCTTCAACAAGATTTGGGATGAAGAACCAGTATCAACACTGTGAGAAATACGGAGGCATCACTCTCCTCTCAATACCAGGAAAAGTCTTCAACAGGGTGTTGTTGAACAGAATGACTGATTTCGTAGATGCCCAACGTCGAGATTAACAGGTTGGATTTCGTAAGGATCCATCGTGTACCGACCAAATCGCAACATTACGGATCATTTTGGAACAATCGATTGGATGTAACTCACTACTCTACATCAACTTTATTGACTACGAGAAAGTATTTGATAGCGTGGACAGAACAACACTACGGTGTGCCTGAGAAGATACCCAACATCATACAGAATTCTCGTGATGGATTAAACTGTAAAATCGTGCACGGAGGACAACTGACAGACTCGTTCGAGGTGAAGACCGGTGTCAGGCATGGTTGCTTACTCTGACCCTTTCTTTTTCTCCTGGTGATCGACTGGATTCTGGAGAAAAGCACAGTATACAGTGGACGGCCAGGATGCAGCTAGATGATCTGGGAAAGAACAAACCAGATTCCACTGGAGGAAGAAGTCAGGAAGAGACGCTGAAAGTGGACAGGACACATTGTGAAAAGCACCCAACCGCGTCACAAGACAAGCCCCTAAGTGGAATCCTCAAGGCCAAAGGAAAAGAGGGAGCCAAAGGAGCACATTATGCCGAGAAATGGAGACAGACATATGACTAATGAACAACAATTGTACAGAAATAGATAGGAAGGCCTAGGACATCGAAGGTTGGAGAATACTGGTCAGCGGTATATGCTCCGTTGGGGGGTTAGAGTCTTAAGAATGTAAGTTGTTAATTAATCAGTATTAATTCTTATGTTATCTTCTTTGTATAAGCTTTCGATTTAAACGGTGTTCTTCCTTTTGGTCCAATATCTGGGGTTTATGATTCTGGTTTACAACGTATCGTACCATGAAATCGGTGCCTGATTACAAGAAGCCTCAATTTACCCGGTATAAATGGGAAGAACTTGTCCTTGCTTGGATTCAATATCAGGCTTCTTTCAACAGCATGTGATTATGATTCGTTTTAGCAAAAACTCAAACCCACAACTGTTGGTTCAAGCTAGGAATCTTCCTGGTTGAACTTAGTACACACACATTGGGCTGAGTATAAATTCCGCCTAAATGTTCGACCGTCGCCTGCTAATTGCAATTATCTAGTTTTCCGCAACCGGGTATAGTGCCGGTGACATAGTTTTCAATAAATTTCAACCTAATCAAATTTTTGTGGTGACCAAATACTCAACCTGTTAATAGGTTTTATTTACTGCTTAGAAGTGTGGTAAATTTTTAGAGGTGGATTTGGCTATCTACTGTTCCTACGTCAACCTTTCAATCAATCTTATTGATGAAATAATTGTTCAAGAAACTTCTTAGATCAATGAAACGTTTGAAGCTACCCATATATACCTGGCCATACGACTGATAACGCATGTAAAGCATTGATGTTTAAGTCTAGGTCTTTCATTAAAGAGCGATTCGTTCATGATCCAAACAAGGCTGGCAACAGAAGTAAATAGAGAAGTGGTGGAACTCCACCGATACTGTTTCAAAGAGATTAGGCAGAAGTGGCAAGTGACGATGACAGTCTGAGGTCCAGGTACAGCCTTTCTACAGTGATTTCAATGGAAGATGGTGATATGATAATCGTGAATTCAAATGAAGGTGCGTTTTGATGTATTCTCTGCCAACCGTCTGACAACTGCTGCAACATTTCAAACTATACAACACCACCGATAAGAACGACCTTCGTTTTCATTATATGGGCCTGATAAACCACTTAAATAATATGCCAGATACTTACTCCCATAGGAAGCTGAGTCTACGGGGGGTGAATCAATCAACAATATTTGAGTTGAACGCCTGTCACTTTAAACTCATTAATTTTCAGTCTTGTTACTAGTCTGACCCTTTATAGTTAACTACCAACCATGAAGCTACATAGCTATATAAACATGACCAACCCATTGTCAATGATCCATTTCGTTGTGTCTAAGCTACTGTTTGGTATACGTGTGTCATTTTTTTCGTTTTAATTTAACACTGTTCTCAGGTTCGTACCGATCTTACATTTCAGAAATAGATTACAACTGTTCGCTGTCTGGGTATCCCTGATAAAAGTCTATACGACATTATAGCATAGATGTTCGAGTTGCAGGAATATGAACGTGTTTATATGCGAATTGAATTCTTGTCTCGCACGTAATCTCAGATCTTTCATGGGAAGAAAGAAGATGGGATAGGCCAGATGAAACCGGTGTATTTGCTGGCGATTTCAAGGTATTGAAGAATGATGACGATTAGAAAAAAAACGGGTATAACAATGACGTAGAGTGATGTCGATCTAAATGCACGAAAAACAAAAGTCATTGTTTGTAAACATAATCATGTATTAACAGTTGTTCGATAATAGGCTCACTGGTTAAAACTGATGATAATAATGAATATTCCAATCTTGTTTTGAGTAAAAATAAAATCACTACAATAGGAACAGGTTTAGTTTCACTAATTGATTCTAGTGCAAAGAAATATGAAGATACTCCGGCAAATATAATGTTTGCGGATCCCGTAAAAAAAACTTAATTCGATATTTCAAATGAAACTGGAAAGTCTTTGAACTTTTTGCAGACTGGACAGTCCATTATCTCCACATAACGTTTCAAAGAACGTCGTCTTGAGCCACTTTCGAGCAAGAATAAGGGAGTTCAAATAATTTAATATGTTGAATAATATCATCATACAAAAAATGAAATGCCTTTACCTATAGTTAATAACAATATAGATTTATGAGTTTCAGTAAGGAATGAATTCAGAATCACTATTCGGTGTATGACAGTCAATGTCAGAGATTTCAAGATTCAAAGAACCATTGGTTAGGCATTTCAGAATTTTGGTTAGGCTGTGTTGAAAACGCTAAACTCGGAGTTCGCGGCGGCACACATAATGTAGGATTCAAGCAAAGAGATCTCATCTAAAATATGAGTCGGATTTGCTGAGGCGAGTCCAACGATTAAGGTAAAAAAAATTTGGAGAAACTTTAAGAACTGTCGTATGAAGTTGAGCTGGGACACCATAACATATTTCCCCTCTAACCATTGGCTGGAAAGCAATCTAAAGTCAATTTACTGTTCAGTGAGAGGCGACTTAGATATCAATATATCTTGTTTAATCTGGGACCCATTACATATATTAACAGTTTCTAAAATAATCAAAAACCAACATCAAAACAAATAGTCATGGATTTTCTATGGAGTGGTGGAATGATAGATTCATGTGCAGGGACATGTGGTATTAAGAAGATATAATATGATAAAGTTAGTATTGGCTATTAATATTATTACAAGTTGAGACAGCCGATATAGGTTACTTGACCTGTCCCTACCATTGACGAAAGGAGGATGAATAAGTTCTCCTACCCCATTTGATTCTGGAATAAAAGATGACCCCATATTAGCTCCTATTACCTTCAATAGCAAATTAGACGCTAACGCACTGGATATTTTAACTTCCTGGAGGATCAGTTACCTCCACCGCGACTGGGTCGGAAAACTACAATCGTAAAAAACTTGGTTGGAATTCCGTTTTTACTACTTCATGGTCTATTACTGAAGGTCTTTACCCAAATAAGTGGTGAAAGTTTCATATGTGAATGCTTTTGAGAATTCTTGTAAGGATTATTACAGAAGAAAGGCTCACCACCCTTTTGCCTGAAGGCCAATGTTGAAGATCGAAAGTTAGCGGTATTTCAACAATTTCCGCGCCAAATGGGTGATTTGGGATGTGGGATTTACTTCCGTCGGGTTCTTTGCTTTCAGGAACCAGGAGATATTTCAGTGTGCAGTCAAGTTATATGTTAAATGAGTTCTGCGTACTCGTTGATGAATTTGACCGTGTTCTTGGGTATGCTAACAAAAAAGTAAGCACTTGTGTGTTAACTCACTTCATGTTGCGCTAGAAGTGTCATGAAGTACTGGCCGGAAAATCATTGCTTCATCGGGCCTTTAGCCTGTTCCTTTTCCGAATGGATACCAGTAATGAAAAGAATGGCAGCAGCCTTAGGTTATTAGTTCAAAAACGTTCGGCTAATAAACTTACGTTTCCATCTCTGTGGTCAAATACTTGTTGCAGTCATCCTATCATGAATTTTCCTGATGAACTCATCGAGTCGAACGCAATCGGGGTGAAAAAGGCAGCACAAAGAAAGGTAACATTCGCTTGACTTTTTTTAAATAAATAGTTACTGCATGAGCTAGGTATCGAAAGTATTTTTGTACCGTTAAATCGAATACACTACTTGTGTCGAGTATTATATGCAGCTCCGAACGAACCAAATGCACAAAAGTTTGCAGAGCATGAACTGGATTACATTCTTGTCAGCGTGCTAGACCCAATCACTAGTAAGTTTTTGTTATACTCGTGATTCCCATGTGCATTGTTTTGATACCATAGTGTGAGCTAGGTTATGATATATTGATAAAGTCTTTATCTTTCGTACTGTGCATGTCTCACTTGCGGCCGAATCCAAATTAATCGTGTAAAAACAGCCAACCGAGCTTGTTTTTTAGTAGCTTAGTTACTGAGATCGGGTAAAAGTATAATGTACTGGTGACCTTGAACAACCTGTCTGCCAGTCAGAAAATGCTACCTAACTGTTGGGTTATTCCTTGTAATAAAATAACAAGCTCAATTTCTCATCAATCTTCAGGAATAAGGATAGGTCGATCAACCTACGTTAATCCGTACAACTTTTAAGACTCGATCTTTCTTTGAATGTATCAGCAGAATGTTTTGGTACTGCATGTTCTGGATGAGAATTTCAGTAATTCACTACTCAATGCAAGAAGCAGAACTCCAGACGTGAACTATTTGATCTAGATTTATCGAATGTCCATACAGATGATCACTCGTAAAGAAAGATAATACTCAAATCATCTTTCAGTATACAGTAAGCCGGTGTTAAGTCATCTAACTTACTGTAGGAACGGAAGTAGATTGAAGCATTTCAGTTTGTCAGCGTAAGCTAGGTCTGCGAGATCACTAACCATTGTCATCTCTCGCCGTTGACCACGTTCTAACATATCTGTTGCGTACTTTAAACAAGGATTCGCTGCTTAAACCTCATATTCGAAATATTTCCTCACAAACGTCGGATATAGTACCTTAAACAATTCTTCATTCAAGTAATAGAATACCTTACGACCAACCCATATGACCCCGTAGCATTTAGCACTGGCATTCTTGCGAAAGTTCGACATAAGCTCTCAGAATTTATTATTACTTCTAGTGATGGCCGTCAGGGCAGTCCCCTCTCTTCATTCTTGTTTAACTTTGTCGTAGACATGCTTTTGGAGTTAACATTATCTTCGTCTGACTTCAGAAGTGGACCTTCTACTAGGAAAATCGGTTGCTGACTTAGAGTATGCCGGTGACATAGTTCTATTTGGTGAAGACTCTGAAAAAATTCAGTCTTCTGACTAACCTAAGCAACAATGCAAGCATGTTCGGGATGAAGTACTCATCCTCGAAATGCAAAATGTTGCTGCAATATTGGCTTGCGTCGGCACCTGAACTAGTGATAGGAACTGGATAAGTTGAGCATGTTGACCGCTTCACTTATCTTGGGAGTCTTATCAGTGCTGATGACCTGGTGACTGACGAAATCTCAGCACGGATACAGAAGGCTCAACTGGCTTTTGCTAACCTTCGTCACTAATGGCGTAGGCGAGATATCCACCGGTAAATCCATTCAGCCAGTGACTTTATGTCTTCCTGTAATATTATCTTACCCGAATTACACCATATGGGTCTCTGAATCTTTATGTCATCAACAATAAGCCCTAATCCTATTAATAGTGTCTAAATAATGGCTCTTCACAAAATCAATGTTTTTTCGGTATAGCTTTTGCTACAAATACCATCACAGAATCAGTCGGTTAGTGATGTCAGATATCACCTTGTAGTCAAAAGATACATCTATAATCGTGCGTCGATAAGTATCCTTTTGATTCAGATCTGGACAAGGGACAAACATTCCGTCAGCACATCCTTTCCTAGATCCTAAACCAGTTTGGTTTCCCTGAGTTTGCGCTGAGTCAAGTACAGAATGATTATCGAGTCTAGTTTTTTAGTCTTTATATTAGTCGAACTGATTTCTCATTGGTTATCATAGGTCTTAGTTACATTGCACTACCTTATTTTGCCTTTTACCTAAAGAAATAAAATTCAGACTCATTTAGTTTTTTACTTCCGGATAAAACAATCTATTACTCAATTATGTACAAAAAATTACGTAACTACGCTGTTTACTGGGCTTTCTCAACACTGATAGGAAAAATGTAAATTTCTAAAAAAAATCCACTTAGTTGCACAAGTTGTTTTCTAAAATTGTATTTAACTAACTGTGTAGAATGTACTTTTACATACCCCACGTAACCTTACATTCATACGCAAACATTTCTGTCGTTTGTTACTTAACCTAGCTCGGAATCTTCCGGATACAGACCTAATGAAACTGAATCCTGATGAAGTCAGTGACGTACGTTGGATGACTTTTAATGATTTCAACGATATAAAATGTATCCCAACAGATCACATAAACATGAAAAAATCTTCCGGCTCCTATTTGTCTAGATCGTCCATTACCCCTTGGCTACGTGGTCTTCTTTCACGCGGTCTTTTGCAAATATTATTCAGTTGGGCAGAGGCATCATGCGGTAATCACTCGCAGAAAGGCTTTGTAACCGAAGACCAGTCCTGGGATAGAACTAAAATAATTCATTTATCTTCTGAGGATGTACAATAATTTGTATTGCTTCATTTCTTATAGTCTATGCCTTGCTTTAATATAATTTTCAAAAAGGCCTGAGTTCTTACTGTTCTTATTGTACATTGTTTGTTTGATCATTTTTACATTATTAATGTTTTGTCTATGTTTTCGCTGCGACTAGCGGAAAAAGTCAAAAATGAGGTGTATCGGTCAAACCTTAACTTACTACCTACCCCAAAACCATAACTTTATTTGGTGGTAATATTTCATGAAACTTAATGTCTAAATGCCATTCTATGTCCGCTTGAGGTCGTTTTTTGTGGTACTATTCAACTTTGTAGACAAAAGTAGATGAAGTATGATTCAAAGCTGTTACTCACTTTCAGACTAACTCATATAATTACCAAACCACCATTCCACAACCTACTGGCAAGTGTACTTACTTACGCCTATGATCCCCAATGGAGCATATGCCGCTGACCAGTATTCTCCAACCTTCGATGTCCTAGGCCTTCCTATCTATTTCTGTACAATTGTTGTTCATTAGTCATATGTCTGTCTCCATTTCTCGGCATAATGTGCTCCTTTGGCTCCCTCTTTTCCTTTGGCCTTGAGGATTCCACTTAGGGGCTTGTCTTGTGACGCGGTTGGGTGCTTTTCACAATGTGTCCTGTCCACTTTCAGCGTCTCTTCCTGACTTCTTCCTCCAGTGGAATCTGGTTTGTTCTTTCCCAGATCATCTAGCTGCATCCTGGCCGTCCACTGTATACTGTGCTTTTCTCCAGAATCCAGTCGATCACCAGGAGAAAAAGAAAGGGTCAGAGTAAGCAACCATGCCTGACACCGGTCTTCACCTCGAACGAGTCTGTCAGTTGTCCTCCGTGCACGATTTTACAGTTTAATCCATCACGAGAATTCTGTATGATGTTGGGTATCTTCTCAGGCACACCGTAGTGTTGTTCTGTCCACGCTATCAAATACTTTCTCGTAGTCAATAAAGTTGATGTAGAGTAGTGAGTTACATCCAATCGATTGTTCCAAAATGATCCGTAATGTTGCGATTTGGTCGGTACACGATGGATCCTTACGAAATCCAACCTGTTAATCTCGACGTTGGGCATCTACGAAATCAGTCATTCTGTTCAACAACACCCTGTTGAAGACTTTTCCTGGTATTGAGAGGAGAGTGATGCCTCCGTATTTCTCACAGTGTTGATACTGGTTCTTCATCCCAAATCTTGTTGAAGATAATGTGAAGTATTTTTGCAGTTGTAGTCACGTCTGCTTTCATTGCCTCTGCTGGAATGTTGTCAGGTCCCGCTGCTTTGCCCCTCTTGATTTGTATGATGGCCATACCGATCTCCTTGATTGTTGCTGGGCCAACATCGATTGGGAGGTCCATGGATGTTGCTTCGATGTTGGGTGGGTTGAGTGGAGCTGGTCGATTCAAGAGTTCTTTAGAGTGTTCTACCCACCAATTTCGCTGTTCTTCAGTGTTGCTGATTACTTTGCCTTCCTTGCCTTTCATTGGTCGTTCTGGTCGACGATGGTTTCCAGAGAGCTTTTTTGTTGTATCGTACGATTGTCTCATGTCTCCTTCTCTTGCAACCTTTTCCTCCGTCATTGCTAGATCTTCCACACATGTACGTTTGTCGGTTCTGATGCTCCTCTTCACTTGCTTGTTTGCTTCTGTGTATTCAGCATGTGCCTTGACTCTCTCATCTCTTGTTCGGCTGATGTTGATTGCTGTCTTGAGTTTTATCAAGAGTATCCACTGAGATCCATTCCTTGTGATGGTGGTTCTTGTGACCCAGAACCTCCTGAAATGTTGAAGTGAAGTGTTGCCTCTTTGATCCCTTTCCAATTGTCTTGATGGTAGTTTCCTTTCGATCGAGTAGATCGTGAAAGGTCTGGAACCCATTGCTGAGGGCTTTCCAGTATCCCGAAGAAAGGCCGTTTTATACTTTGTGATGTTGTCCGCCCCACTGTCCAGTGCTTCTTGAGTTTTAGTATTATTTTGGCGACCAGCAAGTGGTGGTCTGAGGCTATATCAGCTCCTCTCTTAGTTTTCACGTCTTCCATGGTCCTTCTGAACTATTTATTGATGCAGATATGGTCGATTTGGTTCTGGGTGGTGCGATCCGGTGAAATCCATGTAGCTTTGTGTATGCGTTTGTGTGGGAATATTTTGCCGCCGATGACCAGTTTGTTGAAGGCACATAGGTTTGTAAATCTCTCACCGTTTTCGTTCATTCCTCCCAATCCATGCCGTCCCATAATGTCTTCATATCCAGTGCTGTCCATGCCAACCTTGGCATTGAGGTCTCCGATTAAAACGGTTAAATCCTTTGATGAGCATCTCTCGATGATTGACTTCATCTCCTCGTAGAACTGATATTTAACGTCTTCATTGTAATCGTTGGTAGGCGCATAGGATTGGATGACGTTCATTGTAATGCTCCCTTTGTTTGTTTTGAAGAATGCTTTGATGATCCTGGGTCCATGAGATTCCCATCCTATCAGTGCTTTCAGTGCTTGTTTGGACAGCATCAGTGCAACTCGTGGTTTGTGAGGCATTGTCTTCTTCATGACCCGATTATCACAGCAGCTCTCCTGATGCTTATATGCTGTTAGTTTGACCTGCTTATGTGTAGATATCAGTCAGTTAGTTACACCGTAGAACGTCGTACGCGCGTATATAAGTTCAGGTTGCCACACCGCATTAGCACAGAGACGCAACTGTCACTTCAAATCACATAATAACAGAGGTAGTAGAAGTATTTGCAGTAATCAGAGAGACAAGGGTTTGAAGATATTATTTAAGTAGTATAATTCTGTGAAATAACTTTAGAAAGAGAAAGATAGAGGTGATGAGGAATTCAGAAGATTAGAATTTCAGAGAACACGAAGAGTGGATGCACCTGCGCCATTGCAAACGATTTTGAGCCATGTCGTTCATGGTCTCTAACCATCGGTTACTATCGTCTCGCGGACGCCAACCAGGTAGTCTGCATCTACCAACATGATTCAGTCCACTTGTCAATGACTTCATAGATTTCTGCCATGTTTTGGTTTGGCCGCCCCTAGCTTTCTTCTAACCTACTCCTACACCACAAAACAAAGCTCGTCGAGGTAGTCGGTTCGTAGGCATACGCAAAACATGTCCCAACCACCTCAACTGATAAAGTTTCAATACTTCATCAACTGATCTGCCATCCCTACACCTAGTACTCGTTTCCTAACTATAGCATTGCTTACTCGGTTGTCCCAGGATATAAGAACAATACTTCGAAGACATCTATAATAGAATACTAATAACTTACGAATATCCTCAACTCTTGCCAGCCATGTTTCGCATCCATAAAGTAGGACGGAGCGAACTGCTGCGCAATACACTCGTCCTTCGGTTAGCAAACGGATATCTCGCCTACGCCATTAGTGACGAAGGTTAGCAAAAGCCAGTTGAGCCTTCTGTATCCGTGCTGAGATTTCGTCAGTCACCAGGTCATCAGCACTGATAAGACTCCCAAGATAAGTGAAGCGGTCAACATGCTCAACTTATCCAGTTCCTATCACTAGTTCAGGTGCCGACGCAAGCCAATATTGCAGCAACATTTTGCATTTCGAGGATGAGTACTTCATCCCGAACATGCTTGCATTGTTGCTTAGGTTAGTCAGAAGACTGAATTTTTTCAGAGTCTTCACCAAATAGAACTATGTCACCGGCATACTCTAAGTCAGCAACCGATTTTCCTAGTAGAAGGTCCACTTCTGAAGTCAGACGAAGATAATGTTAACTCCAAAAGCATGTCTACGACAAAGTTAAACAAGAATGAAGAGAGGGGACTGCCCTGACGGTCATCACTTGAAGTAAATAATAAATTCCGATGACAGTTCGCCATAAGCTCTCATTCGACCTGTAGTGTTCGAGTCGAGAGCTTGTCTATGGTTAATGTACGTCTTTGGTACCCCTTTCAATGACAGCCACCGTCACAGTACCTCACGATCGACAGAGTCTAATTCCGTCTTCAGGTCGAGAAATACTACTATTGTGAAGCGTCTGAATGTGTTTTTGTTCTAGGACCTATTGTAGTGTGAATATCTGGTCTATACGTCCACGTCTATGTCTGAAACTAGCCTGGTTTTCTCATGTATATAGGTTCATCTTTATATTACTTTACCTAGTTTAGATTGTATAAAATTTATTATTAGATGCATGAGGTAATATTTGGTAATTTTGATTATATTAGCACAGACGCATTCCGTATTTCTTTAAATATCTCACATTTATTCACTCTATTGCCCTCACTGTTTCTTGTTCTTGTAAAGTGATATGACTTATAGAAGTAGGTTTCCCTCCCGATTTTACGTTGTCAGTACGTTTTATAGTCCCGTGTAAATGAAATAAATTAAAGTCTGTGCAATAGAAATTTACAGAATCTGAAAATTATGTATTACGTAAGCTGCTGTATATATGCCTAATTAAATGGTATAAGGTATTTAACCATGGAATTTATTATTTGTGTTCTGTTGTGAAATACCTATGGAGAATTATTCTTAGTTGATTTCCTGGTTTGATCAAGTTGGATCATTCATTTATATACAAATATTTCTGTTCAGCATATGATTCGTGCTTAATTTGTTAAGATTTGATTATTTTATTCCAGATATTCTTCTAACTGTGACTATCCTACTCGAGTGAAAGTCGATGATTATTGGAACTGTGACTCCAAAAACTTCTGTATCATCTGTTGTAGATAGCTGTCAGACAACTAGCTTAACAACGTCGTCCGTTCCTATATCTTCAGGCTCAGAAACCACAAATGGTATACTTCTTAGCAATCTATGGACTCAACTTGATCACATTCAATCTACAGTAAGTGATTTTTTTTTACTAACAATATATTTAGTTTAAAGTATATTAGTTTTGTACTCGTAGACATGGGAAATTTTCGTAATGTATTTAAATTTTTGTTATGAACAGAAATGAATTATCCTTTACACAATCTTCATATCAACTTTTCAGAACAATGATTATAGTATATATGTGTTACTCTTGTTGGCTTTAGATATGTTTCGGTTTACTTTTTACCTAATGTAACTCACCTTCCCATATAAACCGTCCTCTTGGCTTTGTCCTTGTCGTGCAACCATAATTTATTAACACATAAATTTGATTACCTTTGTTTAATTCTGCCTGAATAATTCTAGTGATGCTAAATAACAAGGCATATTTCTTTTTTCCCAATGGATTTACAGATTCCTGATCGGTTATCAGTTGCTATATTAGAGGGTGCTGGGGTACAGATGGAAAACAGCGACCCACGGCTTGCTCGTTTAATCAGTCTAGCTGGTCAAAAATTTTTGACTGATATCCTTTCTGACGCTATGCTTCACTGGCGTCTTGCAAATGGGCAGCCTACTGGGTTGCTTAACCATCCAAGCATGTCTACATCTATACCAAGCCAAGCATCTACTATGTCTTCTGTGAATGCTACTACGACAACAGCGAGCAATCCAAGTCAGACTGTTTCACAGTCTCCATCATCTAGTAAGTACATCTCAGTCGACTTTTAATTTGCTATAAGTGTTATATTCACGAAAATCTCTTTCATACTGTTTAAGACCATCTGCTTCTGTTTGGAATGTCCGTCAGTGAGCTACAACGTAATACGTGTTACGTACCTACATCAGTTCAAGTTGCCATACCATATTAACACAGAGAGATGGAACTGTCAATGCAAATACCATAGTAGTAGATAAAGTAGCAGTATTAGCGGTAGTCGAAAAGATTAGGGATCGAAGATATGATTCGAGAAGTATATTACAGTGATCTGTTTGAACACAGATAGTATCCTAGCTCATACAAAAATTCATTGATTTGTGTGGTACAGGAATATTCAGGTGCCTCTTTGTACCAATGTTTTTGTTTTTCAATAAAGAAAATAGTGATAAAACCTACACAGTACTAATGCTACTGAGTTTTATTGCAAATCATTCCTTACCATCCATACCTACACTTTAAGCAAAGTAGAAGTTTGTAGAATTCCTTAAAATAATATCATAACATCCTATTCATTTGTTTGTGAACTGCTTATTTAATTTTATTATTGTGTTTAGTACCCAATCATGGCATTAAGACGTTACCTTTTTAAGAAAATTATTTACTAGTGTTTCCCATCCATGATTTCCACATTTGTTATACTAAGCATGATGGTGTAAACATTGAATACTATTCCAAAACGATAACAGCAGTCTTATTCGGAGAATCAGTTTTACGTCTATAAGGTAGTATAGTATAGTTTATTTAAAAATGCGTTCAAAATCTTAGTGAAGTATCACTAATGGGTTTTTCATCTTTCGCTGATTGCTCCAGTTTATAAGAAAGGACGAAAATTCCCTTGTGACAATAACAGAGGAATCAGTTTAACTAATATAGTTTCTAAATTGTTAGACTCGATAATACTTAGACGCATAACTAGAGCTCGTGAAGAGCTGACTCGAGAAAACCAGGCTAGTTTCAGACATAGACGTGGACGTATAGACCAGATATTCACACTACAATAGGTCCTAGAACAAAAACACATTCAGACGCTTCACAATAGTAGTATTTCTCGACCTGAAGACGGAATTAGACTCTGTCGATCGTGAGGTACTGTGACGGTGGCTGTCATTGAAAGGGGTACCAAAGACGTACATTAACCATAGACAAGCTCTCGACTCGAACACTACAGGTCGAATGAGAGCTTATGGCGAACTGTCATCGGAATTTATTATTTACTTCAAGTGATGACCGTCAGGGCAGTCCCCTCTCTTCATTCTTGTTTAACTTTGTCGTAGACATGCTTTTGGAGTTAACATTATCTTCGTCTGACTTCAGAAGTGGACCTTCTACTAGGAAAATCGGTTGCTGACTTAGAGTATGCCGGTGACATAGTTCTATTTGGTGAAGACTCTGAAAAAATTCAGTCTTCTGACTAACCTAAGCAACAATGCAAGCATGTTCGGGATGAAGTACTCATCCTCGAAATGCAAAATGTTGCTGCAATATTGGCTTGCGTCGGCACCTGAACTAGTGATACGGAGTGAAGCAGTTGAGTGTTGAGACCACTTCACCTATCTCGGGTGTCCTATCACTGTTGACGATCTGGTGATTGACGAAATCTCAACACGGACACAGAAGGCTCAACTGGCTTTTGCTAACTTGCGTCAATTGTGGCTTAAGCGAGATATCCGTTTGCATACCAAAGGATGAGTGTACTGTGCAGCAGTTTGCTCCGTCCTACTTTATGGATGCGAAACATGGCTGGCAAGAGTTGAGGATATTCGTAAGTTATTAGTATTCTATTATAGATGTCTTCGAAGTATTGTTCTTATATCCTGGGACAACCGAGTAAGCAATGCTATAGTTAGGAAACGAGTACTAGGTGTAGGGATGGCAGATCAGTTGATGAAGTATTGAAACTTTATCAGTTGAGGTGGTTGGGACATGTTTTGCGTATGCCTACGAACCGACTACCTCGACGAGCTTTGTTTTGTGGTGTAGGAGTAGGTTAGAAGAAAGCTAGGGGCGGCCAAACCAAAACATGGCAGAAATCTATGAAGTCATTGACAAGTGGACTGAATCATGTTGGTAGATGCAGACTACCTGGTTGGCGTCCGCGAGACGATAGTAACCGATGGTTAGAGACCATGAACGACATGGCTCAAAATCGTTTGCAATGGCGCAGGTGCATCCACTCTTCGTGTTCTCTGAAATTCTAATCTTCTGAATTCCTCATCACCTCTATCTTTCTCTTTCTAAAGTTATTTCACAGAATTATACTACTTAAATAATATCTTCAAACCCTTGTCTCTCTGATTACTGCAAATACTTCTACTACCTCTGTTATTATGTGATTTGAAGTGACAGTTGCGTCTCTGTGCTAATGCGGTGTGGCAACCTGAACTTATATACGCGCGTACGACGTTCTACGGTGTAACTAACTGACTGATATCTACACATAAGCAGGTCAAACTAACAGCATATAAGCATCAGGAGAGCTGCTGTGCTAAACCCCGACCGAAGCTGCTACCTTGACGTGGTGGTCAGGCTTGTCTATCGTGATTACTCAACCGAGCTATACTGGCTAGAACGTATGTTCCTGCAGGTCCTACCATGCCAGGCTGATCGATTGGAGAACGATGAGACTAAAAGCAGCTACCCAAGGTCTGAGGGCGAAGTCGTACGGCTGACTGCAGAGGGGTGTGACAGCAGTAAGGTGTTTCCCTCGGACAACCAGCATCTGCAGCGATGCTGCCTTCTCACAAGGAAGGAAGTGTTAGAAATGGTCGACCCTAGAAATGTCACACCTCCCCTAACTCACGGATTTCCGTCTCCTTGGGTAAGGGTGTCCACTAAGGGCCTTTAAGAACGGAGTTAATCCTTTAAATACCTTTCATAAAAAGGCCGTGCGTGACCGGCCTCAAGCGGTTGTCCCTTGGGCTCTGCGGTCACTCTACGAGGTCGTTAAGACCAACACTAATCTATCTTCCTTTTCAGGTTCCTCAAGAAACAACCTTCCACGGTGTGGGCAGCCGGGAAGTGACAACCGCCCTCATACCCGTAACAGCACGCGAGACCAAATTGGTCAAAATCAAATCCTTCCTACACCGCCTAATGTCTCTCTTATCTCTACGACTAACTCTACTCACACTCCCTTTTCTCACTGCACCGCTAATGCAAACGAAGCGAGATCACGAAACGTCGTTCCTGGTCTCTTGAAACCCCGTTCTAGACTACATGTTGGAACTTTTAATGTACGGACATTGTGTCAAATAGGGCAACAGGCATCATTAGCTAGGACTTTAGAAACTCGTGCCATCGATGTATGCTGCGTCTCGGAAACGCGCATACAGGATCCCCGTAAAGTCATTAACCTGATTCCACCTTGTCAAAACGAAGAAGCAGCTCGATTTACTCTTCGTGTATCCGGTAGCCCTGATGCTGCTTCCAGGGGTCTTGCTGGCGTAGGCATAGCGTTGAGTCCTAGGGCAGAATCATCTCTCCTAGACTGGATCCCAGTAGATAGTCGTTTGTGCGCTGTCCGACTAAACGGGACAGTAAGGACTCGGAAGGATAGGGACACTCGCCGTTGCCTCTTCGTCATATCTGCCTATGCCCCCACTGACTGCAGTGCAGACGAGGTTAAGGATGAGTTTTACAGAAAGCTTTCGGACCTCCTCCAAAAAGCTAGGCGCTCTGATATAGTAATAATGGCTGGTGACTTTAATGCTCAAGTAGGTAGACTAGGTGAAAAGGAAAGACATCTAGGTGGATGTTATGGTGTAGCGACTGAGAGAACAGACAATGGTGACCGTCTGTTGCAACTATGCTCAGACAACCGCCTATTCTTAGCAAACACTAACTTTAGGCATAAGGAAAAGCATCTGTTGACCTGGCGACCTTCAAAGTCGTCTCAACGTTGGACTCAACTAGATCACATCGCCATCAGCCACCGATGGAGGGGTTCGATAGAGGACTGTCGCTCGTTCTGGAGCACATGTCTAGATTCAGATCATGCCCTAGTGCGAGCGCGTATTTGTTTGAAGCTTACTGGGCGTAGGAAAGACACCGTAAGAAAGCCTCTTAGGGTTTTACTTAATGATAATCAAACCAAGAAAATATTTCAGGAGCAACTAGAAAGAGAGTTAAGCAACCATGTAAGCGATTTCCATCCAGGAGCAGGTTGGTATGTTATCAAGAATGCTGTGGAAACAGCAGTGATATCTGCTAGTAAGGTTGACCATAAGGCTAGGAAGAAGCTGTGGATCTCTTTAGCATCCACCGATCTGATGAATGCCCGAAAACACATCCCACCTGGCTCTGAACATGATGAAGAACGAAGTCAACTTAGGCACAGACTTATAAAAAGCCTACGTAACGACCGTGAACAGTGGTGGGTGGCGAAAGCGAGAGAGATGGAAAAGGCAGCGGCGATAGGCAACAGTAGACAACTTTTCCGACTTATCAAGGAAACTGGTATTAGGAATCCTAGTGTAAGTGAGACTATCTCGGAAAATGACGGGACTATTATTTATTCTCAATCCAGGAGACTGGATCGATGGGCAGAACACTTTAGGGATCAGTTCAACTGGCCTCGAGCCACTCTTCAGTTACCCACGATCTCCAGTCATCCTGAATGGCAAATCGACGTAAGTCCCCCTAGTCCTAATGAAGTTGAAAAAGCGTTAGTAAATCTGAAGCGAGGTCGAGCTGCAGGTCCTGATAGACTGACCCCTGAGATATTTAAGGATGGTGGTCCAGTTTTTATCAACTAGGCTGACTGAGATCTTAGGTAGAATCTGGGAACTGGACGTAATCCCATCCGACTGGTCTCAATCACTGATTGTCCCAATCTATAAGAAAGGACAGAAGTCTTCTTGTGACAATCACAGGGAATAAGTCTAACTAATATAGTATCTAAAATATTGCCCTCAGTAATAATTCGACGCTTAACTAGAGCTCGTGAAGAGCAGACTAGAGAAAACCAGTCTGGTTTTCGACCTGGACGTGGTTGTATAGACCACATCTTCACACTACGACAGGTCCTGGAACACAGACACACATTTAGGCGTCCTACAATAGTTGTTTTCCTGGACCTTAAGGCGGCATTTGACTATGTTGATCGTGAGGTTCTGTAACAGTGTCTGTCATTGAATGGTGTACCAAAGAAATACATTAATCTTATACAAGCTTTCTACCCGAACATCACTGGTTGAGTGAGAACCGATGGTGAACTGTCATATGAATTCTCTGCATCAAGTGGTGTCCATCAGGGCTGTCCACTCTCTCCATTCTTGTTTAACTTTGTCGTAGACATCCTCTTAGAGTGGTCATGAAGAAGACAATGCCTCACAAACCACGAGTTGCACTGATGCTGTCCAAACAAGCACTGAAAGCACTGATAGGATGGGAATCTCATGGACCCAGGATCATCAAAGCATTCTTCAAAACAAACAAAGGGAGCATTACAATGAACGTCATCCAATCCTATGCGCCTACCAACGATTACAATGAAGACGTTAAATATCAGTTCTACGAGGAGATGAAGTCAATCATCGAGAGATGCTCATCAAAGGATTTAACCGTTTTAATCGGAGACCTCAATGCCAAGGTTGGCATGGACAGCACTGGATATGAAGACATTATGGGACGGCATGGATTGGGAGGAATGAACGAAAACGGTGAGAGATTTACAAACCTATGTGCCTTCAACAAACTGGTCATCGGCGGCAAAATATTCCCACACAAACGCATACACAAAGCTACATGGATTTCACCGGATCGCACCACCCAGAACCAAATCGACCATATCTGCATCAATAAATAGTTCAGAAGGACCATGGAAGACGTGAAAACTAAGAGAGGAGCTGATATAGCCTCAGACCACCACTTGCTGGTCGCCAAAATAATACTAAAACTCAAGAAGCACTGGACAGTGGGGCGGACAACATCACAAAGTATAAAACGGCCTTTCTTCGGGATACTGGAAAGCCCTCAGCAATGGGTTCCAGACCTTTCACGATCTACTCGATCGAAAGGAAACTACCATCAAGACAATTGGAAAGGGATCAAAGAGGCAACACTTCACTTCAACATTTCAGGAGGTTCTGGGTCACAAGAACCACCATCACAAGGAATGGATCTCAGTGGATACTCTTGATAAAACTCAAGACAGCAATCAACATCAGCCGAACAAGAGATGAGAGAGTCAAGGCACATGCTGAATACACAGAAGCAAACAAGCAAGTGAAGAGGAGCATCAGAACCGACAAACGTACATGTGTGGAAGATCTAGCAATGACGGAGGAAAAGGTTGCAAGAGAAGGAGACATGAGACAATCGTACGATACAACAAAAAAGCTCTCTGGAAACCATCGTCGACCAGAACGACCAATGAAAAGCAAGGAAGGCAAAGTAATCAGCAACATTGAAGAACAGCGAAACTGGTGGGTAGAACACTCTAAAGAACTCTTGATTCGACCAGCTCCACTCAACCCACCCAACATCGAAGCAACATCCATGGACCTCCCAATCGATGTTGGCCCAGCAACAATCAAGGAGATCGGTATGGCCATCATACAAATCAAGAGGGGCAAAGCAGCGGGACCTGACAACATTCCAGCAGAGGCAATGAAAGCAGACGTGACTACAACTGCAAAAATACTTCACATTATCTTCAACAAGATTTGGGATGAAGAACCAGTATCAACACTGTGAGAAATACGGAGGCATCACTCTCCTCTCAATACCAGGAAAAGTCTTCAACAGGATGTTATTGAACAGAATGACTGATTTCGTAGATGCCCAACGTCGAGATTAACAGGTTGGATTTTGTAAATTCTACGTTGTAACTGAGTGACGGACCGTTGTTAAGTCATGACGTCCTGCTCGGTGTCTAGATAATAGCAATCGATATTTGGATACCTAGAATCACGTGGATGAAACGCTTTTGCAGTGGAACATGTGCATCTACTGTTTATGTTCTCTCAAATACTAGTTTTCTGAATTCCTGCGTACCATTCTTTCGTTTATGATTGATTCCTCTGGATTATGTATCTCGAGTGATATGTTCGATCATTAATCTGTCTGATTACTGCTAATACTTCTACTACCTCTACTATTTTGGTATCTGAATGGAATATTCTCTCTCTCTGTGCTAATATGGTTTGGTTGTTCGAACTGATGTACGTACATTTGAAGTTCTACCTTGTAACTGACTGACTGTTAAATGACTTCTTGTGCAGTTAATTCTGGTTTCGTGGCTCCTCTCTCCTTTGATAAGAGCATTATACATGGTATACCTTAGTTAGACTTCATGTGTTTGCATATATTGACGATTGTTATTAGTGTATGATGCACTGCTTGCATTATTCCACTAATTATACTCTGTTTCTACCTACTTTGGTATGGATAAATTGGTACGTCCTTGAACTGTCTGCCCACTAAAACACAGAAGAGAATTTTGTCTCGTTCTAGTTAACAGCACCTTAACGTGATAGTTTATCAAGTTAACCTTATGATGGCTGTGACTAAATTGCCTTGGCTAGAGACAAGTAAACCATTCTATCTCCGGATAAGCTAGTAAGCGAGAGAGAGAAGATGAATCGACTGAAACACTACTCGATCTGTTTCTGATTCTGTTGACGAAAAAGACATGAATAAATATTTATTCAACGAGACAACGCAAAAATAACTAAAAGAATACTATTATATCCAAACTAGGTATTTTCTCATTATTTCCCTATTCACGTAAATCATTAGTGTCTCATTTTCAAATTAGAACATTAGTCTATACTCGATTACTAACTCACTCCATCACTTCGATTACATTTCTGTATTTGCTTGTATCGTTAACTAAAACATACTTCCTTGCACGAAATTCACGAATAAATTTCCGTTGTTTAAAAAAACATATAACCCAGAAAGCCTTCATGTAATAATTTTCTAAGGTAGGCGAAAATATTGTCATAATTTCCTACTTTGTTTGTAATTTTTAATTCATATCAATTTAACTAGCCATTGGTTGAATTTTAGAAACTTATTCCAGTTAACTAAAATTTTGTTCCTAAGAATAAAATCATATCCATTTTTTGTATCAATGCCTATGATGTCTATAACATGTTGTTTTCTAGGTGGAAAAACTGGAACAAATAAATTTCCCACCGATCGTCGTGCCACTCTTACATTGGAAGATCTAATTGCTTCATTGAATGATAGGGGTATTCATGTTGCCAAACCGCCTTATTATCGGTAGACTATATATTGTATATTTTTTCTTTCATTTTCTTCTTCTTTGTAGTCGTCTGTTCCATTTAACCTCTTCAAAATGTTTAAAAAACTTTTTAATATTGTTTTGTACACGGAGCTACATTTATTTATTCTTTTTGTCAACCAAAAATCGGATATGGCAGGAACACTGTAATTCACTTTAATGCTACCTTGAAGTAAATTAATAAAAACATACATTTATTGCGATTAGTGAGATTTTGTTTTTCCATTATTTGATATTCATGATAAGTTGTAAGCTGTCTACTGAACGTGTGAACGCATCAGGCCAACCTTCATAACTATTCAGTTACAATAAATCTGAAGTAGTAAAGTTTTTCCCGAAACTCTCACATTTAGGAAACAGGTGACCGCATCATTCGATCAAGCAGTCAGTTGTGCAATAATTTTTATTTAGAGACAAAATCAACGCATAATAAAAGATTATCCAGTGAATATAGAATAATTTGATATAGAATACTAAGGATTAAGTCGTGTATGATTTTGAATAGAAACTTTGTGAATCACAGTTGGTGGTTCTCATTGAGACTCATATATATAATCTAAACTGAAGTTATTAGGTGTCGAGTTATCTAGTGCAAGTATGCATTCACTTGTCTCTGTTCTTCCTAGTTCTCATGCAACAATCCAATCAAATACTGCAAGCTCTACTTCGAATTCGTTGCTTCTAAGATGAATGAGCCAATAACAACGAGAATTGCTTAGCGTGTGGCTTATACCTAAGTAGCCAGTGAATGAATGATTTATTTGTTTATGCTCCAGTAGAAGTAAAGTAGTTATTTTAGCGTAGTGAATTAGTTTAGTTTTGATTTTCTTATTATGATTATCGTTGTTTTCTTTACGAAATTAGGAAAACAATAAGAAATTTGCATATGAATATCAATCCTACTTTCTAAGCAAAGGCAAATTATATATATATATATATATATATATATATATATATATATATACTAAATGAAACCTTGTATTTGCAATGCTTCAACTGCTCAGAACTATCACTTAATATTAAATATTTTTTATATTTCTAAAAAGATAAATATTTTAAGTAAAACAGTGATCGTATTAAAAATAGTGTGGAAAGATTATTACTTATTTTCATTCATTGTTTCTTTTCGAGACAATAAAAAAATATCATATTATATTTATTACTGTTTAAGTTCTTTGGTTAATAATGGTTTTCTGATTCGATTAGGTGATGCACTCACACTTGATGAACTTCCATAGTTTGTTTTTGTATTCGTTACATTACTTAACTGTCTAAGATTCGATCCAGCCGTTGTAGGTGCCTTTGATGAACCAGTTACTACTTGTTTAGCTGTTGAAGGCTTTTCTGATAACTTAGGAATTGATGGTGAGGAGCTAGATTTCTGAATTGTATCTTTCATAATACGTGATGATTTAAGTTGAGGGAGAACTTTTATTCCTTCTGTAGACTGTCGAATAGAGACCGGTTGATTGGTAACTAGTGTAACACAGGACTCTGTTCCATCTGATGATAAGGAAGAGCCAACAAATTCAGTAACATTTGACTCTCCAATCACCGAAATCCGACTAGACGAGTTGCCATTAAGACCCTCATTTGCAGACGAAATGTGACTCGGGACAATTGGTGAATCAGCGTTTGGTGGTGTGTGCACTTCGTTGGTTTCGTTCTCGAGAGCGGCGTTATTTGTGTCGTTAGGAGAGATGTCGAGACGGTCGTCTGGACGCATTGTGTCGATGTGGTCAGTTGGACTGTGTGGTGTCTGAGACGGTTCGACGACAGATGGTTGATCACTGATTGGACGTGAGTGTTCCTGTGAGTTGTTCAATTTGTCGGGCGAAGAAGCGTCGAGTTTTGGTTCAGTGTTCTGTTCATTCGTTTCGTTTGTGGGTTCGTTGGGAGTTTCGTTTTCACTTTGGTTGTCAGGAAGACCAGTCTCTGGCAACTTGTGGTTCGTGTCGGAACGGTTCTCAGACATCATATCATCGAGTGATGTGGTGATACCGGTGTCCGAAGCGGTTCCTGATAGAGGGGACATGTGACTCGGGACAATTGGTGAATCAGCGTTTGGTGGTGTGTGCACTTCGTTGGTTTCGTTCTCGAGAGCGGCGTTATTTGTGTCGTTAGGAGAGATGTCGAGACGGTCGTCTGGACGCATTGTGTCGATGTGGTCAGTTGGACTGTGTGGTGTCTGAGACGGTTCGACGACAGATGGTTGATCACTGATTGGACGTGAGTGTTCCTGTGAGTTGTTCAATTTGTCGGGCGAAGAAGCGTCGAGTTTTGGTTCAGTGTTCTGTTCATTCGTTTCGTTTGTGGGTTCGTTGGGAGTTTCGTTTTCACTTTGGTTGTCAGGAAGACCAGTCTCTGGCAACTTGTGGTTCGTGTCGGAACGGTTCTCAGACATCATATCATCGAGTGATGTGGTGATACCGGTGTCCGAAGCGGTTCCTGATAGAGGGGACATGTGACTCGGGACAATTGGTGAATCAGCGTTTGGTGGTGTGTGCACTTCGTTGGTTTCGTTCTCGAGAGCGGCGTTATTTGTGTCGTTAGGAGAGATGTCGAGACGGTCGTCTGGACGCATTGTGTCGATGTGGTCAGTTGGACTGTGTGGTGTCTGAGACGGTTCGACGACAGATGGTTGATCACTGATTGGACGTGAGTGTTCCTGTGAGTTGTTCAATTTGTCGGGCGAAGAAGCGTCGAGTTTTGGTTCAGTGTTCTGTTCATTCGTTTCGTTTGTGGGTTCGTTGGGAGTTTCGTTTTCACTTTGGTTGTCAGGAAGACCAGTCTCTGGCAACTTGTGGTTCGTGTCGGAACGGTTCTCAGACATCATATCATCGAGTGATGTGGTGATACCGGTGTCCGAAGCGGTTCCTGATAGAGGGGACATGTGACTCGGGACAATTGGTGAATCAGCGTTTGGTGGTGTGTGCACTTCGTTGGTTTCGTTCTCGAGAGCGGCGTTATTTGTGTCGTTAGGAGAGATGTCGAGACGGTCGTCTGGACGCATTGTGTCGATGTGGTCAGTTGGACTGTGTGGTGTCTGAGACGGTTCGACGACAGATGGTTGATCACTGATTGGACGTGAGTGTTCCTGTGAGTTGTTCAATTTGTCGGGCGAAGAAGCGTCGAGTTTTGGTTCAGTGTTCTGTTCATTCGTTTCGTTTGTGGGTTCGTTGGGAGTTTCGTTTTCACTTTGGTTGTCAGGAAGACCAGTCTCTGGCAACTTGTGGTTCGTGTCGGAACGGTTCTCAGACATCATATCATCGAGTGATGTGGTGATACCGGTGTCCGAAGCGGTTCCTGATAGAGGGGACATGTGACTCGGGACAATTGGTGAATCAGCGTTTGGTGGTGTGTGCACTTCGTTGGTTTCGTTCTCGAGAGCGGCGTTATTTGTGTCGTTAGGAGAGATGTCGAGACGGTCGTCTGGACGCATTGTGTCGATGTGGTCAGTTGGACTGTGTGGTGTCTGAGACGGTTCGACGACAGATGGTTGATCACTGATTGGACGTGAGTGTTCCTGTGAGTTGTTCAATTTGTCGGGCGAAGAAGCGTCGAGTTTTGGTTCAGTGTTCTGTTCATTCGTTTCGTTTGTGGGTTCGTTGGGAGTTTCGTTTTCACTTTGGTTGTCAGGAAGACCAGTCTCTGGCAACTTGTGGTTCGTGTCGGAACGGTTCTCAGACATCATATCATCGAGTGATGTGGTGATACCGGTGTCCGAAGCGGTTCCTGATAGAGGGGACATGTGACTCGGGACAATTGGTGAATCAGCGTTTGGTGGTGTGTGCACTTCGTTGGTTTCGTTCTCGAGAGCGGCGTTATTTGTGTCGTTAGGAGAGATGTCGAGACGGTCGTCTGGACGCATTGTGTCGATGTGGTCAGTTGGACTGTGTGGTGTCTGAGACGGTTCGACGACAGATGGTTGATCACTGATTGGACGTGAGTGTTCCTGTGAGTTGTTCAATTTGTCGGGCGAAGAAGCGTCGAGTTTTGGTTCAGTGTTCTGTTCATTCGTTTCGTTTGTGGGTTCGTTGGGAGTTTCGTTTTCACTTTGGTTGTCAGGAAGACCAGTCTCTGGCAACTTGTGGTTCGTGTCGGAACGGTTCTCAGACATCATATCATCGAGTGATGTGGTGATACCGGTGTCCGAAGCGGTTCCTGATAGAGGGGACATGTGACTCGGGACAATTGGTGAATCAGCGTTTGGTGGTGTGTGCACTTCGTTGGTTTCGTTCTCGAGAGCGGCGTTATTTGTGTCGTTAGGAGAGATGTCGAGACGGTCGTCTGGACGCATTGTGTCGATGTGGTCAGTTGGACTGTGTGGTGTCTGAGACGGTTCGACGACAGATGGTTGATCACTGATTGGACGTGAGTGTTCCTGTGAGTTGTTCAATTTGTCGGGCGAAGAAGCGTCGAGTTTTGGTTCAGTGTTCTGTTCATTCGTTTCGTTTGTGGGTTCGTTGGGAGTTTCGTTTTCACTTTGGTTGTCAGGAAGACCAGTCTCTGGCAACTTGTGGTTCGTGTCGGAACGGTTCTCAGACATCATATCATCGAGTGATGTGGTGATACCGGTGTCCGAAGCGGTTCCTGATAGAGGGGACATGTGACTCGGGACAATTGGTGAATCAGCGTTTGGTGGTGTGTGCACTTCGTTGGTTTCGTTCTCGAGAGCGGCGTTATTTGTGTCGTTAGGAGAGATGTCGAGACGGTCGTCTGGACGCATTGTGTCGATGTGGTCAGTTGGACTGTGTGGTGTCTGAGACGGTTCGACGACAGATGGTTGATCACTGATTGGACGTGAGTGTTCCTGTGAGTTGTTCAATTTGTCGGGCGAAGAAGCGTCGAGTTTTGGTTCAGTGTTCTGTTCATTCGTTTCGTTTGTGGGTTCGTTGGGAGTTTCGTTTTCACTTTGGTTGTCAGGAAGACCAGTCTCTGGCAACTTGTGGTTCGTGTCGGAACGGTTCTCAGACATCATATCATCGAGTGATGTGGTGATACCGGTGTCCGAAGCGGTTCCTGATAGAGGGGACATGTGACTCGGGACAATTGGTGAATCAGCGTTTGGTGGTGTGTGCACTTCGTTGGTTTCGTTCTCGAGAGCGGCGTTATTTGTGTCGTTAGGAGAGATGTCGAGACGGTCGTCTGGACGCATTGTGTCGATGTGGTCAGTTGGACTGTGTGGTGTCTGAGACGGTTCGACGACAGATGGTTGATCACTGATTGGACGTGAGTGTTCCTGTGAGTTGTTCAATTTGTCGGACGGAGAAGGATTGTTGTTTTGGTCTATGTTTTTATTGTCATTGATTTTGTTTTGTTGTTTGCTTATTGTATCCTCAGTTTTTACATCTTTTCCCGATTTTTCCGTATCCTCGCTGGTTATATTTGTGTCGTTTTTGCGTTTCTGTTTCATTGTTTGATCTGAAAATATTAAAAAGTTATCATGCAGACAATATGCTTCTGGATTAATAATATTCATCGAAATATACTGTTTAGTTTCATTAAATTGTTTGCATGAAAATGTTTGTTTTTTTCTTGCTGTGTGCCTGTACCTTAACATGATATTTCGAAATGTTTAAATCTGCTCTTTAATTTTTTTCACTGTTAATATAATTTTTTCTGTGGTTTTTACTTTCAATAAACCAATCATTCTTGCTTTTTGTGCGTTGCAAGTCTATTACATGTTTATACCGAGAAAAAGATTTAAAGTATTTTAATTTTTGAGTTTATCTAAAAACATATTCGTCCTTTGAAAATGTGTCAGTTAATTTAAAACTTCTTCATTTTGGAAGAAAAGTGTTCGACTTAATTAATTTGATTTTTCTCCTGGTTATTTTTGAAATCATTGTTCGATCATATTTAGAACTCTATTTGAATCCTGGAATCATGACCGTTTAGTCCTATTATGGGACACATCATCAGTGTGTATCCACAACCTCCGCTCACTGTATTATAACCCAGAACCTTCTGTTTTCAGCGCGAGCGTTTGTCCCCTTATAATGAAGTAAACATTCGGTTGAAACGTACTTCTGAGATGATAGTATTATTCGTTTCTACTAATCATTATAATTTATTTTATATGGTTCAAAGCACCATCGGTTTCAGCACTCCTGACCGTGGTCAGAATAGGTCAACCGTAAATATTTTACATCTCGTACTAGCCCATGAACTTATGTCTCCGGTGGTAAGGCTGTTTGAAAATGAAAGCTAACACTTCTCGGACTTTACATAAGAAGACTTTATGGCCGGCTTCAGGAGATTGTTTTTTGGGCTCCACAGATACTTTTGCAGATCACAAGAACCAACGGTAACCCAACTGCGTTTTCAGGTCCTTCACACGATGTGGATAACTGGGTAGTGACATCCTCCCTCATTTCCCTAACGGTACATGAGGTCACTTTCGTTCTGATAAAATCTTTTCCTCACCTCCTGATAATTCCCTTATCTCCACAACTAACCCTTCTCCTATATCATTACCATATAAAGCCGTTAATCCTAGTATTTTGAGTTCGGAAATGTTATCCTCTGACTCTTGATACCACACTCGAAACTACATGTTGCAATTTTTAATGTTCGGACTTTTTGCCAAGTAGAAGAATAGGCTTCCTTGGCAAGAACTTTAGAATCTCACTGTATTCATGTATGCTGCGTACCCGAAACGCTCTCGCAGGATCTCAGTACAGTCATTCATTTAGCCTCATTTTGTCAAAATAAGGAACTGTGGTAATTTATGCTACACTTGTCTAGAGACCACGCTGTTAATGCCCGCGACGTCGCTGAAAAACCTGTGTCCGAAAACAGAACTAGCTCTCCTAGACTCGGTTCTAGTAGTCAGTTGCTTTTGCACTGTCCAACTAGACAGGGCTGTAAGATCTCAGTAAGACAGGGACACTCACCGTTGCCTCTTTGCTGTCTCTACTTACGCTCCAACTGATGGCAGCTCAAACGAGGTAAAAGACGAATCTGATGGGAAGCCTTTCATCCTCCTTCAAAAAGCTAAGCGCTGTGACCTGGTATTGTTGGCTGTCGATTCATTGCTGTAGTAGGTAGAATAAGCGAAGCCGAAAGATACCTTAGTGGATTTTTGGTGATGCGGCTCATCAAAAAAGATGATGGCGACCCTCTGATGCAAAGATGCTCAGACAACCGCCTGTGTCTGACAAGCACCAACTTTAAGCATAATGAGAAACATAGTTTGACTAGGTTATCTCCATAATGAAATCAAACAGACCACATTGCCATTATTCTTCGTTGAAGAGGTTCGTTGAAAGACTGTCGCGCATTCTGGAGCACATGCTTGAATAATACCTAAGACCTTATGGCCAACTGTCATCTGAATTGTTCACTTCAAGTGTTGTTCGATAGGATTTTCCGCTTTCTTCGTTCTTAGTTAACTTTCTCTTAGAAAATCTTTTAGAACTATCAATGTCGCCGCCTGACTTCTCAGGGGTTGATGTAGCTGGAAATTCTTTTATCAAATTAGAATACTCAGATGACATTTGGTGAATAACATTTTAGGGAAGATACTGACAAAATGCAGAGTCTTCTGACCACCTTTGGCAACAATGCAAGCATGTTCAGGATGCGATTATCCCCATTCAAATGCAAAACGTTGATTCAAGATTGTATTGTGTCGGAACCTGAACCAGCCATAGGGAATGATGTAGTTGAGCTAGATGATCCTAATAGCCTCTTGTGTTATGAAATCTTGGGTTCGTTCTGTTTGAAGTTTTACTGATCATGTCTTCATGCTCCGTCAAATGCCACAACACCGACATACCTATTGCACGCTAACTGTCGTCGTGTTTCTTGACATCAGGGACGTCTTCGATTGTCTGTACGGGGCTGTTCTCTAGGACTGTCTATTGAAGAATGTTGTGCTGCAAAAGTTTATTAGTACCCTGGAGGCTCCATGTACACACCTCAGGCAGAGTGTGGGCATAAAACCACCTCTCTTTCTTATTTTATCAAACAGTGGGATTAGGGAGGGTCGCAAACTTTCGCCATCTCCCCCCAACTTTACCATTAGTATTGTTCTGGAAACGGCTTTGATGAATGTAGGTAATGGTAATGTGGGTCTCTTACGCTAAGAATAACTTTTCGAACGTGATTATGCGATGGTACCCAAGCCGTGAAATCTGCACTTAATTAGTTGGCAATTACTGTTTGCAGGTATGCTAAGTACTTTATACCTTTTAAGTACAAAGTGTTATTAAGACTGGTAGGACCCTGAACCTTCACTCACTTATCATGGTGAGCAGTTAGAAGTAGTTGAAAAGTTCGAGTGTCTAGGTAGTTGTGTAAAGGATGGTGGTGGTGTGAGCTATGAGATCAGTCCACATATAATAAGAGCCAGATCGGCTCACGTAACTCCAACAAATCTTTGGTGAATTCGTGAAGCTAATCTAGCTATAAAGAGTCAAGTCCACATCCTGTCGATAAGAGCAGTTTTGCTCCATATATGTGAAACTTGCCCTCTCCGAGTTGGGGATGTTAGGCGACTCCATGTGCTTGATCGTTGTTGTCTTTAAAGGATTTCTGACATTCAGTGGCAATACCACGTTGGTACTTAGGAGGTTTAGGAATGTGTGTTTGAACACAGCGATGATAATTCAGTTAGTGTCACCATCTTGAAATACTGACTTTGATGGCTAGGTTGTCCTAGCGAATTCTACATCGTGCATTATTTGCCGATGGTGTGTTTTAAATAATTAAAATTCCTCTGTTACTAGTATTTTATCGTAGATGTCTTAGAAACATTACTCGGGTATTCTGGCATCAGAAAGTTGGTAAATCGATTGATGAAGTAGTGAATCTTCACCATCCATTGTTGGGACAAGTGTTACTCATGCCCAACCACAGGCTACCTCAACAAGCGATATTGTCCGGTCTAGGAGTGAGCTTGAATAATGCAAAAGGCGGCTAAACCAAAACATGGCAGCGGTGCAAACATAAAGTTGTGCACCATTATCTAAGAATCTGTTCTAAACCTCTGTAAGTTTCTACATACGAGACATTTTACATTCAGAAAAAGTCTATATGAAGTTTTAATCCAGTGACCATTTTTTATTAATTTTGGGAATCGTGTAATGGTTTTTATGAAAGCGGTAGAATACTTCAGTGTATCTGGACCACATTGTTAGTTGTGCAGACTAAATTCATTATCGTTTAAGCTTACCTGGTGATGATATGCATTTTAGTTGAGTTTCAGTAGGCGTTTCTCCAGTAGTGTTATTTACAACCGGCCGCTTCTTAAGTAGATTTGAAAAGAAACCAGCTAGTACACCGTCTGAATTACCCTGTATAGAAGCGGTGCCAGGTAAATTATTTATTGGACTTCCTGGAGGAATCTGTTCAGAAAATAGTGGAAAGTGATGGAATGATAGGTAACTAGTACCGGTTGATCTGAATTTTTATTCAAAATTTATTGTTATACGTATTCTATTCAAATTTCTTTTTGTTAAATATTACCATTCTTAAAATTCTCACAACAGCTAAGTATTATCCTTAATAGGTTTGACCAATCAAGACTTTTACATAAATTTTATGTATTCACGTTCTTTCCTAATCTGATTGACCGAATCCATGGATTACTTTTGATTTTGGTGTCCTTTCCAGATGTTCCAAGGAATTTGTATTAATTTTTCAACCATACATTTAGCTTTTGACTTGTTCACATTTCAATATTTGTAGTGCCAAGAGTTCATAAGCCTATATACAGTCAGTGAAGCAATTTATGTGTTCAAATCTATCACTACTGCTATTATTGCTGTACAGTATTCTGAAAGGAAGCATAATCCTATTTTTTTAATTACAATTCTTAATTCGTCGAATGATGGAATCAGATTTCTCTTGTTCTGGACGCTGTCTCCAACCAAATAACGAGAAATAAAATTTTATTCATATAACATTGTACCAATTGATGGATCTGTAATTTCATCATTAAACAACCTACTTTTGCTCGAAGTATAGAAGTTGGACTGGCCGGCAAACGATTGTTATCATCCATAGTTTTAGTGCCTGGTCCAGTTTTTAAACTACTTAAATTGGAATTTAATCCTCCAGGTCCTAAAAGTTCTTTCAGCATGTTAGGATCTATGTTCTCGTTTTCTTTAATTGTTGAAAGTCTCAGGAGAAAAGCCTACAAAAATCAATCAAATTTAATAAAATCCTTCTAAAGTGTTTGTAGTGTTTAGAAAGTCAATAAATTTTTAATATAATTATTCACTGACTTGAAAGCACTCGTGATGGGAAAATTTGATGGCAGAAATATATAGTTTTATGCCATCAACAAAAAAATTAGAGTTGCAATATATGTTTATTAACATCACAAATTGGAAAGCTTCACATCAATTGCTAGCAATCAGTATATCGCTATATACTTGAATAAGTAAGAGAATGTTCATAATTTTTTATTCAATTAGTTTGACCTGAATAGAATATAGTTTCATGTATCTGGTATTGATGAAGGCTTTTTTTGATATTTATTGTTTAAAAAACATCAATTTACATTTCTTTTGAAGTGAAAGTAAAATAACAATCTTTTTGATCTGATTGCTCCATGAAAATTGACACTTTTGTCTAGTTTCACTAGTTCTCTGACACAGTGAACAAATAAACTTGTTTCAAAATAAATCATGTTTTACACTAAAGTAAATCAGTGATTTATCTTTATGCATAGAAATACATAATGAAATAATTAGTTAGTCTTGTTAATAACCATATTGTAATAAAAATAATATTTATGTTGAAAATAACAATAAATTCTTATATTATTAATAAAATAATTACAATCTAACACCATATATAATTAAAATAGAAATTTTCACACAAATTCTTCAAATGGATAGATACACTTATGTTTGGAGTGAAATTGTAAATCTTGTGATTATTTTCCATGTAAAGATAAAGTTTCTCATATAAAATATTATGAACAATATATGTATTAATCTAAAATCTTGTTTTTATTATATTAGTATACTCCATAGATAAAGGTTTTTATGATATATTAGGTAGAATAAAATATTCCTTGAAACTTATTACATTTCGAATCGTAAGAATATACAAATGTTTGTAACAATGTAAATATATTGTCTTTGTGTTCTGTTGAACTGCTTTAGGCTATGACGGTAGTTCTCATTATTAACTTATATCATCTGGAGAAGTATTGTAGACCGAAAAGCACTTGATACATGTTTCGTTCTAGTTAATGACTCATCGGTCCTGGTTTATTGTTTAGTTAAGTAGATCGTCAAAATCATTGCTATGTGAAAATGCTTTATTTTATGGATTGATATCGTATACACACCATTGATGATTTGCAAACTAGAAACAAACAGATTTTGAAGGGAATAATTCAAAACTCAGAGAAATTTTGGCACGAAAATGGTAGTTTCATTGTTTATTCACACAGTATCTATTCCAATAAACTAAAGAGATTTCTAATTCTGTATATTTTAAAGATCTTGCGTTGTTTGAATTGGATGCTTCAGTCAATTAGGCTATCCCTGGCAGTAGACAAAAAATAAGTAACTATCCTTTCAGTTTAAAAATTTCCACTATCATTTCATTCTATAGACTCATCATATGATATACTTTAGTTCTAATAAGATCAGTGCTACACATAATTAACAATAGTAAGCTTCCCATAATAACTCAAATCCCATTATGTGCAGTGATTCCTTCAATCATGATGACTGAATTTAACTAAAGATTTCAGAATCAATTTAATATTATATCTATTTGAATGTAATATGTACATAAATCATCTATATCAATTATCAACCTTCACTAAGCAAACTAATTTAAAATTGCTGAATATTCGTTTTGTGCATGCACTACTGAGATTCTATTCTTAGTAATTTTTGGATCTGCTTCATTAAACCTGCAATTGTATTTATATGTGTTAGTAGATTATATGGGTCGAATGGTAGTAGTGACGCGTTTGGATTCAGTAAGATTTTTAGAAACTAAATGAGTAATTCTTCATCAGTCCTCCACAGCAGGCTGTTTGTTAACACATAAGTAATAAGTTTATCTGTTAAAATAGAACGAGTTAACCTATTCACTCATTCAAAGAAACAGGTGAAACAAATAAGGTTTACATTTTCGTTTCACTTTAGTACTATTTGGTGTGACCATCCCAGATTGAGTTGGTGGAGAAACTTTGTAGCTCAGGTGGATGATTGTGATGGAATTCGTTCTCTGAGCTGAACAAAACTCCGTCACAAGCAACACTATAAAAATAACACTATATTTTACGCATCTATTCGATTAATTTGTTAGTCAGCTACTAAACAAGTGGATTGGCTTTTTATATTTAGTTCACCCGAGCTATATCAAGTTATCCTGTAAATTGTCCTCAACAGTTTCAGGTTAATAATGTCAGTCAGTTCCGTAAATGAAACTATTTCAAAATTAAGTCCTTGGAAGTTGGTTATGGAAAAGATGTTGTGTTGTAACGCACCTGATATTTTGACCAGAGGCTTCAAACCAATTCTGTCATGGACTCTCCTTTCCAGTTGTTGTCAAGCGCTGTTCATGTCTGCCTCCAGTTCTCGGAGTTAATGGTCTCTAGCCAATGGATGTTGAATATCTTAGATAGCTGTGATTTTCGAAGAAAGCTTTACACAGGTCTCCGTACGCAGAACTCCTTTAACGTTTTGTTTCCAATACTGAATTTTGGTGTCGGTTCTTTAAAGTTCCAAACATTCTTTAGTAATAGGAATGCTGACTTCGTATTTTCAACGAGTGTCTTTATATCTACAATAGCATCACCTTGTTGATCGATGAAGCTGCCTAGGTATGCAAAAGTTTCCAAAGCTTCTTCTTCAAGTGTGATTTGGTTGGTGTGTGTTGTGTTTTATCGGAGGATCTTGCTTTTTCCTTTTTGTTTGTTGATACCTATTGCTACGGAGGCTGCTGTTGCATTGTCTGTCTTCACCTGCATTTGTTTCTGCCTGAGGGGTAGAAGAGCTAGGTTGTCTTCCAAGTCCAAATCGCCCAGCTGCATTCTAGCTATCTATAATATCGCCTGCCCACTGAGATGTTTACGTCCTGCCAACCACCAGAAGAAAGATAATGGGTGAGAGTAAGTTTTCACTTGAAATGAGTCTGTGAGCTACCTTTCATGAAAAATTTTGTGATTCGTTCTCTCGTAAAAGTTCCGTATGATGATGACCATCCATAGCGTCCTAAAAGATTTGACAAGCCCTTTCTGGCAGCAGTGTCGAATGGTTTCCTATGATCAAGAAATTTAATATATAGTGATGAGTTCCATTCGATTTGTTGTCTAACGTCCATTCCCACTGTAGTGATTAAGTTGGTACATGATCAATCCTAACAGAATCCGGGTTGTTGATCTCGACGTTAGGCGTCAACTGAAGCTATTATTCAGCCCATCAACACCCTGTTTAAACTGTAACTGATATTAACAGTAGTATAGTTCTCATACTAGCTAAGATTTCTTGTCTTACACTAAAAGCTCTCCTGAAGTTAGTCTATTTTGGTACATTTTGAGACTAAAGTGTCTTATTTATTCCAGATGCGACCAAGTAGTATCTTTTCACTGTCACCAGGTGAATTATCTTGCAGGTCTCGCATATTTTCCGGATATTCGATACAGTTAGATTAATTGTCTCTCTGGATATAAGAAGAGGAATAAGCCTTGTGAATTTCGGATAATCACGGTTTTCATTATATTGTGTCGAAACTCTTCTGTTAAGAGACACTTCAGCTGTCATGGGAAAGGTCAAGTGGTGTAAATGACTTTTTACGATTGAAGTATTTTGGAGTAGGTTTTTTTTACGTGGTAGGGTTGCTAAACTGACAATGAACTTTTTTCCGCTTCTCGGGTTCAGAATCAGTAGACGGTTCCAAACTGAGTTGAGGGTTTAGGAATGAGGCATTAATTCTGTAAAAATGTATGGATTACACCTTAAATCATCAATAGTAAAGAAACTAATCAGGTCCATCTATTATAATGGAAGTCGTTACATTCAGTGGCAAAAAATTTAAGTGTCAGCTGGATTTGTATGAAAAAAACTTATTTGCTTCTTTCCAAGAATTTTGATAGATTTTAATCGGTAAATATTACTATGTTTAGAGCAACAATTTATTTATTTGTAGAATAGCACGAAGTCAATGTATGTATTATCAAGTACTGAGAATGAACAAAAGCATTGGATATAGAAATACGTCATACTTTCACCAGTTTCCATTTATAACTTTTAGATAATCATAATGCCTAATTTCGCACACTTTTTTAAAATAAATATTTACAATTTATGAATGCATTTTCAACATAGAAAATATGCAAAAGAACGATTGTGACATACCTGTTCATCAATAGTCGGTATTTCAGGTACTCTGTGAATCGCTTTACGTGGTAGTGGTTTTGGAATAATTGTAGAAAAAGGAAGTTGTGGATTGATTTTTGTCAAGTTTTCGCCTAGAATATTTATCTTTTTATGACTATCCCAACCTGCTGGACTAAACAACAGATATATAAGTAGGAAAAACAATTATACGCTTAATAGTTGCAGTTCTTATGAAGAAAAACAAACAATTGTATAGGGCTTTTAATGCTTCACTATAAAATATTTATTTTTCTGATAAAAGTAATTTGCTTTTATCTTTTAATTGCCGTATAATAGCTTTATACGTTATTTTTACTTGAAACAAAATTTCTGTTTTAATAATTTAAACATTTAGGAGATATCTCCTAAAAATTTGAATGTAATTAATCCATCATAAAATTGCACTGATTTTATGGAGAATACTGTCGTGACAGAAAGTATTTATTTTCATCAATTTTAATGTTATGAATTTATTGTACAAATAACAATGTAGATTTTGATCTTTTAATGTTATGTTGATGCAAAAATATGTTTTTCTTCTAAATAGCCTATTTAGTCACTTCACATCTGTGCCTAAAATTAATACTGAAAATTGATTATTCTATATCATAAACATGAATATCATAAAAGTCTTTTGTTTGGATTGAATATTTTTCTTTGAATTTGGATAATCATTAGCATTAAAATTGAATCACACAGATTTTGTCTTATTTGGAATCTATCATCTTTTTAAAAAATAATTACATTCCAGATTTAATGTTCCTACTGACATCTTAATCCACTAAGCATGTAGCATAATCACCCGTTTGATAAGTGATTTAACTTTAAAAATGAAAGATATAGAATCTCTCCTAAATAACTTTCTGTGCCTTGTTTTGAAATATCTTATATATGAAATTTACTGTTAGAGTAACTAAGAGGTGCTTGATAAACACAGTACCTAATTTTGGACTGTCAGTTTTTGATCATTTTAACCGGGTATGGATTCTGAAATCCAGGTAGTTTCGGCTGACGAGTCATAAATAAAACGAAACAAGTGTCTTGAATTCCAATGCTAGATACATTCCATCTAGTCTATAAAAACTTGTGAAACAACGACCATATTGAGGAGATTCTCACACAATGTATATGTCAACTAAAACTGACCAAATCCAGAAAGTATCTGATTGTTTCACTGAATCCCTTCTTAGGTACTACATACTTTTAATCTAGGAAAACAAACAGGTCATTAGAATGTACTTTATCTGGAGAGCGAATGTGAATATTAGAGTGGATTCATTCAGATATTTCCATACGTGTACAAATTTGGAGTTCTAGTCTTAAAACTAAATATGCCGTTTCTCATGGCTATGTAGCAGATTAACCGAAGATCTTCATGAAACGTCAACATTAAAGTGATGCTGTACTTATTTCAAATAGATACACAACAGTAGCTTTAAAAATAGTTTTATCATTAAAATGTGACATTAGTTAAATAGATCAGTTTTATAGTAGTTTATTTTTCCACGTTAATCAACCAAGTGAAACTATATATGGGTTCTAGTAGAATATACATTTTCTATCATAAACCTCGTTCCAAAGGCTGATAAAAAAATACACAGAAAAATAAACGACAAAACCTGTGATCTTTGTTAAAGAAACTTAATTGAACTATTAATCTTTTCTTCATCCAAATTCCAGTGATTAATTCTTATGATAACTTATTACCGCCTAAATTTGTTATTTCTATTCGTTCCCATTAAAACAGCTTTATTTCATGCATTTTGACTTGACCTCCCATTTTAATAATGTTGTAAGATGCTCAGTTTCTCAATGTCTTAATCATTTATTTTGATGAAAGGCTTTTATTCAATGAATAATATATATGAAGATGTATAGAGTGGTCTTCAATTAGCCTAACTTTATATTTACCCTCCCTACAAATCGCGTTTCGAATGCCTATTTTCATGTTGCTTTAAAGGGTAAATCGGTACTTGGTACAATCTTCTTTCAATAATCTTTATAAATTGGATGGAATACTAGTGTCAGTAGTAAACTCATTATACGAATCTTGTTGATGAAGTCCTCAAACGATAGTAGCTTAAAAGGAATAATAAAAAGACCTAATGTAAATAATAGTGTCTTATCTAAAGAAAACCAGTATATATATATATATTGCATTAAATCCTCAGACCATGTGAAAGCAAATTTTATTTTTGTATTCTTTAACTACACATCATATGATCAGAAAATGTGAGAATGAGGACTAGAAACCATGTCCCTAAATGGCTACAATAACAATTTGAATCATCTGAAAACAGACCATAGATTTCTTAAATTGTCAGTATGTGAAACAAGTTACAAGACTAATGGTTACATATAATTATCAATTATAAAGAAACTGTTTCTCTGCTCAAAAGCCCTGATACTGAATAATTTAAAATGTATTAACGTCTGGTTTGCTAATCTATGATATGAATCATGATAAGTAAAGGAGGATACGGTAACATTTTTGATGTGCAAACTTCTTCGAACCTTCTTTACTGCACACGGCTGTGACACTGATTGGAATGTATATTACAAAAAAGTACAGTAATGTAACTGACAATTTATTTGAAGTATTTGCTGGCCTTTATAAAATCGTCGTATAAAGTGTATTGTACATAAGCTTATAAAACTAGATAATGCAGGTAAATTAACTCCAAAAATTTTCACACTTTAAAATCGTAAACAAATAGATATCAGTTCGTAGTAAAAGATCTATATTTATATTTTGCTATCTTATTATTATTCCTTTTACTTGTTAGATCGATGTTTATATATCAGTTTTATGTTGGCTTCGAAATTTACTGTATCGCTAGTTTTTATTTGCTGCTGTGAACTACGCTAGTTTAAATGATATATCTTCGTACCTTTTCATTCTTATTCAATCACTCTTGTCTGTTTGTTTTTGTTCATGTTTCTAGAGGCTTTATATTTCTTGATTTATTCAAAGAATTAACTTCTTATAACAGAAAACCATTAGTTACATAATGTGAGATCATAATAGGCATTGAAAAGACTGTTATTGTAAACTGTAACTACTTATAATCAGTTAGAACTTTTTAATTGGATAGTCTATGAGAAAGACAATAGTAATACAAAGATTGAAAAATTCTGTTACCTATATAACTAATCTACTTATACCTCATAAAGGTTTTCCTGTTAGTAAATTGAAAAACAAAATCATATGAATTAGTTCATATCGGTCAGTTATAAGCAACTTAGAAACCTTTACATACGTACATCACTTTAAGTTGCCATATTGTATAAAGGCATTGATATGAAATTGTTGAGGAATATCTCAGAGAAGTAGGAGTAGTAACAGTATTATTAATAATAGAAAGGATTAAGCTTCCGAGGTACCATTCAAAAATAAAATATCAATTATTGAAATAAAAAAAATCGGAAAGAAATCTAAGTGAAGACAAAAATAGCATGCATCTTGACTACTGTGAATGATTTTGAGTCCTAGGACTCAAAGTCTCTAACCAGTTGTTACGATGATCAGAAGGACGCCGACCTACTTATATAGCGCAATTCAACAGTGTTTGACTTTATGGACTGATGATGAGTTTCATTGTGGGCTCCGTAACTTTCTTCAAACCTACTCCTACACGCGAGATCATTAGTTTATGTTGAAAAAGAGCATTAGTCTTCCCAGACACTTATCAGGATGCCTAAAGGTCTTTTGTTAGTCCGTAGACTGGTCTTGGCTCTGGTTGTCTAGTCTCTGCTTTGTTCATTGTATTTCCCACTTACATCAATAACACTAATTCCACATTTCAGCTTGAGTAAATGCTGACATCGATTTATCAAGACAAGAATTTTTTCACTCTCAGCTACCAATCAGAATAGTAGAAAGTCAAGTCAGCACCTTGTTTTATTAACGAACTTACAATTCAAGTGATTGTATACATGCAAGCCTGGAACGCATCGTAGGTAACAAATCATAATGTGTCCATATTACTACAATCTTAATGTGCATATTCTGAATAACCGATTTACCATTAAAAATTAGTCATGTATATAAAATGGAACGATAACTGTTAGTGAATCAGGTGGAAGATTAGAAGTGAGATAATATCATGAATGTGTCGGTTTATTAATACACATAAAAAATATGGATTCTGATCAACAGGAAATAGCTTTCAGACTTTCTTGATTTCATATATTCGTCCATTTATTATTATGAAAATATATTTGAGAAATTTGAAAAAAGACAAATACTTTTGATGGATAACCACTTACATGAAAACCCTATCTCCCTCTATTACATAGGCACTTTGACTAAACGGAAGACCATAAATACGATGCTGAATGTAACGATTCAGTAAATCACAGTTTATATCTTCTTTTACTGACACATAGAATAAAGCTGCTCCATCTATAAAAGATTCAGGTGAGAAGACATAAGAGTACGCATTTCAAATATATCAGTGGTTTGATGAAACGTCAATCGTTTTGTGTTATGGTATGCAGAGTTTATCTTATGCATTCTGTAGTACCTGTATACATTTGGGTTTATTTACGTTTCAATTTGGTTATGCCCTTATTAGTTATATTGTTTAACGGGTAGCGTTACTTGAACAGAAACAACTTGTCTGTATCACTGTACTTTAATTTTTTTGCGCTTGTATCAGCATTTATGCTTGAGCATTGGTCACAGCCTACGTACATATTCATTCTATAGTCACTCAAGTAATTAGGTGACTCATTCATTTTCGTAAATATATATATAAATTCTATTTATTCGCTCCTCGGCATTCGCACATCATTTCGATTTTGCTTCGTATGTCTGCAGTTTTATGATCGGTGTGATGAGTCAATGAACATCATTGAAGCGTCGTGTTCGCCTTCTCAATTATATTCACTGTTGGACGTTATCTGGTAAAGTTCATCAGAGCGAGTATTGTAAGAAGTTTAGAGATGGATTGAATATCCACCGCAACGATGTTCGTTAAGGTTTACTTGGTTTATCTTGCAGATAGCATCGTCAAGAAATAATGACATTGAATTTTAACATATATCAGTTTCCAGAGAAAATGACTTCGCAAATGCGTCAACTTTCAATATTTAGTAGCTCAATTCACGTTCATTTGTAAACCGTTTAATGTAAAATAAATTCTTGTTATTCATTTTAAGGGAATGGGCTGTAAGTAATATTTACTGATAATCAGCTGTGGCCTTGAGTGTACTCATAATTTATCAACGATTTAAATCGACTTCATTTAAGTAACAGTAAAAATTGAAATGCTGGATTCAGTTTCTTACAGACAGATAACTTGGTTTATTTATAAAAAAAATAAATCGTAAAAGATCTAAATTATTCGGACGGTTTGTTTTTATGATTGATCCTAATCACATTTTCACGGCATATTGATCCTCTAGTAATAATTACTGTAACAAGTGACTGTATTACTAACTGATCAGAAAATAACATTATTCAAAATTTGATATGCTTAAAATAATAGAATACTAATGAAAGTGGAAAAAGTGAAACATACCATTTGTCAAGATAAAAAATCAAACTTACATGAAAGACAAAATCGTCGTATATGCATTTGTATAAAATCGAAATGTTCTTCTGTATATTGATTTTCTTTGATCATTACCTTCATTAAATCGGTCTGTTTCAGTTTCAATATAAAAAGAATTGTAAAGCTACAAAATGTTTTCTTAAATTCATTACTTTAAAATAAAGGTTATTATTATTATCATCATTATCAATAAAATAATTAGATGTATGTATATCAGCATTTTTGTTTATTTATCCTTTTATTATTAAGATTATTGTTTTTAATCGCTTGCTAAGTTTTCTCTGATTCATGTCTTGTTATTGCGTATAACTATATCAGTTTCCTAGAACAACACAACATTCTAGTATAGAACTAATAAGTAGCAGTACTCACGATTCCATTAACGACTCGGAACTAAAACCATTTAGTTTCGCATAGGGTCAGTTACTTTTAGATTACTTAATTAAAACTCAATCCTCCTCAAGCTTAATTACAATTGACTTTCGGTATGGAGTGACCATCACCAGATAACATCAATTGGTAACAGCTTTACTCACAAAAAATATAAATGTTTCATGAATGCAGACTGCTAAGTCAATTCAAATTAGGTAAAAACAAGCGGTATTTAACACTTACTAGTTTACGATCGTTCTCTAGGTAGTATTAGTACATAACAAAAAACATCTTTAGATTGACGTGTTTTTCACAAGCCTATCGATCAAATTGTTTTAGTACGATTTCTATGTAATTCCATGCATTTACTTAGTCAACTATGTTATTTTTTTAATGCAAACATCGTTTTTAAAATAGTATGAGGATTTCAATTTTTAATTATTTGTCGTGAAATAAAAACATTGTCATGCATTAAAGAATAAATTTTAGCTTATGGTTTCTTTCCTTCCAATTAATGTTCATAAAATATTATTAAAAATTGTTTTTATTGAATTATTATTTAATTCGTGCTCAGTTATTTTGCTATTTGTAAAGTTTACTATTTCCAGCTTCATCGAAATTGAAGTGGGATAACGTTATTATCAAATTTTAAATGGAAATGGAACTTGGTTTGAAAGAGAAATTTGTAGTTATAAATTACTAGAAACCTTGACTCATGAGAAATTATTATTTTTTTTATTTTTGACTTAAATTACATTCTTTCGATTTGACCTATTCGTGTAACTCTAAAAATATTTAACATTTCCAAACATTGTATTTGATCTTGTTTCTACATATTCAATTAACTTAAAATAATCTGGCATCAAGACTTCGGCTGACAGTGTATCCTGATAATATAAATTTATGGGATAGGGTCTATATTGATCATTCTTGATAAACTGATACAGATAGATGGTAAATGCTGATTAAATATTCAATTCCTAAGAACATGAATTGATGACATCTAGTAGTTTAGCTATTTTACAGCTTTTGTGACCTGCACTCTTACTGGCTAGAAAAAGTGTTCTGTTGAATTGTTGATAACTAAAATACATCTCCTTATCACCTCAGCTAAATGCATGTTTACATTCTAATCAACCTCATCACATCCACTTAGAACCATGTACGTAGCACCAACATTATTTACTCAATCATTCTAACAAATGTCAACAGTGCAATTACAGTACCTATAATAAAAATATGTTTTATAATTTCGAAATGACACTTGGAGAGCTCCTGGGGTATACACGCTATTCGATAGGCAATCTAAGCCACAAATACCTTGAGTTAGCGAACCCAGTTTAGGCTTTCGTATTTTTACGACAGGAGTAATTAAAGATCCCAGATAAATTAAGTGGCCAATAAGCTTAACTATACCACAGCGTACGGTCATATAAATAATTGAACAAGTTAAATACTTATTTCAAAAATTAACAATTTCAGAGTACTGATCCACATCACAGATTGCTGATTGGTATATTTTGTAGAGAATTACGATTGAAATATTATATCATTTTACTCAGCATATATTTTGTCAAACAATTTATTTGAGTAAATAAATATTCAGTTTAATCGATCACACAGATAATGAGTCTTACATGTTAGTAGCAAAGAAACACCTAATTTTATTCAAAAATTAATTATTATTTGTGCAATTGTTTTTTTGTCGTTGACAGATTTCAATCACAGCAGTACAGTTCTTCCTTGTAGGATAATAATCTTATTTTATTGACATTAGAATACTCTGCATTAGATCAATAGATCATTCAAATAAACTGAGAACACCATCCGATAAACAAGAATAATAAACAATGATCTGTATTTTAGATGATTTTATTATGACGCTATGGTTTCTATTGTTTTAGTTTATTCAAGTTCATTACTAGAAGGGATAATAGGAAAATTAAATGGTTGTTTAAAATGCACACATATTCAGTGCATCTCTGTAGATAAATGTCTTTACTACTAATTATGTTTAATACTCATAAATAGGGTTCACTATGACGATAAGAAATAGGTTACTTAAATCAAAATTTTTCCAGAAAAAAGCCATGAACTAGTCAGTCTTAAAATTACTGGCTTTTTATCTGATGAGCTATCTTTTGTAGATCACATGTTATGTTTTGAATAATTTTCTTAGTTGTCTTTATCGGATATACATGTATACAACAATTAGAAATAATTTTGAATTAAAATTAAAAATTTGACTAATGATATTGAAGTGCAGTTAGTCAGTCAGTTATAACACAGAACTTTGTACCTACGTACATCAGTTTAAGCCGTCATGCTAGATTAGCACAGAGATCGAATTATCAATTCAAATGCCATAGGTTTAGAGGAAACAGAAATATTAGCGGCAATGGGAAAGATTAGAGTTAAAAGAAATTATTCAAGATGTATAATACAGATAAACAAGTGCAGATAGTATTTTTAATGTGATAAATCTTGAGCTTTTAACACTGTTGAAAAATAATATAACTATCTAAACCTCTATTCGGCAATAATTTAAACTTCATCAAAACTGCACTCCTAAAAGCCTATTTTTAATGGTATGGTAAATAAACATAAATTTCTAATGCAGTTTTTACTGCTTCTACCATTAGTTCAGCAATTCCTGTTTTTATAAAATTGTCATTCTTTGGATTTTTCTTTCAGCATATTACTTTATTGACTAATTACCACTGCTTATTGAGAGAACATGTTTTAAATGCTCCAAAAACAACATGTTAAAGCAATCTTGTATCATATCAACGGACTAGAGTAGCTAACAACTTCTATACTCTCATGGGAAGGCGCTGATTAAGTCAATAGGGGGTCAGAAACCAAAAAATATAATTTTATTTTGCTATAGTAGGAAATCAACTAATTTTTCAAACAAGCACTTGTAGATTTTAACTCAGTAAACCAAATTTACGGCAATATGTATGAAATCTGAGGTTTATAGCTTTGATCACTTGTCGTTCGAAGAATGTGTAACTATCGAACATTTCCAAAGCAGAACAATGAGTTTGCAAGTATCCCAATGAAACCCCGCATTAAAATTTTGTAATGCTATTTGACCAGTCACTTAAGTTACCACCAAGCGGTTATCTAAAGCTAAGTAAGCTTCTCTCTTGTTTCTGTGTGGTGTGATCCGGTGAAATCCATGTAGCTTTGTGTATGCGTTTGTGTGGGAATATTTTGCCGCCGATGACCAGTTTGTTGAAGGCACATAGGTTTGTAAATCTCTCACCGTTTTCGTTCGCTCCTCCCAATCCATGCCGTCCCATAATGTCTTCATATCCAGTGCTGTCCATGCCAACCTTGGCATTGAGGTCTCCGATTAAAACGGTTAAATCCTTTGATGAGCATCTCTCGATGCTTGACTTCATCTCCTCGTAGAACTGATATTTAACGTCTTCATTGTAATCGTTGGTAGGCGCATAGGATTGTATGACGTTCATTGTAATGCTCCCTTTGTCTGTTTTGAAGAATGCTTTGATGATCCTGGGTCCATGAGATTCCCATCCTATCAGTGCTTTCAGTGCTTGTTTGGACAGCATCAGTGCAACTCGTGGTTTGTGAGGCATTTTCTTCTTCATGACCAGATTAGCACAGCGGCTCTGCTGAAGCTAGTCTTGGTTGTCCAACCCACATCCAATGAGTTATACTGATTTTAAGCACCACCAGGTTTCATCTTTCCATTTCCACAGTAACTTGAATGGTTCGATCTGTTTCCTCAATCATGTGAACATTCCATACAAGTATACTAATTTTAGCTCTTGTTGTGAAAATTGGCATCGCAAGTTACCTTCCAAGAATATCGGTCTTCATTACGATGATCTATTAATTTTTTCGTCAATTAAGACCGTTAAACTGGGCGTGTGACAGCTGCAGCTCCAAATTTCCGGAAACTGCAATTTAATTTCTCATGATTTTTATTGATTCAGGTCATCATTTTACTGAGAACTGGAAAATTTGTATGAAAATAGTTTAGGAATATTAGAAATAACTCAAAATTCTTTTCATCAAAATATGCCTAGTACAGATAAGTCTACCAATTTGTCCTAACTGTCTTTATAAATATAGCCATAATCTAAGTATTCCTGGTCACACACTTCATCGTTTGATGTTGATCCATCATTTCTATTCCGAACATATCCTATCCGAAATGTCATCGTAATTTCAAGGACCGATCAGAGAACCTTCAGATTAAAGTATTTACTGTATTTTATGTCTGTTTCATAACAATTTTGAGTTTTAATAAAACTTATTTAGAAACAAAATTACGCGTAAGTTCTATCTAGCTGACAATACTATCAAAAGTAATCATGTGAACGGATATAATCCTTACTTACTAATCAGTTGCTTTTCAATAAATTATATCTTATTTAATAACTTACCTTTGTCACAACGACAACCAGTGGTACACCAAGATTTTTATTCAATACGTTATCTTCATGTATTTCTTTGATAAACGACTCATCTTCATTTAAAAACGATGGTTGAGATGAAGTTACTTTAGATTCTGCATACATAGTGGGAAGTGAAGCTAAATGTATAGAATCGTTAGCTTCATTTGTTGTTGTTCCAGGTTCCGTATATCCATAGAATTCTTTTGAAACTGAAATATAGACGAAATAATTTATACTCACGTGTTTTCCAAGCATCTGCTTTCAAAGTAAATATAATCGCTCAATCGACATAGCCACTTATATTTTCAAAGATAAAAAGCTGAAAGGCCGTCTGTGAGCCTTGTTCACAGAATGATATAAAAGTGGATTTTCACAGTCAGAGACTTGTAAAAGTTCATATAATTGAGTAAAACCTATGTAAAATTGACTCTTTTCAATGAAACTTGGTTATAATCCTGTTAGATTTTCATCAAAATCTCAGATACATTGTGGTGTTTGTTTGTGTTCCTGCCACAGGAGTTTAATATTGCAATTATGAACTTTTTCCATAATTTTTAAAGGATTTCCTTCATTCAGGTACAATGTTTCTGATTTTGAAAGAACACTCATAGCAACTGATTAATCCTTATCATCGTTGTCGGTAATATCATTATAAATACTCTGTGACCAACAAAAGTTTGAAGTATAATTAAATTTCTACTTATATTTGCAATAATAATTACCAACTCTCAAACCTTCGAAATGTACTAACAAACCAGCATTTTCCAATGCACAACATTACAAAGCTGTATATATTATCCAATTAACAAATGCATAGACTTATTTGCAAGGAAGAAAATCCCTTTCTTAGGAATCTCCGCAATTTTTGAAAGGCGTTTGGACAAAAAATAATTGTTAGCCTCATTGGTTTCGGCTTTTAGGTTGCAAATGGTTTAAATATTTTCTACTTAGAGAGGAGGATGAAAATATGTCTTTGTATCAGTAAACCACTTATTTTAGAATGTTAACGTCTGTCTTGCTATGAACACTTTTGAAATCCTGAGAAATTATCGATAATTCGTTTAAATAACATAACGCCATATTCTTGTCTGTGTCCGATCTAATAAACCAATTAATGTCTTTCTACTTACCTTTGAATTTGCAGGCCTCTATCGTTTCTTCTGAAAGCTTAAGTTTGCTGATGTGTTTGTTGAGTAAATCTGACCACCTTTCTAGAGCTTCAGGAATTTTCCAAGGTTCACATAAGCTGACAACTATAAGAGCCATTTGGTCGCCGATCGAGTCATCCGTTATCACATATTTTAGAAGATAGCTTTGAACAGGGTTGCCATCCATAACGCAAACACTGAGGTTTGCAGAAGCTACATGTAATTTTGTTATATTGTTTACAGAATTACCATCTTTTGCTTCATCTTTCACGTCTATTATATCATACTCCAGCCCAAAACCTTCCTGTTTATCCTCAGTTCCTTGAAGGCGACAAACCAATGTTGATTTTCCACATACGTAATCACCGAATACAACAAGATTTTTGGATTCGGATAGACCAACTTTAGCTTTACTGGTTACCTCATTAAGGAGGCTGGACCTAAACAATTTTAAAAGTTATTTGCGCACAGTTAACTGACCAAAGGCACTTCGCTTCTTGACGTTCCTCATCTGACCTTTTTTCACACATATTCACAGTCATAAATGATGTAGCAGCACGAAAAATCTGTACATATTTGTAGGAGTTCAACTTGAGACCTAGAGATTTCTTTAATCTTACCTAAGCAGTCAAACAAATCCTAGATTTTACCCCTGTGAAAAACATGTTGGTGAACATCCTAACATAACAATGAGCCCATTATTAAGCCTGATACGTTTACAGGTCAAATAGAGACTTTTATTGTTCACCGAACTATTCTATCATATCAATAACTTGTCAGTCAGTCTGTCATTCTATTTTTAATCCGTCTACTGCAATAATACCAGAGAGTTTACTGAAAAAATTCAATTATGATTAGATTTTCAGTACATATCCACTGCGATTAAGTGTTGGCTTGGATAAGATCTTTCAGAATACACAAAAACGAAATGTATTTGAGTATAAATCTAAACTACGAACTTATCGGCTCATCAAGTGTTTGCAACCGCTTCCGGTTAAAATTTTGGGTTTTTGCAAAACAACTACAATAATCCTTTTTGAAGGATGAATTTCTTGTGCTTCAAGCGTGTCTCATAGAGAGTCAGCCTTTCTCAATGTTGTTGATATCTTTTGAATGCTACGAAATATGTTATAGGAAGCATTTCAGTAATATTTTTCAGCCATAGGAATATATTTTTTATTGTTATTTCTACAAAGATGGTCGTCGATTTCAAAGTAACAGTCAAGTTATTGGTGTTCATCAATGTCTTACAACCAGGTTTTTATCCCAACTTAAGTTATCGAAAACCCCCAGTTTAAGGTTAATCGTGAGTGTCCTTTGTCGAGAACACATGAGAAGAGGATAGGAATGCGTTCTCTGATGTTGGTTGTACGTTCGCTTATAGGGACGGCCGTTTTCTCATGACATGAAGTGTGTCACTGCTGGATATAATCGACAATGAAGACTTTTTTCCACAATATAATACATTTTCAAGTGTCAGCAAGTAATAAAGATAGACTATGTATTTACTCGTAATTCGGACTAACCTGCCACGAGGTAATGAAATTCGACATAAATACTGACAGGCAGTTCATCATTTATGTCAAATAATTATCATTCTCTTTATGATAAGGGATTGATCATTCTAGCAGCTTAAACCAATAAATGGGATTGAAACGTCTGAAACAGCAACGCGTCATATTTAGATAATCGTACCTATCATCATATTTGGGGATCGATTTGCTACATGTTCTTCAGAGACTGAAGGCTTGTTCTTAATAAGCATGAAAGGCATGTCACACTTCCGAAGCTATAAAATATACTGTATTACAGTAACGACCATTGAAAGCTGAGAGGCTACAGGACACCCAACTAACCGAGGTTACAGAATTACGTTAGTGTTGTTTCCACACAAATGGCACGAAATACTTGATTGGAGGGACTTACTGCCCCAGAAAAATAAACTGAAGCAGTATTGCTTGGGCTTTATAAAATATTCTTAGCTGGAGACTACAACACCACATCTTTAAATAATCGCAATCAGTGTACCACTATGATATGCTAGTCAGTTCGCATGCTTGAAACTATTATGTGTTCACCTTAGTCAGTAAACGAGAGCGAAGATAAATGATACGGTGATGCGATAAGCTATTTTGTTCTGTTGTTCCTGGTCCGAATATGTCTCTACTGGTTTTTCAGTCTTCTTCCCATCAGGATTTCTGCTGAGGACTTTTGTTTCGGTAACAACTCACTTGGTGTTTTTCGATAGACGTACGAGAAATTTTGTAACGCATCGGCTGGCGTTCCCTCCCATTTTGACTTAACCAATGCTTTTTTAAACGTATCCACAAACCTTTTCAACTGCTCATTCGATTGCAGGTGGAATGGTGGCGACCGTAAATGTCTAATGATTAGCCGTTGGCAGGAAGTTTGAAATTGTGTGCAGTTAAATCGAGACCCATTGTCAGATACGATCACATCTGGTATGCCATTTCGAGAGAAAATTTCGGTGAGGAGCTGTATTGCCTTAGTTGTAGTGGGCGGCATAATGAGGCTGAATTCTGGTCATTTTGAGAAGGCGTCGACCATAACTAAATACATAGTTCCATTTATTTGACCAGCGAATGGATGATCAGGTTTGGGCCACAAAACCGGCGGAACTTAGGCATTCATCTCTGACGCTTGTTGATACCGCACACATTTGTCAACTAACGCTGTGACACGTTGACCCGTGAGAAGCCAGTATGCATAACTCTTGGTTATGGACTGAATTCGTTTAACCCTTGGATGACCGATATGGAAGTGTCTCAGCACTTTTGCACGAAGGGATTGTGGCACCACCACTCTTTCGCCAAACATCAAGCAATCGTTCACGATGCATAGTGAATCCCGCCGCTGATAGAATTGCTTCACATGACACTCAAATTTCTTTGACGGCCAACCGTTAGTGACATATTTCATCGTCATCTTGATGATAGGGTCGTTTCTAGAGGCACTTTATATGTCTGTTGCAGACACTGGTAATAAGGGAATCGCGGCTTTCAGGTAACATTCTGCGTGTCTTCTACTGACAGAGATGCAGTTACCATGTATTCCTCAGCAACCACTTGATCATTAATGAGTCGTAACAAAGCGTCTGCTTGACCGAATTGCAGATCGCTTCGATACTGGATTTCGAAATCATACCCCAAAAGCACCAAGGCCCATTGCTGAAGACAACTTGCAGAATGGGCTGGAATTCCAGCAGTAGCACTTAGGCCATATTCTGAAGCGTCTGCAGCTGCGATGATCGGCATGGCTGTATCGTATTGTGTCGAAAGCAATTCTGAGCTTATTATGGACTTTAGTTTAAAAACCGCGTCACACTCTTTAATCCAGTTCCAAGTGCTGCTCTTCAGCAGTAGACAATTTATTGGAGCGCAAATATCATAAATCGGAGGAATGAACGCTGAATAATAGTTTCAAGTCCCATGAACGAACTTAGTGTCAAGATTCTAGTGGGAGCGGGTATCAGTGTGATAGCTCGGATGATTTCAGTTTCCGGTCTGCGGCCGTCGGCATCAAAGACCAATCCCGAATACTTTACCGAATTTAATAAAAACAGGTATTTCTGTGAAAGTAACCGGAACCTGTTGTCACTGATGCGTTGCGGTACCGATTTTGTGCTGTCCTAATATCGTCGCAACAGATAAATGTTTTTGAGATGAATCGTGACCCCCGAGATACCTGATAGGATGGTACCGATTAGTTTTAACACCGACGCAATCGAGGTTAGAAAATAGCTGAAAATTGCGTCATTAGATCTCATGTATCTGCTTTAGGGTCATGCGTTCGTAATAGCAGGTGGCATATCGTATTCAGCGGGACATCAGCTGATTTTAGCTGATGGAACCAATCTAAACCAAGTTAATTTAGATCATCTGGAGTTATATAACATACCCCAGTAAACGTCGCATCTCAGCCTGTACGTTTACGTTCCGATTGTTCTAACAGGCGAAGGCAATTAGAAGGGAATTGGAATCCGAATCATGAGTGCTCACAGATAGTGCGTATTTATACATTAATGTCGGATAGGAAAGAGCATCAAAGTTTGTGACATTGGCAGTTCAGGACGACCAATAGGAAAGAACACTTGAAATGACACTGACAGTTCGGATAACCAATAAGAGACAACATTGAAGTATTTGACTTTGACAGTTAGAATGACCATAATTTTGACCAATGGGATTAGACTTCTAAAAATATTACTTTTAGGATATTTGGTGAATATCCTAATAGTTTCATACACCACAGTAACAGCAAGGGGAAGGAGCATTTATCTTCGTCCCTCTGATTGAGCTGGAGGCATGTGGACTGGCTGTGCCATAGGCTCATTTATTCTGGTTATGTGACTGTTGTACTACAAGTACGTCCGACTGACTACATCCACCACTCTCGACCATAGTTGTGTCACGTTGCAGATCGGTATCGATCAACATATGCATTAGTTTCAGCTGCTGCTCAAGTCACACGATAGGCTATTCTAATCCTTTGTTCACGGTCCAGCTAACTATATTAAGGAGTCACGAATAGACGCATAAACGGTATTCTACAAGCACCTAGAAAATACGAGGCCGAACAGCACACAAATCGAGCTTGTTAATATATGTTAGAAACTTCCTAGCCTGCTAAAATAATACATCAACCAATAAAAGTCGAGGATTTTCGGAAAGGGAAATTTAATCTCAAGGTTATATGAGAAGCTTAGGCGCGAAAATATAATCAATCAAAAATCAGGACCAATTCCAAGTGAGTTCTGAGGACCTAACGTCGCCAACAAACTCCCATTAGTTGGTTCCGAAGACGACCTAAAGTAGCTGTCAGAATCTCGGGGATTACTGAGAATGGATGCGAAGCTATTAGATGGACTAAGGAGAGGAAATCCTCAAAACTGCATTGTTTGTTAACAAATGATCAGCTCCTGGTTGATGACATTCACGTCCACAGAGTAATAAGAAGTAGTGAACATGGTACAGTCCTGTTTGACGTGGTCATAAACGAAACACTCGGGATGAAAACGAGCCCTATCTTTGCTACACTAGAGTGAATTACGCACGCATGAGAGAGAACCTCCTACATTCCTCATGGCCACAGGAATGATGGAGGCTGACACTAGGTGATCACTGGCAAACAGTGAGAAACATCATCCAAAATGCTGTCCTAGACAATGTGTTACGTCCAGTTTTTTGCTTTTTGATCCTTTGAAGCACAGTTTTTCGATCTATTTGCAATTCACGATCCCAAATATTAAATAAGAGCGAAACTCCGAAGTAGATACCAAAGTTTATTCTAAATCACAAAATCGGTCAAAATACTTTATTACAAATAGACGACCAATGTCGTTCTAACAACAATAATTATAATTATTACAATTACCTTCTATTTTATTGGTTCTTGGAGCAAAAAACTGCAAACGAACAACCAAGAGAAACGGGAGTCCAAAATGTCCGCAAATAATAATTCAAACAAGTTCATAAGTTAAGTAAAACAAATGTACCCAAAAACAGTGAAATTAATGATATTT